CTTTTATGTACTTCAGTACTTATAATCGCATTACGACTTTTATAACCAAAATGGAATAAGATGCACATAATCATCATAAATTACCTTAACAAAATACAAATATAGAGATATGGCTTCACGAGGTCCCATGTGGGCTTCTAATTAACACTACTATTTTCTGTTTATAGTGGCCATGAATGTTAAAGTCAAATTATAGTAAACATTTTCGTGATCAGGCGCATCACGCATCGCCTGCATGATGAGGATATATATGATAGAATCCAATTGAAGTGTGTTTGTTTAGTGGGAGATAAGAGCTTTTACTACAATGCTCGTGAATACTAGAAATGGGTAGGAGTGGTACGTAGACACAGAGTACGAAATCCGAAGCTTGTGGAGGACTTATGTGGTAGGAGTAATATTAATGGTCTTGAATACAAGGGAAAAAACCAATAAATTAAAGATGTTAGAGAGAAAGAAAAGGAGTGCATGTTCCATTAATGAGAGGCAGATGGGGTAGTTGATGCTATTGCTATTTTGGTTGGGACTTGGTTTGTTTTTGTCCAAAATAACGATTTTACTTTGTTTTATTTTGTTCAAAAGATGATTTATTAATTAACCCAAATTAATCACAAAAGAGGTAAAGAGCTAATATATCTATTAAGATCATTTTTGTCTATTAGCTTGATATAATGCATGGTTATAAGAAGAATGATCACAAAAGAAGCTAAGAAGCCCTAAAAATGTGTACAATTTAAACAATACGACTACAAAAAGCTATCAGTCAAAGATAATTTAGATGCATATACGAATGAAAAGAAATGGAGAAAACTGACCTCCATTGAGCCAAAGAAGAAGGGGTTTGGTATGGGGAGAAGGGGAAGATGACTCAGTGAGCCAATAGAAGAGAGCACGACCATGAGACTCGTTTACATTGATATAGCCTGAGTATTGTGAGAACGACACTTTTGGTTGCCCTGGAAGTGCTTTGATTCTGTCCTTCTCTTGCTCTCTTGAAGACAATGATGATGATGGTTTTGATAAAAGAGATACAAGAAGAAAGAAAATAAGATGGGTTCTTGCCATTTTCGTGTACTCTCTCAACTTCTTCTTCTTCAATGGTTTTTTTTGTGTGTTAGGTCATATAGTATATGGAGCTGTATGTTTTTGTATGTATGTATGTATATATATATATGTGTTTGTTAATGTAGAGAGATGTATGGATTGATGGATGGGGTTTTGGAGGTTCTTATTTAATGTGTGATTTGCTGAGTTACTACACAATGTATGTGCAGGTTGGCCAGCTGTGAGTGGACCTTTCTCACTCACACACACTCTCTCTCTCTCTATGCTAATGTATTTATTGGCATATACAGTATGTGAGTATATTTAGGTACTATACACGAGCTTGTATATATATATATATAGCCAATATGTAGGGACTATTCACGAGCTTGTATAATAATACAACACTAACATATACCAATTCAATGAATATATCATATATGTAGTTGTTGTGCTTTTCTTGGTTGTGGTATTGCTTCTCCCACATAGAACTGTGTCGCGACAAATATGGTGAAAGTGATAAGGTCATCATTTCGGCTGCTCCGAACAAACTTAATAAAAATAAAATTTGGGATTTTTTTTAGGAATTTGGGTTTGAATCAGTTGACTATATATTGAAAATATGTTAGTTCATTCTTGTAAATTAACCACATACTATTTTAATCATATTTCGAACCGTATATTTTTAATGCATAGTCTGCATTAACCTCATTGTTTACTCTACTACAACTGTTCATATTCATATATAGCAGTGGCAATTACTTTTCTAGTGTTTATGTACAGGAGATAAGCTACATTGCTAATATTCCAAGGCAAATTCAGATCTTGAATCAGAAGAAGAAATCATTTAGAGTCAGAAGCAAATTATAGCATAAATTAATTCAATGCTGTACAATGATTATTTTTTTCTTTCTTCTCCCTTCCTCTCATGCATGTTAGCGATGTACATGGTATTTAGGCGTAATTGACACATAATCATCTCTCTACCCGAGTTTACACATTTCTCTCAAAACTATTACTAACTTTTAGGTGAATTTTGTTGGAGCTATTTGACTGTCTTGACTATAATAAAGACATACTATATCCATAGTTGCTGACTGGTGATCAACTAGGTGGACACTAAAGTCAAAAGCTCTGTAGCACATTAATTTGTTCGTGACTGCACTTATTTGAAAGTAAAAGAAAAAAAGTGTACTTACCATCAAACAAACAAAAATGGACGATGTGGAATTATGATGAGTTTTGTATTTGATTACAAGTTAACTAATGTTCACCGTCTAAGGATTGTTCTTTTGTTAAAGAACCATGTAAAAATCCTTCTATGATACGATGTCTAGACTGCACCATTTTGGTAAACATTCTAGATTATTAGTCATATAGACTTAAAACATATGTACAATTTTCAGAGTAGTTAATGAAAATTTACTATACATATTACATTTAACAGTATAGATACAATATGCTGTATCAATCAAACCTTCGAAATTTTTGTCATGTCATATTTTGAGAGTTTTGTTAAATACTCCGAGGCAGTAGTCAGCACAAGTTGGTAAAGATCACTTCTCCATCCACCAGGCCAACTGAATTAAATTCAATGATCAAATCTTCTGTCTTCTGATAATCGATATATCAAATTATATAGTTCACCATCTATTTCATAATATTACTTTGAAGAGACTATTACTAACTGTACCTTGGCAAAAGCTTAAATCGCGGTTGTGTCGTAAGAAATGATAGGTCCAAATCGGTGCCTCCCAAAAGCTAGCTGACTGTCGGTATACATATTATTTTTCAGAAAAAATGAAAACACTTTAATTATGTTTTTCCTCTGCTTAACAAATTACATTCAGTTAATGATATGACTTTAGATTGTCATTTTTGGTTTTATAGATGCTTTTGAAAAGTAAAATTTTGTTGTTAGTGAGCGTATAAAAATCGGGTTTCGAAATATTGCTTTAGTATGTATAGTGCTTGAGTTGTAGGTTGTCTGACCAATAGTATATGTTCTCATACTTCCAGTCAAACATCGTATCGTAACTATGGTATACAATTTCCGACGATTTAATTGAATGCTCCAATTAATAAGAACACAACTACATTTTTTTGTATCACAATAAGTGATACGTGATGTTTTAACATTTTTTTTAGATCCAGCTAGAGAAGATACTATATCTAAACAGACATCGCCACTATATTACCTATAATGGACATTAGAGGAAGATTCTGTTTATAACATGTTAAAATTAAAAGGTAAGTATAATCATATAACGAGTAGGTTTGTAGTCTTCTCTCTCTAAACGAGAGTTTAAACTCGGAAACGATAACATATTATATTTTGTATGCATTAACAATTATAGTTGTAACTGAGTTTGATTATGTTAGAAGTCACACCGCAAGTTCATCTATGGAAAAAATGGGGATTGCGACCCTAAGATAGTCCTAACAAGTAGACTTTGAACCATCTAAGTCAACAATACACAATAAAATGATTTGGCGTAATGATCGGCTGATCCGAAGGAATTGGGATCATTAATGATTGAGTTTTATGCAACATGCACGATCTATTTTTGGAGATTTGATGCAAATTCACGTCTAAGAAAACATTAGCTGTATATTTAATTTAATTGATGACAATGGCTTTATAACGTGACCATGTCATAGGCGTGTTGGTTGTAGAGTTATACCGGTAATTAAATTATGTCATTACAACTTGCGCTATAATGGACCGAAGCTTCTTTGCTAATTTTCTGCATCCGCATAGTAATAATAATAATGTCATCAGTTACCATTAATCTATTATTCGCGTCTGACTACTATAATAGTTAGGTGTAAACCTACGAGATTAACAGTGAAAATGAGATGAAAAAGCTAATAATAATCATAAGAACCTAAATAGTCGATGCTAAGAAAAATGAACATACAGTTGTAACTCGGGCCTAAGTAAAGCCCATGGGCTTCATAATATCACACACTCAAACGCAGCGTTTTAACAGTTGCCGCGTTGGAATGTCTTAGGCGTGTCGTTGGTCAATGGGACATCAAACATTCGTTATCACCGTCCACTCCCGCCACCATCTTCCTCTTACGAAGCAAAGTCTTGTTTTCATTTCATTTTTTTTTTTTGGTTTTACAAATTACAACACAGTATTTATATTTTTCTAACAAAGGTTACAATATTTATTTTTCAACATTTCTAATGCTAAATTCATATTTTACTTTTTTTTTGTTTGCGTCAATTCACATTTACTTTTAAAAGGAAAATAATTTAATGGAAAGAAATCCTAAGGAGGAGCAATAATTAAATTTCAACTGACCCTTGACCAAAATAAAACTTATCTTGACCCTCGAAAATAAACATAAAGGTAAACTAAACCGTATATATATGTCAAAGGAATCAATAAAGGATCGTAATTTTCGACCCCTTTTTTTTTTTGTCTGTTTTATTTATTTTCTCTTCGTCTCTCTCGCCCTCTAAAGTTATTAATTCTTTTTCCACCTTCTCATTTGGGCAATTGTTTCAACACAAACGACAGGAATCAAGGTTTGGATCCTGCTTCTCTTTCAATCTCTCTTCTCCTGAATTTTTCCTCCTGCTTGTTATCGCCTTTTGAATTTTCTGATTGAATCCCAAGTTCCGTGCTCGATTTGGTTTCCTCTCCGATTCAAAACGATTATTTGCAGATCGCAGGATCTTCAATTTTGCATTTCTCGATCCGTTGAATTGGTCGCTTCCTTAACTAAATTGGAATTTGTGCTTACGGATTTAGGTTAATCAGCTTCGTTTTTGAATTCATCTCTCTCGATTTCCGGATAATTGTGCTCTTAAGATTACAAAATTGGAAAATTGCGTGTTGATTTGATACAATTCATCCAATTTTAAGGATTAGTATCTCTCTGGGTTTTTGATTTTGGAGCTATCGTAATGTGTTTCTCAGGGTACGAATTGTAGATCGAAGATGTTAGAACAGCTTTTAATCTTCACACGAGGAGGATTAATCCTCTGGACATGCAAAGAGATCGGAAACGCTCTCAAAGGATCACCGATCGACGCCTTGATCCGATCATGCCTCCTTGAGGAACGATCCGGCGACGTTTCGTTTAACCACGAGGCCTACACTCTCAAGTGGACGTTCCACAATGATCTCGGACTCGTCTTCGTCGCTGTTTATCAGCGGATTCTCAACTTGCTCTACGTGGATGATCTGCTCTCCATGGTGAAGGAAAGCTTCTCTGAGATCTACGATCCTAAACGAGTGACGTATGATGATTTCGGCGAGACGTTTAGGCAGCTGAGGAAGGAAGCTGAAGCTCGTGCTGAGGAGTTGAAGAAGACGAAACAAATTGGAAAGCCTGTGAGCAGTGTTAAGAAGCAAGGGCAGGTCACAAAGACTGGTCTTGAAGGTGGAAACAGAAAGATCAGCGAGAATGGCTCGAAGAAAGATGATGGAGATGGTAACAAAGCGAAAGTCGGTGGCTTGACTAATGGTCATTCCAATGGTAATCATAAGATGGAAGATGATGATGATTCTCAGGAGGGTGATCTCGCTAACGGTAAAGAAAACACGACTGATAACGTTGGAGTTGATTTAAGCAAACTTCAGAAACTAAGGAGTAAAGGAGTTAGAGGTAGAGGAGGAGGTGTAAGGAAAGCTGACAGTATAGGTAATAATAAGGTTTCCAAGGTAGCTGCTGTGGAACCAGCCAAGAAGGCGACGAAGAAGAATAGGGTTTGGGATGATGCGGCTCCTAAGCAAGCGAAACTGGACTTTACGGACTCCGTCGGTGAAAACGGGGACAATGATCATGTAGATATTGTGGCTGCTGACCAAGGAGAAAGTATGATGGACAAGGAGGAGATTTTAAGCAGTGATAGCGAGAGTGAAGATGATGATGAACTACAGAGTGATGAGAAGCCTGAGGCTAAAAAGAAAGGCTGGTTCTCTTCCGTCTTCCAGAGGTTAGCATTGTTGCTAATTTCCTCATCTATTTCTATCATCCAGTATTAAACGCTTAGTGAAATTTTTGTGTTCAGTATTACTGGGAAGGCGAATCTTGAAAGGACTGACCTTGAACCGGCTTTGAAAGCTCTGAAGGAACGGCTCATGACCAAGAATGTGGTATGTGTCTATACATTGAATCATTTCTTATGTTTGTACTTAGTTATTTGTCTTACTTGAGTTTGGGATTTTTCATTCACAGGCTGAAGAGATAGCTGGGAAGCTTTGTGAATCAGTTGAAGCGAGTCTTGAAGGAAAGAAGCTGGCATCGTTCACAAGGATCTCTTCAACCGTTCAGGTATTGTACTTATTTCCTTGTAGGTCTGATTGAATATTGAATACATTTCACTCTGGAATCTCAAGATGGGTTAATTGTGGTGAAACATATGAATTCAGGGAGCAATGGAGGATGCTCTGGTTCGTATATTGACTCCGAGACGCTCCATTGACATAATGAGAGACGTTCATGCTGCCAAAGACCAGAGGAGACCTTACGTGGTCGTGTTTGTTGGAGTCAATGGAGTTGGGAAATCCACCAATCTGGCCAAAGTGGCGTATTGGCTTCAGCAGCATAAGGTCAGTGTGATGATGGCTGCTTGTGACACATTCCGTTCTGGAGCTGTTGAGCAGTTAAGGACTCATGCTCGTAGGTTACAGGTAATGAATTATCTCTGTTTTTTTTTTAATATTTCAAATGATCGCTGATTCATGGTGTAAAATACTGATTTTATGATTGTGTGGTGGAATTTGGCAACAGATACCGATATTTGAAAAGGGCTATGAGAAGGATCCAGCAGTGGTTGCTAAAGAAGCCATACAAGAAGCAACTCGAAATGGATCCGATGTTGTTCTTGTTGACACAGCTGGTCGTATGCAGGACAATGAACCTTTGATGAGAGCTCTGTCAAAGCTCATTAACCTCAATAGCCCGGACTTGGTCTTGTTCGTTGGTGAAGCTCTAGTTGGAAACGATGCAGTGGACCAGCTCTCAAAGTTTAATCAGGTTCGGTTTCTTACTTGATCGCAGTTGGATTCTTGTTACATGTTTAATAGAACTTTCTTAACGTTGTTCTTTTTCTTTCTGTGATTCAGAAACTTTCGGATCTCTCCACTTCTGGGAACACAAGATTGATTGATGGAATTTTACTGACAAAGTTTGATACCATTGACGACAAGGTACAGTAAAAAAACTTGGATACAATGGTTTTATAGTTGGTATGATTTTATAATGAATGTAAACGAGAGTGTTTGGGACTATGGTTTATAGGTTGGAGCAGCGTTGTCTATGGTTTACATATCGGGAGCACCGGTTATGTTCGTGGGTTGTGGCCAGTCTTACACTGACCTGAAGAAGCTCAATGTCAAAGCCATAGTCAAGACACTTCTCAAGTGATCATCATCATCATTATCATCATTACCATCTATCATCATCAATCAGTCTCTTCTCCATCATACTTTGTACTTTATATCTGAGTTCTTGTTTTTGGTTTTTTATTTGAAGACGGTTTTCTCTTCGGTTGTGTGATGTTGTTTTCTGAAAACTCAAGAAAGGACCATTTCGTTGGAGAGTCGCAGTAATCCCATCCATGCATGTCTTTATATGATACAACCTTTTGTATTCTTTCGACTATAGACTTGTTCTACCTTTTCTTGTTTTTTCATTTCAAAGTCGACTCAGGAAGAACTTCTTTACAAAAATACAATTTTTTAACATACTGTGAATGGGGTGAGATGCCATATTTGGACCACAAATTATACGGTAGTATATATGGTAGTCACTAGGCATATATTAAACGTAACAATTGGAGCACAAAACAAGTGAAACTTGAGATAGGACTAGGTGGCACAAAACTTTATATGATAAGATTTAACAAATAAAAAAAACAAAACACAAATGGCTATAAATCTTTTTTTAAGGTAAGATATATCTTTATATGATAAGATTTAACACATGCTAAAAAAAAAGGTAACAAATATCTATTAGTCAAACAATACCTATGGAAAGTTGAGTTTATGACTAGGCCCACAAATTGAATGTTATACTTTTACCTCTTCCAATTGAATGTCTTACTTAACCCATAAAATTTGACTGGTTTGTCAGTCAAAATAAAAGTAAAAAAATTAAGGTATATGATTGAAGGATTGGTTGGCTTATATGGTACGTTTGGCGTGAACTATCAGTACCACTCCTGTGAAGACTGAAGACCTCTTCTTCCAGATCTGTGGCCATTCCAAAAATCAAAGTGAGTTTCGTTGCATCCCTTGGCATTGTTTAATCTTCTTTTTTTTTGATATTTCTCGTTGGGAATCATATTTTTATTTACCGATCTCGTTTAGTTAGTTTGGACTTAGGATCAATATTTAGATTTGGGTGTGAGATGCATACATATTATATAAATAAATATATACATATTTTAACCAAACAGAAAAGAAGATCCTCCTCACTTTTACTGTCAGGAGAAGTTTCCGCTTGTTGAAAACGTATCGACTTGATTCACTGATCTCCTCTGTGTTTTAGTTCAAAGTAGTCAAAATACTCTCGCAAATTGCAATTGAAGATTTTTCTCCCCAGAGTTTTTAGGTCACGCCTTCTTCTGGGTTTGGATAATTGCACAATTCTCGTGTTGATCTGACTATGTATATTTGTGCAGAATATGAAGGCGCTTATTCTCGTCGGAGGATTCGGAACTCGATTGAGGCCGCTTACCTTCAGCATGCCGAAACCGCTTGTTGATTTTGGAAACAAACCCATGATTCTGCATCAGGTATCATTCTCCCTTCTGACATTAATTATGATGCATTCTCGAAATCAAAAAGTCTTAATCTTTTGCAGATCGAAGCTCTGAAAGATGCTGGAGTGACGGAACTCGTATTAGCAATTAATCACCAACAACCAGAGGTACATTGTCCTTTTAAGACCAATTCCCGTAGTGAATCAAAATAATTCAACTTTGTGTAATCAAATCCTCATCCATTCTCTCAGGTTATGTTGAACTTTATGAAAGAATATGAGAAGAAGCTTGATATTAAGATTACGTTCTCACAAGAGACCGAACCTCTCGGGACAGCTGGGCCTCTCGCGTTGGCTCGGGACAAGCTCGTCGACGACTCAGGCGAACCTTTTTTCGTGCTTAACAGCGACGTGATCTGCGAGTATCCACTGCTTGAGATGATCGAGTTTCACAAAAATCATGGCGCTGAAGCTTCAATCATGGTGACAAAGGTATTAAAAAGAAAAAAAGGGACGTTTTTGAAACTGAAATATTCATCTATTACTAACTTTGATTTCGCATGCTCTACGTATTAACAGGTTGATGATCCTTCAAAGTATGGTGTTGTGGTTATGGAGGAAGGTGCTACAGAGAGAGTCGAAAGTTTCGTAGAGAAACCATTGCATTTTGTGGGGAACAAGATCAATGCTGGGATTTACCTCTTGAACCCATCTGTGCTTGATAGGATTGAGCTGAGAAGGACATCGATAGAGAAAGAGATATTCCCTGAGATAGTGTTAGAGAAGAAGCTTTACGCGATGGTGCTTCCAGGTTTCTGGATGGACATTGGCCAGCCTAAAGATTACATCGCCGGGCAGAGAATGTATCTTGATTTCCTCCGGAGGAAAGCGCCAGAGGAGCTGGTGGCGACAGGGGATCATGTGATTGGGAATGTTCTGGTGGATGAAACCGCGGTTATAGGCGATGGTTGTTTGATCGGTCCTGATGTTGTGATTGGTCCGGGATGTGTGATTGACTCGGGTGTGAGACTCTTGGGGTGTACTGTGATGCGCGGTGTTTGCATCAAGGAGCACGCTTGCGTCTCTAATAGCATCGTGGGATGGGACTCGACGGTTGGGAAGTGGGCTCGGGTGGTTAACATGACGGTTCTTGGCAAAGATGTTCACGTCGGCGATGCAGAGGTTTACAACTCCGGTGCTGTTATCGAAGAGCCACAGATGGTGGTCATGTGATTTTTGTAAGAATGAATCATCAACAACTCTAAATTTATCCTTGTTCTTCTTCTTCTTCTTCTTCTTCTTCTTTTTCTAGTTTAATATGTTGTGATATTTAATTATTGCATATAAATCAAAATAAAACAAACAAGGATCTTTTGAATGAAACATCTTTTATCATCCTAAATTCTTTACTCAGATTCAACGGAATGAATATTAGGAGGTTCAGAAGAAGATGAGTTCGTTTTTCACCTTTAAAGCCGTCAAAACAGAGTGACACCATGATTCTATAACAAGCATCAAACCAACATGAATGTTATTGTGGAGTATTGATCTTAAGATGTTTCAAGTATAAAGTTAATTGAGTAGAGCATCCTCGATTGTGATAGACAGGTCAATCGTGTATACCCTAGAATTGGAGAAGAGAGCTCTCCAACTCCTGTTTAATCATCTTTAACTTTCTCAATCTAGGTTTGGGCCAGATTTTTAGTGTTGTTGGTTTTCTTTTTAACTCTGAACTTTTTAATAACCAAGTTTAAACGGTATCTAGCATCACTTAATTTGGTACAACTTTTAGTATTCACCGATTGAACATTTGATAAAGGGGTAAGATATATAAACCGTTTAGAGTCGATAATGTATAGACTTATAGAGTTATAAAGAACAACTTTCTTCATTAGATTTAGAAACTTCTCAAAACTAAACCTCTTCTCTTGAGACTTATGGAACAACTCTCCATAAGCTCTTTATATAGAAATAAACTTCTCCTAAGTCTATTAGGAATACATAACTTATATAAACCTTATTTGAATCCATTGTCTCTATCTCATTAGGATCTTCTTATCCTTGAGATAGCTTCCTTGTCAAGTTAGGAATTATCCAACAGAAAGCCGTAATTATTAATTATAGCTCCGAGTTTTTTTCATGCCTAACGTATAACAGTACCGTTACCGTATATATCGTTTTGCTGTAAATAAATTATTAATAGTAGTATGACTATACGTAAGAGAAATGTACCGTTTCATTGGCTTTCATTTGTTAAGCAAAGTGTAGGAGGTCAAAGATTACACAATTGGAATGGATCCGATGTTGTTCTTGTTGACACAGCTGGTCGGATGCAGGACAATGAACCTTTGCTGAGAGTCTCTCAAAGCTCATTAACCTCAATAACCCGGACTTGGTCTTGTTTGTTGGTGAAGCTCGATCTTGTTGGAAACGATGGAGTAGACCAGCTCTCGAAGTTTAATCAGGTTTGGTTTCTTGTTACATGTTTAATGGAACTTTCATAAACGTGGTTCTTTTTTTTATCTGAAATTCAGAAACTTTCGAATTTCTCCACCTCTGGGAACACAAGATTGATTGATGGAATCTTACTGACAAAGTTTGATACCATTGACGCCAAGGTACAGTAAAAACATTGATACAAGGGTTTATTTTGGGACTCTGGCTTTGTAGGTTGGAGCAGCGTTGTCTATGGTTTACATATCAGGAACACCGGTTATGTTCGTGGGTTGTGGCCAGTCTTACACTGATCTGAAGAAGCTCAATGTCAAAGCCATAGTCAAGACACTTCTCAAATGATCATCATTCAATCAATATCTTATCATCATATTATGTACTTTATCTGAGTTCTTGTTTTAAATTTTTTATTTGAAGACGGTTTCTCTCTTTGGCTGTGATGTTGTTTTGTTAAAACTCGAAAAGACCATTTCGTTGGAGTCGCGACAATCCCAATTATATGATGCAACTTTTGTTTTGATTTAATTGCTTATTTTTCCTATCGATCTATAGACTAAGAAATTAAACGTAATCTGTTGTTCAAAAAAAAAAAAAAAAAAAACGTAATCTTCTATTTTACTATAGTACGTACCACTATCTTAAACATGCAAGGCCATTGTCAAGACACTTCTCAAATGAGCATCATCATCATCATGCTCATTACCATCTATGATCTATTATCATCAATCAGTATCTTACCTATCCGATGTGCTTCATCTGTGTTCTTGTTTTTTGGTTTTTGATTTGAAGTCTCTTCTCTTTGGCTGTGATGTTAGTTTCTTAGCTTAAAAACTTTTAAAAAGACCATTTCGTTTGAGAGTCGCAAAAATCTCATTTATGATACCAACTTTAGTTTCTTTCGATTATAGGATTGCATTTTTTATTTTGTAAAATATAGAGTCGACTCGGGAAGAATTTGTCACACATATGTATACAAAATATAAGGAGTGAGGCTGGCATATTTTGACAACAAATTAAATATATATGACACACATATGTATAGAAGTACATATACAATGAATTCTTAATTTGTTTCAGTTTTTCAAATATACAATAAAATGATATTAGCTTTGGATTTTCTAGCCATTTCAGGTTTCCTTTATAGTTCATAAAAAAAAAAAAATAATAAAATGACATGACAAATATTTGTTTATACATTTTTTTTTCTATTTATGTTCTCCTATCAATAATCTACTCCTAGTAATTACGTTCTGCACTATATTTATTTTGATTGACGTGATAAAAATCATATAATTTAATTAAGGTAAGATTTTCTGTAAGTCATATTTTTTTAATGGAAAGTTTTAAAATGGACCATTTAAATAATTGACGTGTGTCGATTTCAGATAGGGGCACAAACTTTATATAATAGTAAGTGTTAGTACAAGTATAAGTAAACAAAACAAAAATGGCTATAAATCTTTTTTAAAGGTAACAAATTTCTTTTGTTCATTCAAACCATATCTAGAAACTGAATTTAAAATTTTAACAAAAAAAAAATCGAGTTCTTGACTCTTTTGATGAGATCTGCTTTTGCTCAGCAATTGAATGTGATACCTTTTTTTGTCAGCAATTGAATGTCTACTTTAACCTATTTGATTGGTTGTCAATACTAAGAAAAAATAAAAATTAAGCTATGTTATTGAAGGATTTCTTGGCTTTATATGGTACGTTTGGCGTGAATTAACCGTCCTAGTTCCTACTCCTTCCAGATCTGTGAAGAGTGAAGACGTCTTCTTCCTTCAAAATTTCAAGTGAGTTTCCTAGGATCCCATCGAAGAACGCATTGTTCAATCTTCCCTTTTTTTTACCGTTGTCGTTGGAAATCATATTTTTATTTACCGATCTGGTTGACTGCAGCCGAGTCCCTAGCCGTAATGTTAGTTTAGGTGAATATTTTAGATTTCATTGTCAGATGCATATAAATATGTTTTATTTTCCAAACATATAAAAGATCCGCACTTTTTTTTTTACTGTCAAAAGAAGTTTCCGCTTGTTGAACGTATCGAGTTGATTGAGTGATTACTCTGTGTTTTGGTTCAATACTTGTGCTTGCAAATTGCAATTGAAGATTGTTTCCAGAGTATCTAGGTCACGCCTTCTTCTGGGCTTGGATAAATTATCCTTGTAAAGTGCACAAATTTCGTTGATTTTCTCCATATATTCAGTCAGATGATGTGATTATATTTGTGCAGAATATGAAGGCGCTTATTCTCGTCGGAGGATTCGGAACTCGATTGAGGCCTCTTACCTTCAGCATGCCGAAACCCCTCGTTGATTTCGGAAACAAACCCATGATCCTGCATCAGGTAATCTTTCTTCTTCTCACAATTAATTATGTTGCCTTGTCGATATCAAAAGTTTTAATCTTTTGCAGATCGAAGCTCTGAAAGCTGCTGGGGTCACGGAACTTGTATTAGCAATCAATCACCAACAACCAGAGGTACATTGTCCTTTTTAAGATCAATTCCTGTAGCTAATTAAAATAACCAAACGTTGTGTAATCAAATCCTCATCCATTCTCTCAGGTTATGCTGAACTTTATGAAAGAATATGAGAAGAAGCTTGATATTAAGATTACGTTTTCACAAGAGACCGAACCTCTCGGGACAGCTGGGCCTCTCGCGTTGGCTCGGGATAAGCTCGTTGATGACTCAGGCGAACCCTTTTTCGTGCTTAACAACGATGTCATCTGCGAGTATCCGTTGCTTGAGATGATCCAGTTTCACAAAACTCATGGCGCTGAAGCTTCAATCATGGTGACCAAGGTATTAAAAAAGGTGGAGCATTTTGTACGTTTTGTGAAAGTGAATGTGAATGTGACTAACTTTGTTATGTATTAAAACAGGTTGATGATCCTTCAAAGTATGGCGTGGTGGTTATGGAGGAAGGAGCTACAGAGAGAGTGGAGAGCTTTGTGGAGAAACCTTTACATTTCGTGGGGAACAAGATCAACGCTGGGATCTACCTCTTGAACCCATCTGTTCTCGACAGGATTGAGCTGAGAAGGACGTCGATAGAGAAAGAGATATTCCCTAAGATAGCCTCAGAGAAGAAGCTTTACGCGATGGTGCTTCCTGGTTTCTGGATGGACATTGGCCAGCCTAAAGATTACATCGCCGGGCAAAGAATGTATCTTGATTTCCTCCGGAGGAAAGCGCCGCAGGAGCTGGTGACAGGGGATCATGTGATTGGGAATGTTCTGGTGGATGAAACAGCGGTTATAGGAGAAGGTTGTTTGATCGGTCCTGATGTTGTGATTGGTCCGAGATGTGTGATTTACTCGGGTGTGAGACTCTTGGGGTGTACTGTGATGCGCGGTGTTTGCATCAAGGAACATGCTTGCGTCTCTAATAGCATCGTCGGATGGGACTCCACCGTTGGGAAGTGGGCTCGGGTGGTTAACGTGACGGTTCTTGGCAAGGATGTTCACGTCGGCGATGCAGAGGTTTACAACTCGGGGACTGTTATCGAAGAGCAAGCGTCTGTCAGACCAGAGATGGTGGTCGTATGATTTTTATAAGAATCATCAACAACTCTAAAATTATCCTTCTTCTTCTTGTCGTTTAGTATGTTGAGATATTATTGTCTGGTTACATAAAAACAAACAAGGATCTTTTGACTGTAACATCTTTATTATCCTCTCTGCGATTGAGTTGTTTATCTAGTGATTAAAACGTTTTCATGACCAATTGAAAAAAAGATCAGGAGGCCAGGCCACACACTCTTTACACAGGGTCGTTGTTTCGTTTCTTTTGGCGTTACAAACAAATCAGTTCATACTCGTGTCCTCCTTAATTCTGTAATCAGATTCCCGGTATGATAGATATTAGGAGGTTCAGAAGATGAGTTCGTTTCTTGTTTGATATAAACTTTTTGGATTAAGATTTTTTTGTTTGATTCAGTTTAACACTTGTCCAGGCCCTTTTCTGGGTTTAATATGGGCTTGTACATTTTGTTGGGGTTTGTTAGTTTAGATTGCATTTCATAAAGCCCAAAACAGCACAAAAATATATCTAACATAAAAACTTTTTGTCAGAAACAAATAATTTCCTTGAGCCAAGCTACAATTATTTACAGAGAACAAAATTATCAAAAAGAAATCTTGAACGGATGAATACACTTATACACCCTTATAATTATATCAATGATGAGTTATATCACTGGTACCGTTCCTATATAACAGTGATTACAGCGTACAAATTAGATTAATAATGAACATTTCTGAAAAAAAATCTGCCTGATCGATATAATTATCATACTTGAAACAACACAAGAAAAAAAGAAAAAGAAACAACACTTATCATACTTGAAAGTTAAGTGTGATTAAACATATAGACAGATTTTGTTACTTCTAGTCAACAACTCATCTTATTTTCTACAGCAAAGCCCTAATAATTTTCTTTTTTTTTTTCGAATTGAAAAAGATTGTTAAGCCCTAATAATTTTCATAGCAGGTTTTAATATATTCATCTTTAATAGTGAACATGAATTGGACGTTTTTTTCAGATGTTTAACATAATGCATGTTCTTAATTCTTTATATGTTTCAATCCCTTGATCTGGTTGTGTTTCATCTCCGTTATGCAGTATTAACTATTAAGAGTCATAGAGAGGGTTGGTAGATAAGAAATAGCATTTAGCATTCATAGATGGTTACGATACTTAAAAGTTCTCACACCGCACACACAAGCAAACCGAAACTAAGCATAATTAAACCGAAATTAAGCATAAATAAGCAGCTCCAAAAGCTGTCCAAACTTATTATCTAGGATAGTAGATAGATAGGCAGCGTTCATGCATACGCCATTGTCAGAGACTTCACTTCTTCGTAACCTCCACATTTGGGCAATTGTCCTTAACCATTTTCAGGGCACTTTCGGTTATCTGAAATGAGCTGAGGATGCGAAGTTCTTTCAGCTTTGTACATCCCGTGGCAATCTTGGTCATGGAAGCATCAGTGACACATGGGCAGGAAGTAAGCCAGAGCACCTCTAGATCGGGACACCTTAGACAAGAAAATTTAAGCATATGAGCAAAAACATAAATTCACCATATATATGCTGTATAACAAATCAATTCGATCGTAAGCAAAAAAATATCAAATATGAAGAAGTAACGAATTGATTTCTGTCTAGAAGTAGTAATAAAATAAAACGAAAAATGTTGAATAGATCTCAACAGCATGTATAAGAAAACTGATTCTTAACTCGTCATCATCATTTGCACATTTTTTCTTTAAAAAATCAGTCTAAAGAAGAATTCAAGACTCCTTTTTTAAGTTTTTCAGAAAGAACAAAAAAAAAAACAACAAAAAACAAATAAAGAGGACATATGTGTTGAGATGAGATGACTTACTTCTGAGCAACATATGAGATGGATGCATCGGTGCAAAGCTTGGTCTTGATGATCTTCAAACCACCATGGCTCCTATCAACATAAGCCTTGAGAAGCTTGTCCATCTTATCCTCCATGGCATCCCAATCGAACTCTCCCCCTCCTGCCGGAATCTGAACGGTGCAACCTCCGAAGTCAAAGACATTGGTTGTCTTTCCAGCTTCTATCCATGGTTTGCACACTTGCAATGGGCCCTCCATCATCTCATCCAAAGTCAGCCTAGCGAAGACGTTGAGCAACAAGTCAGGTGTTAAGTTATCCCACTCAACTTCAGAATTCTTACTTCCCTCACCCCCACTCATATTCGTTGCACTTAGTGTTTTCTTTTCTTTCTTTTTAATCTTTGTGTTTTTCTTGCTTCTATGCAGAGCATCGACTAGCTTTATATAGAGACTTATATTGAGCATTTAAATAAATAAATAAAAATAGTAAAATGTTGGACAAGTTTCTGAAATTGCAATTTTAGAATACTACTCTTGCTTTTTTGCAATAAGAGATTGCTTGCGCTTTTTCAAATGTTAATAAAATCCGTAAATGAATTGTGTGTGACCTTGTAAGTTGAAACTAGAACAGGTTGGAGTCAAAGTTGAAAACGACTAGGAGTACTTTGTTATGCCATATGATAGTATATTATATATATACACCATGTTTTATTTGACCAAAAAAATAGATAGCCTATATTTTTTACTGCAAATCTTATGCCACATGATGTATTCATGCTTGTACTGTGTTGAATATGACGCAGTAATATTCGTTCCGCGAAAACGATTCAGTAAATATTTTGAACACGCAATATCTCTTTGAAGACTACAAATATGATCATTCTCTTTCTGTTGCTGTCTTTCTTTTGACTCCCTGAATACTTTTTTCGTCATCTCTCTTAATTAAGAGTGGGACCATTTAACCGAACCAAACCACGTTTAATCTTGTATATTGAAATCAAACCGAAACTAAACTCGTTTATAATTCGATTGGTTTTGTTATTCTTATTTATCAAAATACCAAATCGAAATCAAATTGTACTTAGATTGAAATTGAAATTGAAATAAAATAATGTAATGCATAACTTAAAGTAACAATGCTTGATTTTTATAAATTTCATGAAAATGTTCAAAAAAAAGTTCTTTGATGGGAGTTTTTAATAATGCACCGAAAAGAGGCTGATTAAGATAGAACTTACTACTAGGGAGTTTGTGCTTATCCAAATTGTTGAGATCATTATTACATTTGTTGTAAAATGAGTTTATGCAGTCTTGATAGACCAGTTAAAGATGTATAGGTTTGAAGAAAATATATCAATCGACCATTAAAACGGGTATATCGAAGAAGACGAAGAGAGGAAAACAAGTAAGAAACCAATTTGCTACAGATATTATCGTTTCCACTAAAACCTGCCAAGAAATTTAATAAAACCAATATACATTGCTATAAAAATTTGGTTATATCATTATTAGATACGTGTCAGCACAATTAATAGAGATAGAAGTAGTAGTGTGATGAGGAATTGCGTATGACTTTGAAAAAAAAACGAATATTTCTATGTCTAGGCGTACATTTATTATGGCACATGGCAAATCTTTGTTTCTAGTCATCTTATAAAGTAAGAGAACACGCTAATGAGTCGAAATGGAAACAGTAATTAAGTAATGTGATAGTAACATTTTATTTTTGCTATTGTGAGTTGTGACTTAGTGAGTTCGGGAATTTTCTTTTCTCTCGCCTCCTAGATACAATTTCTTACATAGTTACATATATTATGTTAAATTACATTTTATTTGCTTATGTTCATACACATAGATTATTTAACTGAAAGGTGTTCTCGCCTAATTGTTTATTGTTTCATCTTAAGTTCGTATTATATCAAAGATGTGTCAACATAATTTTTCTTTTAAAAGTGACGACTTTAAAGTTTATGTATACTGATCAGTAATGAATAATGTGGCACTTGGAAGGTAAAAAAAAAGGAGAGAGTCAGAGAATGGAGTCAAATTAAGATGAAAACGACCACGAGATGTTTCTATGTTTGTGGGGGGGAATAAAAGTATTATGGTTGAAACATTGCAATTTTAGAGAAGTTTCTGTAATTGCAATTTTAGAACACTACCTTTTGTTTTTGCAATAGGGGACTTACGCTTTCTTCACAATGCATGTTAGGGCAAAACCTGATTTTAGTACTCTGAAAACGACTCAGGAATATATATTTTTTTGATAAAAAAAATTCAGTAAATTAAACACGCATATCTCTACCAAGATATTTTCTGTTACGTACTTCCTACCTTTTTCGTCATATGAGATGTATTGAACCGAATCAAACCAAGTTTGAATCCTTTAAATCGGAATCAAGCTGAAATAATTCATTTATAATTCGACTGATTTCGTTAGTTTTATATCAAATACCAAATAATAAAACTGTAATGAAATTGAAACAGTGCAAATAGAAACATGGGACTACGACCGATATATATATATATATATATGGCCTCTTAAATCTATTAGTCTGATTCATATAACCCAAATATGTATGCCTGCACCAACGCAGAATCGTTTGCTTCGTGAAACAGTTTTGCCTTTTTAACACAAATCTTTTGTATCCACTCTTTGGTCGAATTACCGAAAGACAAATGAAGTACTCTCTCCGTTTAAATGTCTATTAAATGTCTAGTACTCCCTCCGTTTTTTTTAATGAATTTTCTAGCCATTATGTGTTGTTTCACAAAGATAAAATTTTTACCTTTTTGATGCACTTTTTCAGTTTTCAAGATACAATGATTATATTTGTTGGATTTTTATTAGTTTAAAATTATAAAAAGTTGTTTTATTGCAGAAGTCTATACACTAATGATTGAAAATCAACTTTTTCTTAATCTGTGTGAAAAAACTAGAAAATTTATCTTTGAAAAACGGAGGGAGTAATTAAAAACGTTCTGTGACACTTATTATTTGATAATAGCGTGCCCCATTAGGACACATTGTGTACAATGTACACAGAGGTCGACGTTATTTCGGTTGGTTCACACGTAGTATGACATATTTCTGAACAAGATCGAATGTTGGAGGATCATGTATCTCGCTTTAGTTACACAAGTGATAGTTATATTCTGGGATAGCTAGGGGATAGATAGCGCTCATATGTCATCGTCAGAGATTTAACTCAGTCGTCCAGAAGATCAATCTTCAGGCTTTTATATCGTTCCCACCAAACTTTACGTTCCTATATAACTTTGTTTGCATCATTATCAGATAAATGTCAGCCAAAATTAACAAAGATAGAAGTAGAGTGACGACGAATTGCGTAAGACTTTGGAGAAAACGAATATTTCTAATTTTCTTTGTCTAGGCGTACATTTATTATTGCACATGATAAATCTTTGTTTCTAGTCATCTTATAAAAAGTAAAAACGCGCTAATGAGTCGAAATGGAAACAGTAATTAATGTGTATGGTACTACTTTTTAGTTTTGCCATTTTTACTTGCGACTTTGTGAGTTCGTGAATTTTCTTCTCTCGCCTCCTCAATTTTTTTTTTTTTTTTGTTTTTTTTGTTTTAAGCCTCCTCAATTTAATTTCTTACATATTTACATATATTCTGTTAAATTACATTGTATTTGCATATAGGATATTCATACATGCAACCTCATTCGCTACAAGCAACCTCAGATACATGCAATTTCTTGATACAAGCAACCTCATTCGAAAAAGAAAAGAAAAAAACATCTCATTCGCTACAATCTTGTTTCAGGAAATATTTGTTGTTTGATACCCTTTTAGGATTAAGGATACTTTTTTGTTTTGTTTTGATTCAGTTTAGCACTAATCGAGGCCCTTTTTAGGGTTTAATATGGGCTTGTATCCCTTGAGGCTTTTATTAGTTTATATTGCATTTCATAAAAGCCCAAATAAAACACAAAGATATTTCAATATAAAGTTTTCTTTTTATCAGAAACAAATTATTCACTTGAGCCAAGCTGTCTTATTTCGACAAGTTTCATGTGGTGTTCAATCCCAGAAAATGGTAATAGAGTAGCCGATCAAATAGCCCAAGAGTTTTCACACAAAAAAGTACCTAACCTTTAGTATATTGTGCCAGTTTGTATAAAACTGTGTTTTAAGGCTGATGAGTTTAATATTGTGACAAAAGAATTTGTTACAAAGAGTTTGTATAAAACTGTGTGTTGAGGCTGATGAGTCTTTGTTGTACCTAGGAGTTGGATTAGTGAAAAGTTGATGATGAGCCAAAGATCTAATTCTGAATAATAATGTGTTTACAAAACAAGGAAAGACCGTCTAAAGCTGTCGCTCTGCTGGTTAATGGCCATTGTTAAGGTGTTTAGTTCTCGCCCACAACATAAGTCATAATTATAATGTATAAAAGTACCGTTGCCATATTTCTTTGAAAACATTGACAGACGGGTTTATTGTTGGATTGATCTTATAATGATCAATGAATGTAAACGAGTGTGTTTGGGACTGGATTCGTAGGTTGGAGCAGCGTTATATATTTGATTTACATATCGGGAGCAAAGCCAGATGTTTGTCGGTTGTGGCCAGTCTTACACTGACCTGAAGAAACTCAATGTCAAAGCCATAGTCAAGACACTTCTTAAGTGATGATCATTACCATCTATTATCATTTATCGGTGTGGTTGCCTTGCCTTTTTTATCACTATAAACGTGTTTAGTGACAAGAGTATCCTTCTACATAAAAGATAATGGTTAGTTGGTTACAATATGTCTAGTCACTTTTTTTTCCGAAAATGATCCGTTTAAATTTGTCGTTCTGCCGATTAATAGCCATTAAGATGTTTAGTTTTCGACCACAACGACTCGCAAGTATCGATTATAGGCCCGAGGATTTTCTTTCCTAACGTATAACAGTAGGTCAGTAGCGTTACCGTATATATCGTTTTGCTTTTAATTAGTTAATTAATAGCAATACGACTATACGAGAGATAAATGTACCGTTTCATTGGCTGTTAATCATATTGCAAGAGGTCAAATATTACACAAGTTGGTACTTGTTACGTTACATTGTAAAATTATGTGTTTTTTACTTTTTTTCTTTAACTTCCGACACGTTACTTTTGTAGTATCGATCGGGACAGTTTTTTAATACCGAGTATCGAACATTTTTCTTTTTTTTATTCCTCGAAGTTTGTAATAGTTGTTTGTAACATTTTCACATATACGGAGATTCTTTCTAATCTCTTAAACTTTTAAAGGAAAAGAATTCATATATTCTGAATCATTTTTTTAGCCATATAAATATATTGAATCTTATGAACTAGTTTGAAAATAGGATAAAAGTAAAAATAACTACTTATTCATCGTGGTTTAATGATTTAAGAGGATTCACCATGTGGATCGAAAATTTAAAAAGTCGGCAACAGTACATAAACAGGATTAGTTTTACAACCTGGATTTTCCAAATATACGTAGATTTGATTTAAAAACTTGGATAACTGTGAAAAGAAGTTGAAAAGGAAAACGAGAACCTTTCCATGTTTTTCTTATTGTTCCATATTCTCGTTTTCATCTTTAGCCTATTTCATCTCGTATTAAACCTTTCCTTTTTTAATAAGCTTCCTTATACTCCTTAATCTAGTTGTAAATTTTTTTTACTACTACTATTAAGATCTCTTTTATATAATTTTAAAAAATTAAAGTTCTCACAGAAAAACTTGGTACTATATCTCAAAACAGTAAAACACTCTTTGGTAAATTATTAAAGATTTAATCAATAAGTGTTTTGATAATACTTTATATTTAGTATATAGCAATCTTTTTTTGGTTTTAACAATGATTTTTGATATATTCTGGAACACATAAATTTGTAATGGAAAGTGACTACAAACTGACATCTAATTAGCAAATGAGAGAGAGAGATAATTACACTTAAATATTAATTAAGACCATATTTTTCAAGTTCGGTTCGGATCTTCCGAGCCTATCCCCAAACCAAAAAAAACACTGTTTTGCTCCAAACCACAATGAGTATATAAACACCACCCACCATCTCCATTTATCTTCACCTATAGAGACAAATTCCAAACCCGACAAAATAAATCATCCAAGAGTATTTTGCACTAAAGAAGAAGAAACACTCTAAAAACAAAATGGGAATCATAGTTCCAGTTCTGACCCTTGTTTTCCTCTTGTTCACTACAGTGAGCCATGCAGCCTCCAAACCGAGGGTGATTCTGGTCGGCGGATCTGTGGGGTCGTGGAAGGTTCCAGATTCTCCCAGCAACACTCTCAATCAATGGGCCGAGAACAATCGTTTCAAAGTCGGCGATTTCCTTGGTACTCTATACTTCTGTCCATCTCTTCATTTCTGATCCCATATAGGCTTTTGATTCTGAACAACCCATGTTTTTTATCCAAAAAAGATTTATGACCTAATTGTAGATTATATCAACTATTGTGAAAGATTATTGATAAAAACAAAAAATCCTTTGTTTTGATGTTTTGATGTTTCATGCAATCATATCATATATTTGATATGTTGTATATGGTTTGATATTGATTAATATTTGTATGCATGTGGAAATAGTGTGGAAGTACGACGCAAAAGTAGATTCGGTGTTACAAGTGACAAAGGAAGATTATGATAGTTGTAACACAGCAAATCCCTTGAAGCTATACAATAATGGAGAGACAAAGGTCGAGCTAGACAAATCAGGAGCGTACTTCTTCATCAGTGGTGCTCCCGGTAACTGCGGTAAAGGCGAAAAGATTCATATTGTAGTTTTGTCTGAACGTAAACCTGGTGGTGGTGGCCCAGGCTGTGACGACGGTGGCAATCCTAAGGTTTCTCCTGTTAGTTCTCAGGATCAAGCCCCAGCCCCAGCTCCAGCTGCTAACGCTGCGGTTGGGTTGAAGGTTGGAAGCAGTTTGTTCTTGACCGCGGTTGCAATTGGTTTAGCTATGGCTTAGAGAGATTGGTCGAGAGATGTTAGTCTATTTTTATCGTTTCGTTTTCAAGTTTTTAGCAAGATTCTCTTGTCTTTTTTTTTCTTCAGATTGTTAAGTTTCTTTGTTCACTTAGTTTTCAATATTAATTAAAGATCTCCCTCTTCTGCTTTATGTCATGTATTTTGGGATATTCATTCTCAAAAGCCTGTTCTTGCGATTTGAATCCTACTTTCACTATATCACAACACTTTTAAAATGAACGAAAATAAAAATGTAAAAAACGAGAATTAAGGAGGATATTATACAAGTTTACACAACATTGATGGGTGATAGGATTCAATTTTCTCTACCGAAATTATCGTGGTGATTTTGGTAATTAAAGCAAAGCTAAGCTATAGCGTCCAAGAGAACCAATTTGACACTTCAATATTCTAAGATTATCCTAGATTTTGTTGGTAATGGATTATTGGTAGAGGCCAAATAGATAAAATGCTAATCTAATTTCATTATCCTTCTCATCTAATCTTTGACTTTTGATTAATTTGTCAATCCAAATTAAAGCTCAATTACGATAATTAATATACACCCGTTTCACGTAGAAATTTCATGTCACCGTTTCTGAAGCAAATCAAATTACGTACGCGTTTTCTTTATTTTCAAGTAACGTATTAATGAGTAATTTAAGGGAGATTTAATGAGCAAACTAATGGAAAAAACATGCAATACAGAAAAAGCCTGCCTATAATGGCTTAATGGGCTAAATTTATCCAGTGACTTCAAAAAGCCTTGTAGTTTACTACTTGTCCTTTCTCTACAAACGGCATGCAGTCTATCACACCAACGAGATGACGTAATCCGCCGCTTTATCAGTTTAAAACGACACACATTTGGTGTGCAGAAAGTGAAAACAGCAAAGCAACGACTCCTGAGATAAGAGTGAAGATGACAGATTACATGAGCAAATCTCACGGATGTTTTACTCGAGATTCCGCCATGAATGTCGCTTCTTCTCGGGGCGTCTCTTCACATCTTCCATGTATTTGCCCACTCTGCTCTACTTCTTTCTACATCATTTCTGGATATATATATATATATATATATATATATAACTTCGATTTTCATTTGGGGATAACTGTTTTCTTAATCATGTTCTCAGATTATGGTAAACCCATTTGTTCATCACAGTCGTCGTTGATTCGGGTAAACTTTCGTTGTTTACTATCGCTTTTTTCGATTCTTTACTCTTGTGTGATTGATTCTTTGATAGTTTTCTGAGAAAATGATTGAAAGTGAAAGGTATTCTGCAATAGAAAGCTTAATTAGGATTTGAACTTGGTGATTTTTTTCCTGTTCAAGTGAAATAGCTTGTTTTGTGGATTTGTATAATTGGAATTAGTTGAAAATGAAACTTTCGAAGCTCTAATTCTAGAAATCTCTTATGGAATTGTTCTGATTTTCATGAAATTCTTGGAAATGCAGATTCCACGAGATAAAGGATATAGTTTTGCTCGTATTTCAAATGGATTGGCGAGCTTGAGTACTTCACTTCATGGTAAGGCAGTCAAGATTTCTTTCTGATATCTGAAGAAGATAATATTTGCCAATTCTGAGCTTTCTTTATCATCTGCACCATTCCCAAGAACAAGACATCCTCTTGATTTCTTGATGTTATCTCTAAAATCAGTCTTTGCTCTATATAGAGACTTGTAGAACATATATATCATACTCTGTCATTTTGGTTTTGAGATCTTTTAGTTACTTGGAAGTGATTAAATCATTTCTTGCTTCTTCTTTAGCTGCTCCGAGAGGAAACTTTACTGGTGTACAATGGTGTAACCGCTCTTCAAGATGTGATCCGTACAAAGTTCATGACAAGAAATCATTGAGATTAAGTGAATCGCCAAGAAACATCACTGTGAAATCGGATCTTTCAGGAGCTGCAACCCCTGAGTCTTCTTCTTCTCCAAAACCAGGTTTTCTTTTTGGCTAAACCTTTGTGAACAGCTTTGATCTTCATCTTTTCTTTCGTTCCTGTCTCTATACACAATTCTTTCTTGTCTTTTCAACTATGAAGTGCAGAGATTAAGCTGAGCTCAAGACTCAGAGGGATATGCTTTTGTATCGTCGCTGCCATCTCCGCCACTTTCCTCATCGTCCTCATGTTCATCGGACATCCTTTCGTCCTCCTCTTCGACCGCTACAGGAGAAAATACCATCACCTCATTGCTAAAATCTGGGCTTCCATAAGCATTTTTCCGTTCTACAACGTCGACATTGAAGGTTTGGACAATCTGCCGTCTTCAGACACTCCTGCTGTGTATGTATCAAACCACCAAAGCTTCCTGGATATATACACACTTCTCAGCCTCGGCAAAAGCTTTAAGTTCATCAGCAAGACTGGGATATTCGTGATTCCTATCATCGGTTGGGCCATGTCCATGATGGGTGTTGTTCCCTTGAAGCGTATGGACCCAAGAAGCCAAGTGGTATGCAACTCTCTGTTTCTCCCACACTCTTTTGAGTGTCTGTGTTTAAAGTCTGACTCTTTTTAACTCTTTTGCATTTTGTAGGATTGCTTAAAACGCTGCATGGAACTCGTTAAGAAGGGAGCATCAGTCTTCTTCTTCCCGGAAGGAACTCGGAGTAAAGATGGTCGGTTAGGTCCTTTCAAGGTAAACACAATCTCTCAAGATTCTTGATCATGTCATGGTCTGTGTCTGTCTGTGTTTAACACGGAGTTTTACAGAAAGGTGCATTTACGGTAGCGGCGAAGACCGGAGTTCCAGTGGTTCCGATAACGCTGATGGGAACGGGAGAGATCATGCCGACGGGAAGTGAAGGAATACTGAACCATGGGAATGTGAGAGTTATCATCCATAAGCCGATACATGGAAGCAAAGCGGATGTTCTTTGCAACGAGGCCAGAAACAAGATTGCAGAATCTATGAATCTCTTGAGCTGATGATCCTCAGCAATGTTGTGTTTTTGCAGTTTCTCTGATGAAACAGTGAGATGCTAAATTGTTTTACATGTGGAAGAAGAAAATGTGTTCAGATTTTGAGGGATATTTGAAGGAAATGTCAGATTTATAGTTGAAATGTTTTAAAGAGTTAATATGCCTTCTGGCTTTTTCTCTGTTGTTTATGGCCTCATTGGTCTTACTCTTACACACGTCTTCCCTCAATATTTGTGTTGATCCCAATCATTATGTACAAACAGAACAAAAAACATACAAATTCCCAAATGTTTGGAACATTTCTACTTGGCTACGACGATTTTAATTTTTTTTTATAAAAAAGACAAAAATTCTAATAAAATATGTTAATACTTGAATTGGAGTTAGTTAAGTGGCCAACCGACAATAAAAGCTACAACGAATATGTGTTTTCAAGACTAATGTAATGTCAAGAAAAAAATGATTAAACATGTAACCTATGTGTGTGTGTGTGTGTTTTTTTGGTAAAAGATTTATAGCATTCTATGAGAAACGTTAGAAGACTTGAGAGTAATTATTGATTTTCGTATAACTAATTACACTGTAGTTGTGTATTGAATTAAATTAAACGTTAGGGATTAGAGACGGGGCGGCAGGTACAGAGGAGTGGACCCGACCCGGACGGCACGGAGACAGTTTCAGTTTCTTCTCTTAAATCCTTTTTTCATCTCTCTCTCTGTCTGAAACGACTTCGTCTCCTCCCATCATTCCTCACTTTCTTCTTCTTCTACACCCTTCTCGTCTCCGCCTAATTCTGCCTGCACGTTCTCTTCCTACATTCTTGCTTCTTCTTCTTCTTCTTCGGTATCCTTACATTCCCTCTCAACTCCTTAACCCTATAACTCTGACTCTGCGGAATGATCATTGATTTTGCACTTCTCAATTGCTAAATTTTGACGACATTTTTTCTCTTTTAAGATTGTTTCATCTTGATGCTGACAAAAATGAGTGATAATTCTCGTTTGTACTTGATGATTTGATTTGTGGGATGAATTTGTGTGTTCCTTTGAAAGTTTTCCGTCATTTTGAATCCCAAATCAACGAAAATGGATGAATGTTCTTACTCCGTTACTTGCTTTGAATTAAATCCATTAACAGAATGTTTTTTTAGAGAACAAACATCACATTTTTGGTGCTTTTGAATATTTCCGTTTCTTTTTTTCTTCATATTGAGTTTTTGCATTTGGTACTTGAATAGATTTTTGTGTTAATTATTTCTTTATTTACATTAATCATGTGTGAAAGCAGGTTTGGAGACTTGTGATTCATGAGTTAAGTCACAGGGGAAAAAGCATGTTCGACTGTGGCAAAAAAATAGTGAAATCACAAGTTATCAGTGGCCAACTCGAGAAGTTTGTAAGGTATAACTAGTTTCAAAACATTCACATTATTGTATTGTATCTCAACATTTTTTGCACATCTTTCTATAGTTTGATCAAAATCTTGTTCTGTCTTTATCAGAGATTCAGAAAAATAAAGTACGTTTTAGTTTCTTTTGTTCTTCACAGGTTGGATAGTACTATGGATTCTAGGTACTCACAGGCTTCCGAGACAGGTCTAAACAAATGCACACTCAATCTACAAGGACCAACACGTGGTATTGTTCATGGCAACAATGCATCATCCGGATCTTTCAAGAAAGGATTTAGAAAAGGCTCCAAAGGTCTTTGGTCTCTAGGAAGATCAATCGGTCTCGGGGTTTCACGTGCGGTTTTTCCAGAAGATCTTAAAGCAACAGAGAAGAAGATCTTTGATCCACAGGACAAGTTTCTTTTGCTCTGCAACAAGCTCTTTGTCACTTCTTGCATCCTCGCTGTCTCTGTTGATCCGCTCTTCTTGTATCTTCCGTTTGTCAACGATAAAGAGAAATGTATTGGTATAGACAAGAGACTTGCTATCATAGCAACAACGCTGAGGACAGTGATTGATTCGTTTTATCTTTTCCACATGGCCCTCCGGTTTAGAACAGCTTTCGTCGCTCCTTCTTCTCGTGTGTTCGGTCGTGGAGAGCTTGTGATCGATCCTCCACAGATAGCTAAACGTTATCTTCAGCAGTACTTCATCATTGATTTTCTCTCCGTTCTTCCACTTCCACAGGTAATACTAATAGAAATCTCCTCTAAGTTTCTTGTTCTCAAACTTGATGTGATTTGTTTACTTTTTTCAGATTGTGGTTTGGAGATTTCTTTACACGTCTAGAGGAGCAAATGTCTTGGCAACAAAGCAGGCGTTGAGATGTATCATTTTAGTTCAATACATTCCGAGGTTTATTCGTATATATCCTCTGAGCTCAGAGCTAAAGAGAACAGCTGGTGTTTTCGCTGAAACTGCTTGGGCTGGTGCAGCTTATTACTTGCTACTCTACATGCTCGCAAGTCATGTCAGTACCAATTTTCTTGCTACATTTTCCTTCAAACAATCTTGTTCATAAACTCTCTGTTCTTGAACTTGTTTGTTTTTTTCAGATTGTTGGGGCTTTGTGGTACTTACTGGCTTTAGAACGTAACAACTCATGCTGGAGCAGGGCTTGCCGTAATAATGGACAGGACTGTACAAGGAATTATCTCTTTTGTGGTAATGAAGATATGGATGGTTATGCTGCTTGGAGCAACATCAAAGATTCTGTTCTTCAGAGACATTGTCCTGTCAATGTCACCGATGGTGACAATCCTCCATTTGATTTCGGAATCTACTTGAGAGCGTTGTCCTCTGGCATTGTTTCTTCCAACAGCTTTGTCTCTAAGTACTTCTTCTGTCTCTGGTGGGGACTTCAGAATCTAAGCACACTTGGTCAAGGGCTTCAAACAAGTACATACCCTGGAGAGGTTATATTCTCCATAGCACTTGCTATTGCTGGACTTCTACTCTTTGCTCTTCTCATTGGAAACATGCAGACGTATCTTCAGTCTCTTACGATCCGGCTTGAAGAAATGAGAGTGAAGAGACGTGACTCTGAGCAGTGGATGCATCACCGGATGCTTCCACCGGAGCTGAGAGAACGTGTCAGACGGTATGACCAGTACAAATGGTTGGAGACACGTGGAGTCGATGAAGAGAATTTGGTTCAAAACCTTCCAAAGGATCTTAGAAGAGATATCAAACGACATCTCTGTCTGGCTTTGGTTAGGAGGGTAAGTTTAAAACTATTTCAAAAGCCTTTTTTTCTCTCATCTTCTGACATAACTGAAACCATCTTGTTCTTGTTCTTGTTTTGGAAAGGTTCCATTGTTTGAGAATATGGAAGAGAGGCTGCTTGATGCAATCTGTGAGCGGTTGAAGCCGTGTCTGTACACAGAGAGATCTTACTTGGTCCGGGAAGGAGACCCGGTTAACGAGATGCTCTTCATAATCCGTGGTCGGCTCGAGAGTGTGACCACAGATGGAGGGAGAAGCGGTTTCTTCAACCGTAGTTTGCTTAAAGAAGGAGACTTCTGCGGTGAGGAGCTTTTGACATGGGCACTTGATCCCAAATCCGGCTCCAATCTACCGTCCTCAACAAGAACCGCAAAGGCGTTAACCGAGGTAGAGGCGTTCGCTTTGATAGCCGACGAGCTAAAGTTCGTGGCTAGCCAGTTCAGGAGACTGCACAGCAGGCAAGTTCAACACACTTTCAGATTCTACTCACAGCAGTGGAGGACTTGGGCTGCTATATTCATACAAGCCGCGTGGCGACGACACATGAAGAAGAAGAAGCTTGAGCAACTCAGGAAAGAGGAAGAAGAAGGTGGAGGCTCGGTTGCTAGCATCAGAGCGACGTTCTTGGCGTCAAAGTTTGCTGCGAATGCACTTCGTAAAGTTCACAAGAACCGTAGCATTGCAGCAAAATCTACTGAAGAGCTTGTGAAATTTCCGAAGCCTTCAGAACCTGATTTCTCTGCTGATAATGATGATCCTCAACAACAATATTAAGAATGCTGACCTTAATTTCCAAAAGATATAGCACAAACAAATGTATCTATGAATGCTCATAACTCAGATTGATTTGACTTGTTGTTTGATTTGTGATTCAACCTTAAGATAAAGTACAAATGTTTACATAAATGATTGTTTTCAGCGTTTGAAGGACATTACAGATTCATCAGGAGAGAGCACATTTGATAGCAAACCAAACTGACTCTGATCAACTTTTCAGAAAGTTTTTGCAGAGCTTCTGCCATAGATTCCGGTCTGGTTGCGCAGTCTCCATGGTCTTCTTCGCCTTATCCGCAAACTCTTGCTGCAAAAACAGACAAAAGATTTAATCACATTGCAATACTTAATGAGTTTTGATACTGACATGATTGAACAAACCTCCATAAGCTTCAAATTGACGACACGGTCCACGATCTCAAAGAGAATCTCTTTGTTATACTCAGGATGCCCTTGGATGCAGAGGAAGTGATCTCCAAGTGAGAACATCTCGACCTCGCAAAACTCGGAAGATGCAAGAAGTGTAGCAGACTCGGGAAGTTCCAACACTTCGTCCCGATGGCATTTTATAATGGCTAGAGATGCCGGGACATCGCCTCCTCCGAAGTAACCTCGTAGCTTTTCATTGTCCTTTGCTATTGTTATGCTTCTCAGTCCCATGTCTAGTCCTTGACGAGCCCTGCCTATCTTCCCTCCTTTGACTCTAGTAATTAGCTGGTTAAAAAGAACAGATAGAGATTTCAAGAACAAAGAAACACTCTCGATTAACAAAACCGTTAAAAAATCAATTTTCAGCTCACTAAGTATGTCACTAAAAGTCATCTCTTTATGCCAATGTTCAAGAAGATAGTTTACATTTCCTCCACTATGAGGAAAGGATTCAACAATGCCTAAGCATTTGAATCTCTTCAGATACTGAAACTACAGATAAAATGATGGTACAGATCAAACCAACATCCAGAGATTACCACTAGAGATTACCAAATTCTGGGGCTTTGACTATTATTACATAGAGAAGTCTACTACTTTGACCATGAAATCAATCAAATGAGCTAAAATGTGACTGGATTGCTAAATATAGAGTAACAAGTGGGTCGATCTGAGAAAATGAAATATCATATTCAGATTACAATCGACACCACAAAATACACATTCCAATAAACCCTAAGATTTCACAACTGATCAGATCCAAATCAGAAATGTAAATCTTAAGAAAATTGAAACCAAAAAAATCAAAATTTATTCATAGATGCGAGGAAAAATTGTACCTGGTGGCCGAAGCAGATGCCGAGAACCTTCTTCTTCATCTCATCGAGTTTCTGAACAACCGAGCAAAGCTTGACGATCCAATCGGCGTCTCCGAAAGCGTCGTGTGGACTACCGCTGATAACGAAACCGTCGTACTTGTCGAGATCGTTCTCGTCGGGGAATTCGCCGTCGATCGCTCGGAATAGATCCCACTGCTCGCCTTCGTCGCCGAAAGTCGAGACGAAGACGTTGAAGTAACCTCCGTAAGCCTTCTTCACGAACTCGGAGTCGTACGTCGTCAGAAACAGAGCGAACCTCTTCTTCTGCTCCACCATCTTCTTCTTCTTCTTCTTCTCAGATGATCACGGATGCAGAAAAAGAGGGACAGCGAGAGAATCGGAAAATGAAAATGCGGGGAGGAGCTCAAGACGACAGAGAACACGATCACATGCGCCAAGTGAGAGTTTTGGTTAAGAAAAATTAATTAAAAACGAAATAAAAAAGGTCAGTGACAATAGATTAAAAACTTTGTTTCGAAGCTATCACATTTAATTGTATTATCATGTTTGTATTAATTAGTGTATAAAGTATAAACCAATCATTTACAAATCATGATCTTTTGCTTATCGGTAATTTATTTAATATGTTACATTACGTTATGAAACTACAGAAAGTAGTACATCTATTAGAGAATAGAGACCATGAGTCCATGACTAGCTAGTCAAACAAAGTTGGTTCGTCCTTTGAGAAAATTCTTGCAAAGCATGTGTAAACGCTGCGTGTCTGGTTCGACCTTCTCTATCGAACCCTTTGCTTTCTCCAAAAGTTCCTCCTACAATATACAAGTACTCATTTTATACATAATACATATATCATAAACAATGGCTTTGAAAGGAATATTTGTTTAAGTAAGAACAATTTAAGTTCACAAGCTTCAACGATAGATAATAAATCAAGATGGTCGTTTAAACGAACCTCGATGAAATTGATCTTTTTGACACGATCGATGATCTCCAAGAGGATCTCCTTGTTATACTCGGGATGGCCTTGAATGCAAAGCAAGTGATCTTCCACAGAGAATATCTCAACGTCGTACTTGCTCGAGAATCCAATGACTTTGGCCGATTCAGGAGGCTCAAGTACTTCGTCTCGGTGACATTTTATGATCGTCAAAGACTCGGGAACTTCTTCACCGAAGTAACCACCCGGTTCGATCATATCTCGAACGATGGTTATGTTACTGAGGCCTATGTCTGGTCCTCTACGAGCCCTTCCCACTTCCCCACCTCTTACTCTACATATTATCTAAATTCCGGGTAAGTATTTCAAGAAGAAAAAAGTAGACGTAAATGTAAGGAATTACTTAACTATATGAAACCTACATTTTCTGAATCAACTATATTTTAAATAATAATAAATAAACATATTGGATGGTAATAATATGAAACCTGGTGACCAAAGCATATGCCAAGTATTTTCTTCTTCATCGCATCAAGTTTTCGACAAACAGAGCAAAGCGTGATGATCCAATCCTCTTCTGCGAAAGCGTCATGCAAACTCCCGCTAATGACGAATCCGTCATACGTATCAAGATCTTCGTCTTCGGGAAACTCTCCGTCGATCACACGAAAAAGGTCCCATTGCTCTCCTTCGTCTCCAAAAGCCGAGACGAATACGTTGAAGTAACCTCCGTACATCTCCTTCACGAACTCGGAATCCGGTGTCGCTTGAAACAGAGCGTATCTTCCTGTCTGCTTCACCATTGTAATATAGCGAGAAAGAGAGATAAGGATGTTGGTGATGGTGAGAGAATTGAAGGATGCATGTAACAGGGCATATATATATGTAGGAGATAAACACTTTGGTTTGGTCTATTAGAACCGGTTTTCGGTTTGGTCTATTGATCAAACTTATATTAGTTTTGGAATATCAGAACCAGTGATCAGTGCCTTTATAAATCCGAAATTGGTATGAAAAAAGAAAGTGTTGTGCTTGTAGAGAATAGAGAGATACTGTAGGACAACAATTAGGGGTTTAATATCCATTACAATAAAAAAAAAAGGTTCCGACCAAAAAAAAAATAAAAAAAAAAAGGTAATGGGTTTTCCGGTTCGATTTCGTTAAACCGGTTTAAACTTAACTTTGTAAGACATAACAAATTATAACCGATGAGTTCGTTTCAATTTACATCCTCATGTGTTTATTTTGGCATGCATATATTTCATTTATATCCTCGCGACGTGTATTTTGGCATTGATTCTTTGTGGGTCATAATAATAAGTGGATCGATATGCATTTCTTTCTTCTCAATTTCGGTCCGTAAATATGGAAAACAAACTGTGAAATTTTGTCCAAAACATTAAAAATGGTTGATTTCTAAACCCACAAGTCCACAACCATTAAAGATAATGTGAAATACTAAGTTAAAAAATAAATGCCAAGTTCCTGACTGTTGCTTGATTCTGGTTCAACAGCAAGCGGAGTACTTGAGTTAGGTTTTATTTGTGGTGTTATGCACTTATGCTTTTAATCCCCATAATCTCGTACTTGGCCAGCAAAAGACTGATTCAGACATACTAATTAAGGTTTGGCAGAAAACAAATACAAGTACTAACGATGTTTGAGATATATATACAGTTGATCCGCCTTCTTCGGAGCTCAATTGTCCACTATCCAATATCAGTAGACGAGCTAAAGACTAATTTGGCGATCAAGTTTTTGAATAGTAGTTTTTATCTAGATGGCTACTAACTCTTGTTATTTAAGATAGGCTTTTTATTTTCTTTGCATGACTTCGATCTTGATTAGCTAATTTTGGGTCGAACAGTAACGGTCCTAACCTCTACTTTTGGACCAAACATCGACACGTTCATTCGATTTGATGGGTTGTACATATCTGTTTTTTTGCTAAAGAGTTTGGTTGAGTGAAATCCAACACTAACGAACAATGTTAATAGTATGCATCTATAAGTTTCGAGTATTGATAATATTACAAATTTATAATATTAGCACAAATTGTGTATATATATAATAAAAAATGGATAAGGAATCTCGTTCTGAAAATCCACTTTCGGTAATGGTGTAAGATTACACTGTACAGATAGTGTGTTACCGACAGATAATAACTCTACAAGCATGCATGAGTGAAGAATCAGGTGACCATTTAACCGAATGCAATAACTAAAGTTAGAATAAAAATTGGATATGGAATCGTTCGATGACAACTCCATAAGATAAAATCTTTACATGCAAACTAGTTTGACCACAAACAAAATCCCACCAAGTTAAGAAGTACTAGGTAAAAGTACGAAACGCAATGATGTCTCACTAAGATATGATTTTGTGGTCTATAGCACAATAACAAAACTATACGATAGAAAAAAATCAAATCCATACCCTTGTTCGGACTTCGGACTAGTGGTTACTTGTGACCTTAATATGGCTGACGCAATTGAAGGAAAAAAAAAAGAGCCTTACTTGCTCATCGTGGCATTTCCCTCATCCACAAACTCTTGCTACATATTTATTTCTAGATTGGAAATATATTCCCGATCTAGATGTTGTTCCCGTTCTCACTTTATTCGATTTTCAAACAATTATAACTAGCATATGAGTTTATACCAACGAGGCACACAACACATGCATCCACAAGTTACCGAAAATGGGATATTGGTTACACAACACATAAATATGACATTATGAGATTAATAGGTTTATACATTGAACAGGGAGAGAGTAAAGCAAGATAATTAACCCATAGATGTCCCAATATCATAACAAGAGCCAAATTAAAAGTAGGGGATAATTTGAGAGTGAAACTAATTTAATTAGTTGGAATTCTGCCTTTGAGGAAATTCTTGCAAATCGTCTCCAAAACTTTCCTGTCTGCTTCCCTATTCTCCATCGATGCCTTTGCCGAATCCGCCAATTCTTGCTGCAAAATCATTTCATAATTTATCAATTCTATTCCAGATTTTGTTCTCAGTGGTATTTTATTCGATTCCAAAACAGTTACAGTAGTGATCATATGTTTATACTAGCAACTTAACAACATCCACATGCCCCGGAAAAATAAAATATTGTGTCACCAAGTACTACTAAATTAATATTCGATCAAGTAGGGAATTCTAATATTCTCCTACTTTTATCCAAAATATGACACAGTTTTCCACGTGATTTATTTTGTAATAATAATATTAAGGGGGGAAGAGAAATGAAACAAACCTGGATGTAGCCAAGACGAAGAACACGATCAACGATCTCGTGGAGAATCTCTTTGTTGTACTCAGGATGTCCTTGGATACAGAAGAAATGATCCTCAATAGAGAACATCTCCACCTCGTACTTTTCGGAATAAGCCAGCAGTTTAGCAGATTCAGGCAGCACCAACACTTCGTCCTGGTGGAGTTTTAGGATCGCAATGCTCTCCGGAATCTCGTTGTCTCCGAAGTAAGTTCCCGGCTTAATCGCATCCTTCACGATGGTAATGTCTGCAAGTCTAAGTTCTGGTCCTTTCCTTGCTCTCCCAACTGTTCCTCCTCTTATTCTCGCTATGATCTAAAAAAAGAAAATCGTATTTTTTCGGTTAGAAGAAATCTTTTCATCTTGATCGAAAACATTATGCCAAGTGGCAAGTGTGTCAGTCTCTTAGTAGATCCAAATATTTTTACTGTCATGCTTACTATTAGTTACTTCACTAGATTGTTCATAAACTAATCACCCATTAATCAAAAACATTATACCTAAGGAGTATGATTTACTTGTTAATTTCATGTTTTTACACAGAGGAACCAATAATTCATTCAGAATTGGAATTTGATTCTCTAAAACGGGAATCTTTAACTTTTTCACTCAATATTTTGCAGAAAATGGTATAATTTAACTAGATGATAAACTAAATGCATGAAACAAAACCATGGAAATGAGATGTTAAGAAAACCCATTAAATTCGTAATCAAATAAAAAAAAAAATTTGTATTAAAAAGGTTCCCAATTCCCATCTTGATAAAATTCCAGTCAATACTTCGTCAAAATTAATTCAAGGTAGGACCAATAATTAATTAAAATTAAATTGGCAAAAAAAAATGAAATGAAAGTTAAAAAAAAAAAAAACAGGAACCTGGTGACCAAAGCAGATGCCAAGAACTTTCTTCTTCATCTCATCAAGCTTCTTGACCATCTCACACAGCTTAAGGATCCAATCATGATTCTCGAAGGCATCGTGAGAGCTTCCACTGATAACGAAACCGTCGTACTTCTCGAGATCTTTCTCCTCGGGAAACTCACCGTCGACAACCCTAAACGAGTCCCAATGCTCTCCTTCGTCTCCAAACGTCGAGACGAACACGTGGTGGTATCCTCCGTACGCTTTCTTCACGAACTCTGAGTCTGGAGTCGCTAGAAAGAGGCAGTACTTTTTCTGCTCCACCATTTTTTCCCCGGCGAAAGAAAGCACAGAGAGAGGATTGATTTGAGGAAAGAGCGAAGAGGAGAGCAATGAAGAATAAACACGTATCTAGATGTGTATTTATATGAGATTGGATTTTGGTCGACCCACCTACTTGGTTTTGAATTTTCCACGTTTTATGTGATAGTGTTGTTGTGGAACACTAGACAGCTAGGTAGCCATTGTTGACCGTTTGTACAGAGGTTATTGACATTATTGAATCCTTTAACATCATAATATTATTAAAATGAATGTGGACAACAACAAAAGTTAATAGAATTGTATTACACCGAATCACATGCAAAAAGCAGTTTGTTTGATGTTTCTGTTATCTTATCGCATCTCGAATAACTCTTTTTTTTTTTGTTTGTTAAATACATACTCCAGTAACAACTTTAATTAGCTTGTTTTTAGAAGCTTATAAATGGAACAAAAATTAAATTCTTGATGACTTTTCCAAACTTATGGAAGACTTGTAACTTTGTTATGTATTTGGAACAGGGACTTGATATTTATAGTTTTATCTTTTAATCTGTTGCTCGTTTTTGACCGAAAATTAAACTATCAAACTTAGGAAAATATGTATCAATTAACCTCACTTTGTTTTTGTTTTTTTCAGTAGCATCTCTTGACCAAAAGTATTAAATAAGTTTGTAAGTCCTAAGTCGTACTCGTAAGTCGCAAGTAGTTAGTCGTGACTCGTGTGAGTAACGCCAGTTTTTATAACGACTTGGTTTATTCGCTTATCGAAAATGTAGGTACACCAATTCTTGTTTTTTTGTGTCAGTGCAAACGTATACGGAGTATGAGTTATGACTATTTCTCCGCCGTTCCAAGAAGGGTTCTCATTTCTCAACTCCACTGTCTCTTTATTTATTAGATTAAATAGAGCGGTCCAAATATTGCGTTATATAAAGAGGCACTAATGTCAAACAAACTGCAAAGTGAATTTCGAATATAGTCCACAAATGCGTCTAGTTACGTACATGATACTATTACTTTGTATGATGCCCACCGCTAATGCTTTATCTTACAAATGTCCAATAAAACAAATTATTTGGTTTTAGTTTGATTTGATTGATTATTAACCTTTTCCGGATGTTTTTACTTTTTAGTAAGTCATCGATTGATAACATCTTGCTCTGTTCTATATCTGCGTATGTACCGGTCCAGAACATAAAGTGAAGTTGTGCGCTTTGATATGGGCCTACTTTTTTTTACAACAAATAGGCTTTATTTACTGCTGAATCATATGGGTCTTAAGAATTTGGAGGTAAACATTTGTAAATGTTTAATCAGATTAGTTCGTCCTTTCTAATACTGTACAATATAAATCACAAAGCTACGTCTAAGGTGGACCATCCAAAATTGATCATTGGGTCATTTCAGAAGATGAGCAAATACAAGATGTCTGGCTCCGTTTTCACTCTAATTTTGTATTTTTATGGGTTTGGATCATTAATCTTTAAACGTACCGGTGGATTCAAGCTGAACCAATGTCGTTAAAAACAATCATCATGCATTCCACTAAAAGTAGTTGTTTTAAAAAGTAAAAAAAAATCGTGTTTTAACTTCGACCACCTATTTTGTAAAGCAAAACTCTTTTCGTCTTGTGTTTATTTGATGGTTTACTCGTAATCATCCCACCATATTTGGCTTTTCCGTGACGGATCCAATTTCTCTTATATTGGATTTACAACAAAACTACAACGAAAAAAATGTCTTTAAGAAATAAAACAGTGTTACAATGGACAGAGGAAGCTGACGTTTCCTCAGACATTCTGTCTCATTCGTAACTCTTTTTTTTTTCTTTTGCCTTTTCTCTGTCATTTCACCTCACAAGTCAGTAAGTCACTACTCACTACCCCTCTCTCTGTTATTCTAGCTTCCTCTTACTACCTTCGTACACGTGTAACTCTCTAAACTCTAAAGCCGTTAGATCTTTCTACTCTGCAACATAGTGAACATCTAACCAATTCCTACCACTAATTTTGAATTCCGGTTCGGTTCAATTATCATTCCGAGACCAGTATATTGTTTTTTGGGTGTATCATGTATATGTGAATGTGATATGGGTCTTTGGGAAAGTGAAAGATGAAAATGTGTGTAGGTTTTGTGGTGGTAGTCTCGATAAAATCTTAGCCTCGACTAGGGAAGCACATGTTTTTAGTCAGACCATCTTCAAGCTTATATTATTTTTCCCTTATTTTTACCTTGTAAATAACTAAATATCCATATGGGTTTTGCTAATCAGTCCACTATTAAACCTTCCTATTATGTTTGACAAACGAAACCCTACCTACAATAAAATAAGAAAACACGCAAATAATTAAATTGTTGATTGAAAGAGTAAAAGACATCAATTCCACGTCGGAAATAAGGAACACCGACGAATTGGTGTTAGATTTACAGTTTTACACGCATTATAGGGATCATTTTACATTTTTATTGCTGATCTATCTTTCGGTTTTCACCCAAACCACTGGGGTCAATGTTAGATTTATCATTTATTCAACATAACCGAGACGGAACTAAGCGTAACGACCAAGTGATTAAAATGAACTCGTTTAATTGTTACATATAAGGAAAATTAAGCTTTCGAGAATTTCTGACTATGTCACTAGTAATCTTTATTTCTATGGCATATGCCTTCTAATACTAATTTGAATAAACGGTAATGCGTGTTTGTTGCAGTTAAAAGTTAAAACGATACAATCGTGTCAACACTCATTTAATCATATTCATAAAGTTTTGTGTCATTATTATTACCAATGTTTATGGACTCGTAAATTTTAAATGCGTTAGACACATGTTGATCACGAATTTCTAACTGCCTAGTAAATTCTTAAGTAATTACCAAAAAAACAAGTTTTACGAAAATAAGTATTTATGACAGTCGTATTTAGTGCCCACACAAAGAACTTTGGAGAGAGAGAGAAGGTAAGGTTTAGAAGGAGGCTTCTCTCAGACGAAACGAATAAAGAACAAAAAGCAAAGCTGAGAAGAATCCACAAAAGGTGAAAAAAGCAAGAAGAGGAGGAAGACGAAGAAGAAGCAAATATGTATTCTTATTTCATCTTCTGATTGACTGATTCACGCACAATTTTTCTTCTTCACCAGTTGCCACTCCTCTCTTTCTCTCTCTTACTCACTTGTTCTTGTTCTTAATGCTTGATCTGATTTTTTCTCTTCTCTTGAATTTTTGTTTAGTAATAGAGAAACTAGTGGAGGGTACTATTACTGCAACTATGGTGAGGTTTCAAGAAGGCATTTTGGTTAGAGAAGAAGAAAATTGAGTTTCAAAACTCTTCAAATGACGTTGATCAGATCCATTTCGTTATTATCTTTAATTTGATCCTTCTGTTGAAACCATTTTAGTGTAACGTTTTGGAAAGTAGTGGTATTGGCGGAATGGCTCAATCTCCTTGTCACAATTATCACTTATATTTATACACTCTTCTTTTCTTTTCTTGAATTTTATTGTTGCTGTATGATTTTCATATTTCATTTATTAACCAGATAACTTGTTTTTGCTTGCAAAAGATAAAAAGAAATTGTGAACTATTTATATTATGAACTGCAAATATAGCTTTTTCATGCTTTCATCAATTATGCAAGTACTTGGCGAGCAGGATATCATTTTAACTTCAAGCTATTGCATGTTTTAGCTATATCTCGATTTGTCATTTTCTAAGGATTTAATGTGTATATATATTGGTGATGATATCGAATGTCTGTCTAAGTAATTTTAATTATCACTCCATGTGTACTGTTGGGTGTTGACTACACAATAGAGGAAAGCAACAAAGAAAGAGATATGGACCATATGGTTGTTTCTTGGATATGGTTGGTTGTTTCTTGGTTATACAATTATAGTTTATATACAATCTGATATGATATGTTCATAATTTTCGAATTTTCTTGCTCGTTTAGTTTGTAATTTTTTTTTTAAATAATTAACTAGTCTACAAGTACTATGTTAAGATTTTTGTGGCAATCATCTTGGGTAAGGTGGGAGATATCTTGAATCCCCCGTTGCCTTGTGTGCTCGAAGCCCAAAACAAAATGTCACATCGCATATCAACCATTTACTAATTAGTAATTATACATATATCATTGAATTTTTTTTTTTTTTTTTTGAGGAAAGGCTTATCATTGAAATTTTCCATGAACAGAAAGCTCTATCTCAAGGCATACAATAATATGTATATATATGCCTTTGCTATTTACCAGATCTCAAGATGTAGGGTATGAACGTAAGATTAGTGTCCAAGTTGGCGTAAAAAAATAAAGTAAATTTGTTGTCACACACTGTTTACTCTTTTCTGTTTACACCGACCAGCTTAAAAAAAGTGGATATCATTTTTGCCTGGGTTTTGCTAAAGGAAAGAGAAAAAACTTAAGTAGAGTAACAACTTTGTAAAATCAAGATAACATTTTGCTAAAATCACGAAATTTGTGATACAAAAAACTACTCTACTTTTGATTATGATACAAAAGTTATGTGGTTATGTATATATTTCAGACTCATTTTGAGAAGTAACATATTCTTGAGATTTGCCATTGGGCTATCAAATCGTTGGCCCATGATACCAGATCTTAGATCATCAGGTGTCCCGTTTTGTTATTTTTTCTCTGCTCCAAAAATTTAAAGAAATATATATATAAACAATTCTCTTCTCTATGGTAAAAAAATAATGAAAACTATATAAATGTCAGAAGTGGGGTTTGAACCCACGCCCTCTTACGAGGACCAGAACTTGAGTCTGGCGCCTTAGACCACTCGGCCATCCTGACTTTGGTTATATAACCAAATCTTAACTACATGTTACTTTGCGAAAACAAATATCTACCCATGTACGAAATACTAATAGTAACTACAAAGGACTTAACCTTAAACAAATGCTCACTAGCTCAGAATATTCAGATATATAATAATCGTAAATAAATAAGTAGATACAATGAAGAACGTGGAAGAATCAGGTCGACCATATGAACAAAGAGAGATCGCAGAAGAATAAACGCACTCCAACGAAGATTTTGCTTCTCCTTTCTCTCTCTTTTCCTCCTTTATTTTAAAATCAACTTTTTTACACTCTCTTTTATTTTTTATTCACTTTTAGACTTTTAGTATCTTTTTCTCTTTTGTTTGCTTTTTAAAGCCTTTTCTTTGCGTAATTTTACAAACAAAATCACAAATTTTGTTTATAAGATTGTAACCGAATCATAATGCAAAAAGTCAGTAGAATTGTTTAGGCATTATATTACCGATAGTACATTTGTGTTACTGATAAATATGAAAAGTAAACATTTGTTTTTATTACGTAATATTTAGCATTTTGATACTGTTAATCTAACAGTTGGTATAATTCACAATTTTTCCACTACATTTTCTAGACACTAAAATGACTTCAAGATCCACTAACTAGACATATGACTGATGACTCAGGCTCCATTGCTAGGAATAGGATGCAAAACCAACACTGAACTGCTACACAGATTGAACCAGTCGCAAAGCATATAATAGATTTTTTTAAAAAGAGGTAATAATATCTTTTTAAAAGACTTGGATGGAATAAAGCATATATAACTGGTGCATATGAGAATATGGTCCCGTGGATAAAAAGATGAAACAAACGTTACTAAGAAAATTATAGAGGAAAAATATCCAAAGATTTATGTGGTGCAAATTATTGGGAAGTGATTTTCTATTTTTATAACCCTTCATGAAAGTTGATTAATTATAGATCTCTCTATTTCCGTATGTTTGCGTTATGCTTCGATTTTGTGAAAATATATGAGAATACCGAAAAGAGGCTAAAAACGCATAATAATATTGATCTGAAGCTGGAGCTGGATTTGTCCCATCATTATCATCTAGTCTTTTCTCCACTTTCGTGAATGACCAAACAAAGATTCAAGTCTTACAAATTTTCGTAATCTGAAGTTAAATATTGTGTGAAACATTTAACAATATCTTTCTCGTAGCGTAATAATAGATTTTAGTCTCTCGAGCGTAATCAAAGAAAACAAGCACATGAAAATCAGTCATAATTTCAATCGTATTACAGTATATGTTAATTTGAAGAAGAAATTAAACTTAATTAGGGAATACATATGAAACAAGTACAAAGATACATGCATGATGTAACATGTAAGGACATGCATGATGTACGAAGGATCACTGATAATATGTGACAAGTAAATTAGGTGATCGGTTGCAAAGCGTCCCGCTGCTTACCTCATCTTGCTCATCCTAATTCGGTATCTTGGCCACTTCCATTTCTGTAACTTTCTAGACCAAGATCCAAATTGATTTACTTATTTTTAGTCATCAAGACAATTAGACTAACCACTAATGACGAACCGGAACATAATCGAACACATATTTTGCGTACCAATCCACCGTTGGCGATGATAAAGATTAATGGGCAAAATGTATGATTGATTATTCATTACTACATGTACATTTTGAACAAAAATTTCGTTGTTTTCTAGCATTTTTTTATTAGAAAAACATACATTCGAAACGTGGGGGTCATGAATGTTCTTGCAGTAAAGTAAGACGTGATTGAAAGGGGAAAAGATAGAAAAGTAATAAAATAAGAAAAAGACAAAGATGTAATTATTAGAGGAGGGCGTTGGATTAAAACCGTAACTTAATACGAAAGCAGGAGAAGGGGTGCCAAATAATACAAAAGAAAACAGAGAGCTGAAAAAGGAAGAAAACAAAGTATAGGGACTTAACAAAAATAATGTTAACATCAACAAATAACACCTCTTATAAGGCAAGTGTGGATTCTCCTATTTCAGGCTTATCTCTACTTGTTGCCACTCACTATCTCATGTTGTTGCGTTTTGACATTTTCATACAACAGTTTCTATATATGCGCATCATTAAATATCACTATCATTAAATTACAAATTTAGGTAGGAAGAAGACAGCAAATTTGAAATTTCATCTTCTGGTAAAAGATTTAAGTTTCCATTAAAGATGGAAGAAAAACTTGGAAAAAAAAGACAAAAGAATGAAAGAGGAGGAAGCGCATTTTAGCGTGCAGATCAGTCCTCTACTCTAGCCTGTGTCACTGATAGTCCTACTCCTAGTACACTACATTACATCAATTCTCTCTTTAATTTTTCTTTCCTTATTTAACTGTAAAATGGAGAAATAAAACAAACTTTGTAACTCAAAGATTTTATCCTGATATTATATATATATAGGCATAGAGATCAGTAGACTCTCCTAGAGGTAAAGTTGGCGAATTTAATTTAAACCACACATCCATTTTGATCAAGAGTAATCCATCTTATAAGGAAAACAAGTTCTTGCAATAAAACAAGAAAATTGATATTTGATTTTCATAAATAAAAATTTCGATTGTTCTGTAAGTTCAGTATGTGATACTTATGTGTATATTTCTAAATACCTTTAAATTTTTATTTATTTATTAATCACAATTTACAAAATGTGAAACCAAAATCATAATCTCCTAATCAAATGTTTTTCTTTTTACTAAAAAAAAAGACAAGAAAAAGAGAGAGAGAGAGACTGGAGTAGACCAGCATCCACCTTACCGGGTCCGACAGTCCGTATCAGCTTCCCCTGATTCTCTCTCCCCCCACAATCCCAATTCTCTCTCTCTCTCTTTCTCTCTGCACTCTCCTCTTTTGTTTTGCCTCTCTCTCTTTCCCTCATTTAAACGCTCTCATGTATGCCTTCTTTACTTATCTCTTGTGAGAGAGACTGTTTCAGAAGAAGAAAGAAAGACTTCTTCTCACTTCTTTTGATAAAGCAGAGATTTTTTTTTATCTTCTGCTTTGTTTTGCTTTTGCTTTCTCTTCTTTTGCTATGTGTGTTTGTGGGCACAACACAAACCCACGAAAAAAAAAAGTAAATGTTGTCTCCCTTTCTCTTCATTGTTTACTTCTCTCGTAGCTAAAGCTTCCATGGTGGTAACTAAGAAGACGATGATGATGATGATTCAACTTCATCTCTTCTCCTACTTGTTCTTGTGTCTCTGTTTCTCTACTCTCACTCTCTCCTCTGAGCCCAGAAACCCTGAAGGTAAAAAACATCACAATACTAAAAAAAACGTCTCTTTTTTGTCCATTTGGTGTAAAGGTTGGATTTTTATCTCTTTTCTGAATCGAATTTTTGAAAATGGGTTATACAGTGGAGGCGTTGATAGATATAAAGAACGGTTTGAATGATCCTCATGGAGCTTTTAACAACTGGGACGAGTTCTCAGTTGATCCTTGTAGCTGGGCTATGATCACTTGCTCTTCCGACAACCTCGTCACTGGCTTGTGAGTTTTTCTTTCTTTACTGTGCGTCTGTTTCCTTCGATTTTGTTCTGTTCTTCTCAAGTTCATTAATGGCGACAAATCTCTCTCTTTCTCTCTCTCCAATTGCAGAGGAGCTCCAAGCCAGTCTCTCTCCGGAAGATTATCTGAGTCAATCGGAAACCTCACAAATCTCCGACAAGTGTAAGATTACGACATCCTCGGATCCTCCTCCTCTCTTGTCTCTGTCTTTTTTATAATATAAATAATTTTGTTTGTTTCTCTAACCCTCAGTTTCCTATATGTGGGTTTTTGAAGGTCATTGCAGAATAACAACATCTCCGGCAAAATCCCGCCGGAGCTCGGTTTTCTTCCTAAATTACAAACCTTGGATCTCTCCAACAACCGATTCTCCGGCGAAATCCCCGTTTCCGTCGAGCAACTAAGCAGCCTCCAATATCTGTGAGCGTTTTTCTTCAATCTTGTTCCCCATGTAATGATTTGATGATCAGTTCATAAATAAATCATCTCACCTCGTACGAATCTGATTTTCTTCTATAGGAGACTGAACAACAACTCATTGTCTGGGCCCTTCCCTGCCTCTTTGTGTCAAATTCCTCATCTCTCCTTCTTGTGAGTTTTAAAGCTTTGTCTTTTACTTTACCTATTGTACCTTATGAAGATTTGTCTGAATTTTTTTTGTTTACTGAAATTCAGGGACTTGTCTTACAACAATCTCAGTGGCCCTGTGCCTAAATTCCCAGCCAAGACTTTCAAGCAAGTTTCTGTTTTAAACATTCCAAGTGATTTCACAAATGATTGTGATTTAATCAGGACTAAGTCTTGCTTCTGCTCTGTTGTTGAATGTAGTGTCGCTGGGAATCCTTTGATTTGTAGAAGCAGCCCACCTGAGATTTGTTCTGGATCAATCAATTCAAGTCCTCTCTCTGTCTCTTTAAGCTCTTCATCAGGTAAATTCTCGTTCTTGCATTGTCTTTTTTTCTTGAATTTCCTTTCATTAATCTCATTCCGGTTTACTTGAGTTAATGTAGGAGGAAGGTCTAATAAATTGGCGATATCACTCGGTTTAAGCCTTGGCTTTGTTGTTTTGATAATCCTTGCTCTCGGTTCCTTTTGTTGGTACCGTAAGAAGCAAAGAAAGCTACTGATACTTAACTTAAACGGTTCGTTGATTCGAGCTTTCTGCTTTTATACATAAACTTAGATTTTAAAATGTTAAAAAGTTTCAGTTTTTTGTGTGTGTTTTGTGCAGATAAACCAGAGGAAGGGCTTCAAGGACTAGGGAATCTAAGAAGCTTCACATTCAGAGAGCTCCATGTATCTACAGATGGTTTCAGCTCCAAGAACATACTTGGCGCTGGAGGATTCGGTAACGTCTACAGAGGAAAGCTAGGAGACGGGACAACGGTTGCAGTGAAACGGTTAAAAGATGTTAATGGAACCTCAGGGGACTCACAGTTTCGAACCGAGCTAGAGATGATTAGCTTAGCCGTTCACCGGAATCTTCTCCGGTTAATCGGTTACTGCGCGACTTCAAGCGAAAGGCTTCTTGTTTACCCTTACATGCCTAATGGCAGCGTCGCTTCTAAGCTTAAATGTTAGTATACAAAGTCTTTAAAACAGTCTCATTACTCAAGAGAGTTTCTTAACCGGTTTTGTTACCTGTGTTGTTGTAGCTAAACCGGCATTGGACTGGAACATGAGGAAGAAGATTGCGATTGGAGCAGCGAGAGGGTTGTTGTATCTACACGAGCAATGTGATCCCAAGATCATTCACAGAGATGTCAAAGCGGCTAATATTCTCTTAGACGAGTGCTTTGAAGCTGTTGTTGGTGATTTTGGGCTCGCCAAGCTCCTTAACCACGAGGACTCTCATGTCACAACCGCGGTTCGTGGCACGGTTGGTCACATTGCTCCTGAGTATCTCTCAACCGGTCAGTCTTCTGAGAAAACCGATGTTTTTGGGTTCGGTATACTTTTGCTAGAGCTCATAACCGGGATGAGAGCTCTTGAGTTCGGTAAAACCGTTAGCCAGAAAGGAGCTATGCTTGAATGGGTAAGCAAAAATCACACATTTTTTCTTTCTTTATAACTTTACAAGAATCAAAATTTAACTTTTTGGTTTAGGTGAGGAAGTTGCATGAAGAGACGAAAGCTGAGGAATTGGTGGACCGAGAGCTCGGGACTAGCTACGATAAGATTGAGGTTGGAGAGATGTTGCAAGTGGCTTTGCTATGCACTCAGTACCTTCCTGCTCACAGGCCTAAAATGTCTGAAGTGGTTTTGATGCTGGAAGGAGATGGTTTAGCCGAGAGATGGGCTGCTTCGCATAACCATTCACATTTCTACCATGCCAACATCTCTTTCAAGACCATCTCTTCTCTGTCCACAACTTCTGTGTCAAGGCTTGATGCACATTGCAATGATCCGACTTATCAAATGTTCGGTTCTTCGGCTTTCGAGGATGACGATGATCAACAGCCTTTGGATTCTTTCGCCATGGAACTGTCCGGTCCAAGATAACACAAAAGATAACATTTTTTGTTCGATCAAAACCGATGGAATTAAAAAGCTCAACACTTTTTATGATATAGATATGTATATGGTTGATGAATTGATGAAAATTTCTCTACAAGTTTGAGATTCTGTGTTCATTATTATGCTGATGTGTATATATTTTCTTTTGATTTTTGAGCTATTTTTGCTTTAAACATTATGATGGCAAAGGAAGAAAACACTATGAGACTGATATGATTGACTCTTCTTTTGACCAGAATCTGATCACAATCGCATCAATGCGTATGAGATATCAGAATTTGGCTTTTGTTTTAATCATAAGCTGCTTGTAGAGATGTGGTCCTCTCCTCTTTAAGCTAATGCTTGCAACTTTTGTCCAACTTTGACCCTCATGTGTCATTTTCAAAATTTGACATCCAAGACGACACCGTTTCAGAGAGAAAGAGAAGTAGAGGAAACGACAGTGTTTTGGGAAGTCGTCATCAAGTAGGAGAAGAAGAAGAAGACGAAAAACAGAACATATATAAAGTAGAAAGAGAAGCAAAGCTTGAAGAAGAAAGAGAGTCTTTTTACAATTTTGGCGACATGGCGAATCAGTCCTCTCCATCTCCTCTCTATTGTGTTTCTTTTAATCAAGATAATAGGCGAGTTTTTTTTTACGTTTTCTCTAAAATGGAAAAATTATTGAAGACAACAAATTCGATTCTGTTAGTGGATTTTCCAGGAAAATTTGTTGCGTTTTTCTTTTATTTCTGGTCAGATAACGTTTTTTTGTTGTTTGCTGCTCGATTTTTTTGCAGTGGTTTTGCGATAAGTTCGAAAGATTCCTTCAAAATATTCGATTCTACTACAGGCAGACTCTGCTATGAACGAGGCAAGTTTTTATCATCCTCTTAGAGATTCTCTGTTCGTTTTTGCTCTGCAATTCTGGGTATCAATCAAAAGACGTAACCTTTTGTTGTCAATGTCCTTTTAGTTGAATCTCGTGGCGTTTACATTGATGGGCTTATAGGAAAATTGGTTAGATTAATGGAAATCTTAAGTATGATCAGATTTTGAAGAAAACTTCCTGTAATGCAGACATCAAACGCTTATGAAATGAATTTTGACATAGGATTATATGATCTAATAATCCTAGATTGATTCCAAGCTTCAAGTTTTTTCATGAAACTATGTATTGAAGTTGTTTACTGTTTGATTTGTTTGTTGTTTGTAGCTGCTGGGGCTTTTGTTATTGTTGAGATGTTGTATAGCTCAGATCTACTTGCCATTGTTGGAGCTGGTGAACAGGTTTGTGCTTTATAATCATTTTTCTCTGTCACTAGATTGGATCTTTATATGATATGGGCAAATTTCATGTATATAGGCTTCTCTATCTCCAAGGCGTCTGTGTTTATTCAAGACCACAACAGGCTCTCCTCTCAGGGAAATGAACTTCTTAACCTCTATACTCGCTGTTCGTATGAACAAGAAACGGTTAGTTAGTTAGTTTACCAAACTCTTGATTTTTTTTCTGATGATTTTGCTTGTTTTTGAGAGTGAATTTTGCCTGTGATTGATTCTTATCAGACTTGTTGTTGTGCTGCTAGAGAAAACATTCGTTTACGACTTGAATACTCTTGTCATGCTTGATACCATCGACACCGTGCCAAATCCTAAAGGTAGCTCTCGGAAACTTCCTTCATCAACTTCAATTGAAGCAGTTCGTTTGTAAACAAGAATGTATTATCTATCTTTGAGCAGGTCTCGCTGCGTTCTCTCCATCTCCGGAAGGCTGCTACTTAGCTGTTCCAGCTAGTGCCACGAAAGGATCTGTTTTGGTGTATAACGTCATGGATTTGCAGTCTCACAGTGAGGTTTTACTAAGATGATTCACCTAATCTCATATTAATATTCTGGCTTTTTAGTTGCATACTAAACTCAAACTCTTGACTAACTTGCTAACAGATAGATGCACATCGTTCTCCATTGGCTGCGATTGCCCTCTCTTCAAATGGAATGTACATTGCTACAGCATCTGAGCAAGGGACTCTGATCAGAGTCCATCTTGTTTCAGAAGCAACTAAGGTGAATATTTTGCTCTCTTTGGATAAATCAACATTTTGTCTCTCTCCAGATTCTGATTTGTTTCTTCTTATTTTGTTTGTAGTCGTATAGTTTCAGGAGAGGAACATATCCATCAACAATATATTCACTCTCTTTCGGACCGTCGACACAGCTTCCTGATATATTGATTGCAACGAGTTCTTCAGGCTCCGTTCACGCCTTCTCTTTAAGGTTGGCCATAAACCAAAGGTGAGTATTAAGAATCACACACTTGCTTTCCCTTCACACATAGTGAGACTCCTAATAACAGTTTTTCATAATCTTTATCAGAAGCAAAAGGTCTAGTAGCTTTCTTGGATCGGTCCTTCCCGACAGCGTGAGTGATGCTCTGGATCCAGCGCATCATCACGTACTTCAAAATGCAGTCTCTTCCGGGATTAGAAGGTGAAAAGACTAATCTCTTGGACACTGCTATATAACTTATTAGGCTATATATATAATCCAAGTGGTTTTATTGTCGCTTGCTTGCTTGCTTGTGTTAATACAGTTATGCAGTGATTAGGAAGATAGACAAACATGAAGGAACATCATCTCCATCTCAGTTTACATCTCTTAGGTAGCTTGAGAAAGTTTTGCGGTTTGTTTTTGGAACAGAACGATACCACAAAAGCTTGATGATCGTTCTTGTTTCTCCTTCTTTTCAGGGCGACGGTATCGGTCATTACATATAATGGCTATTTCCAGGAGTATACGCTAAGTATCAACAACAAGAATGAATCTTTGTGGACTCTGGAACGTGAATTCAACCTCTTCTCCATTACCGCAAGGTGATACTAACCCAATACCAAAGATATGGAAAGTACATGGCAGCTTCTTTGTTGTATATAACTGTTTGTACTTTGGCTTCCATCAAAATTAGTTTTGTTTTACAGTCTCATGATCTTGTGCTGTATTCTCAAATATAGTTTGTTACTGTATCTTAATCTTCATTTGTGTTAAAAGAAATTCAATGAACAACAACTCTTTTTCTACTGTGCAAGTACTCAAGAAAAACTAGAAATGGTCATCTTCACATATCCATTAAACTAAAATAGTGTAAAAGACAGTTACATCCGTACAAGAAGTTTGCATTTGTATGTTTGAAGGAAGAGTTTCCAAATTATGTTGCTAAAGACATTTTATCGTGTTCTTGTCCTGACGACTTGACCTCTAGAAGCTTTCTTCTCCATCTTCTCCCTCTTTTTGCGAGTCTTCTCATCCTCTACACCTCCCTAAGTTCAGCCACAGAGACAAACAAACACACAGTCCATTTTAATAATCCACATGTTTCCAAACTTGTATAAAGCACTCTCGAGAGTATTCAAAGTTAAGGTCTTTACCTCTGAACCTTGTGACATAAATCCTCTAATAAGACTAGAACCTTTGTACGCTCCAAATGCAGGAATCTATAACAAACATCATTTTTAAACAGGTACTGCAATGAATCTATTGTATGCCTAAACTAGTATTCAAAAAAATTCCAATAAAGAATATTCAAAAGGGACTCATACCACTAGATACGCGTACCAAAACTTCCCAGAGATGATAGATGCTATCTGCACAAAGCAGGTGATGTACAATACATCGTGCAAATATCTGCAAAGCAAGAGCGTATAGAAGCTACCATCAAATCCAATCCACCATCACTTGAATCATATACTAATTACACAAATCAGCAACTGATAAGAAAAGACAATTCATGGACAAAGATAAAGCAAGCCACTTTGTGTTCTTAGTTGATCAATAAAGGAGAGAATTTGAGAACATACCCACAGATTCCACCGGTGCTCATGTCGAAGCCACCATCGATAAGTTCACCATCATCAGTAACACTAGGCTTTGCCATTTGATTGAGCCATTTGTAAGGAAGCCCGTAGCCTAACGACGTCACCACAAGACCGATCCAATGTGTCCAGGTAAAGCTCGAATGGAAAATCAGCATCCTCACTATGATGTAGAAAACCTGCGAACACGTATCCACAAAAAAAATCAATACTCAAAAGTCAAAATCCGATCTACGAATTTTAGTTCCGATTTGATCAGGTAACGTTATCTAATCATATCGAAATGACAATGAATTTTCATATTCTAGAATCGAAAATCAGGGAAAGGCTCAGGTGATGAGGAATTACATTGCAAGCGATGATGATTCGACGGAGCTTGGCCATGTGTCGTGTGTTTTCATCTTTTCGCTTCTTTGCTCCTTGATTCGCCATTAGCAATATCCGATTCTAGCTCCAAATGTCTCTTTTCTGGTCAGCTCAAGCCACAATAACAGCAACAAGTCTCTGTGAATGAAATCACCGGCCAGGCAAAATCGAGCGAAGAAGACGACAGTCGTAAGTTCCGATGAATAGTCTACGAAAGACATAAAAAACTGTGTGGGCCTAGGCCCAATATTAGATTTTGTCAAATATTTCATTAAATACAAATATTAGCTTTCATCTTTGTAGCTTCATGGTTTGTTCTGCTTCATAGTAGGAGATCTTTCTCTGCTATTGATAGTATTATGGATGCGAAGATGTGTTGCATGTTGTGGTCCTTGGAGAGTATGGTGTTCCATAGAATCAATCATGTAGTTTTTGCAGCAGAAGAGGCAGATATTTTGGGAATCATGTCAAGACCTATGGCTTGGCCTTCCTACAAAGCTCATTTCTGGGAGCTGAATCAGTTCTTGGTAAGGTTTTCAAATTGGAAAGTGGAAGTAGTGTCACGAGCAGCCAATAGAGGAGCATTTCTCATTGCTCAAAGTGCTTTGGAGGATCATTTTCATCAATCATATGTTGCAAGTAGTCATCCCTTTTGGCTCCATGGTTTATTTGAGAATGAGAAAAGTTCAGCCTCTATGTAATAGTGTAGTTTTTTGGTTCGGCTGTTGTGCCCTATTGATGTAGTTGTAAATGGTTGATGCTTTGCTTTGCTTGTAGATTAAACTCTGTAGCTCTGGTCTTTTCTATTGACCCTTTGTAACTCCTTTTGATATATATATCTTCAGATGTTAAAAAAAAAAGCTTCTGTTTGCGATCAAATATTTGACAAAATCTGAATACAAAAATTACATCTCTTATCTATCACTTTCCTCCGAACTAAGCTGGAAGACTTTGAGAACTTAGAAACTGTGAGACTCTCATATAACTTCATCAAGAACTTAAAAACTGTGGATGTGTCATGTCCCACTCTCTATGCAGCTAAAGCCGCATTTCTATCAACGCAATTGAGTAGCTCTGTTTGTGCCGCTTCCATTATCACACTGAAGTCTACGCTCATGTACCTTCCCCTGCAAAACCATGTTTCAATAAAATCACATGAATATTATTACTGAAACAATCATATGCATAGCTATGATGATGATGATGGGGATGATGATGATGATTATACCAGAAATGAGTCTTGGACCAGATTGAATTCGGGAAAGCTGGACTTCCAACTCCGTGCATTATTCTCGCTATGGCTCTTGGCGTGAATTTGGCCTGCCGGTTACTCTGCAAGAACACCTGTTTTTCACCCCCACAACATTAACTTAACATTCTTTTGGATACATATCAAAATAAAATTATAAAGTAAACAGTGTGGCTTATTGGATCTTCACCTTTATATCTGCTCGTAGAAAGGAGCTGCATCCACAATTTAAGTTTTGATCAGTTTTAATGGAAAGGATCAAAGAAATGTGAAATCTATGAAAAGAAGTGAAACATTTAGTTAGTACCAATTTTGAGTCGTCTTGCTCGGAGTGTCACAGTTTCCATCTCCATTGAAATAATTCAAAATTCTGCTTTGTAGGCTCTGAGTTTGCTTGGCACCAGCGCTAAGCTCTGAAGTGTTGGAGACATTTATAGCAGCCACGGCTGCACTAGACATTATATCTAGTTTTCTCACCTGTTTCAGATGCAAAATGATGGCTACATATAAGCACAAGCATTGCAACTTACAATTTAGATTAGACCATGAAGGGATTACGAGCTGTTAGCTGCAGTTGAAGAACTTACTTTGCAAGTTTCAATCTCTGCGAGCCACTTGGTAAGATGAGAGGACAACGAGCAGATTTCCCTTGGAACTTCTAAGATTGTGTAACAAAATGCAGGGTCCTTCATCTCGTATGTTACTTCCCCCTTCATCTGCATTGATACTAAGGACATATCAACCACCAAGATCTTGAAAACTATATAATCCAAGGTACTAAAAGGGAAATCTTAGCAGCGTAGAAAAGTGTTATTAACCTTCAAGGTTTGAATCTCAGCCAATACATCTGTTGTTGCAAAACCTATGCTAGAGGCCACAGCTGGTATATCGAAGACATGTAAACCTTGCTTTACGTGAGACCTGAAAACAGAAGAAAAGTCTCAAGCATTTGCTGCAACTATAAAACACTTTTTTCAGAATTGCTTGACCTGAAAAGCTGAAGAAATGGACAGACACTTACTTCTTCAGAATTGCAGCAACTATGGTATTTCGTGCAGCCAGAGTGTTTGGAGAAGACTGCAGATATAGCATAACAATGTATTGACCATCAGAAGCTTCGAGCATACGCCACAATCAAAATTTATTTGGAACTTGTCACTAAATATGAATATGTATTTCAGCTAACAGTTTCCATACCTTGTGGAAATTCAAAGTGCAACATACGTTAATCTGTGGAAGCATACGTAGGTATTGCACTTCGCCCAACTCCAAATGAGTCATAATTGTTTGCATAACCTGCCAGATCCACAGTCAGAATTCAGAGTATTCGTTAAGAAATTGATTTTTCCTGCTCACTAAGAAAAAGTAGAGAGCAATGTGTTTTAAGAAATGCCTTTTAAGTTTCAGAATAATACCTCTTCCTTCATGTCAAATTTATGAGAGGCAGATTCAATGACTAGAGAGCATATCTTCTCATGTTGCTTTGTCTCAGAGGAGAACACATGGGTGAGAAACTTTGCAACTGCATATTCATCGACACCATCACTGAACAAGAAGAGGAAAAAACAAAACGGTAAGAAATTGTAAAGCCTCTCAATGCAATGCCAGGACATATGATAGTACCCAGACCAGTCACCTGTGTGAAAGACTCCGAAGCTTTAGATACGTGTCCGCATCATAAAAGAGATGGCAATAAGACAACCGCCCATCGCGACCAGCACGTCCAATTTCCTATAACAAAGACATTTAGTTTTTTTGAGACTGTTATATGCAAACTGATCACTAAGCTTAAAAAGGACCCAAGAAAGAAAAAAGAGTTTTGAACCTGAACGTATTCTTCCAAACTGCCTGGCACGCTGAAGTGGATTACCTAAAAGCAGACACACAAAATTTAGAAGCATGTATATTGTTACAGGAGATGCGAGTAAGTTTAAGATATTTTCAAGCATTCTAAGGGTTTGCCTTAGACTTACAGCTCCAACATCTCCCTTGTCAAGTCCCATGCCGAATGCCACAGTTGCAACAACCTTCCATAATATAAGAAACAATATTTGAATACTGTCATCAACTTCACTTTCAGTGGACACAGCGTATGGAAATCAGTGAACTTATTCTCTCACCACTCTAATCTTGTTGGAACAAAATGACTCCTGTATGCGAACTCGGTCTTTAGCTGGAAGACCACTGTGATAGCCCTGGTTAACCGGTCGAGCTAAGCTTGATTAGAGAGTGTAATTAGCCACAGATACAAGTAGATGGGAGATTTGAAAATGGAAACAACCTTTGCAGTGATGTTGTTATCGCGTAAGTACTTGCTTATCATGTCAGTCTCATACTGCACAAACACAGCCAAAGTTGCATATTGTTAGCATCAAGCATGATTTCAGTAAGAAATCTGAACAGTTTAAAAAGGTATATTGTAAAGCGTGAGAAAATTTGTATGTAAAATTAAACAAGCCCTTTCACCTGAAATTTGCAGTACACAATGATGCTTTTAATCTTCTTATATGGATGAGACTCCATCAAAATCAATAGATCTTTCATTCTGTTAGATTTCAGATTTCACTCAGTTATAACTATACACAAAAAGCAAAAGAGTGAAAAATATAAAGAAAGCACTTGCCTGTTAGCTCCACTCAATGAGACAGACAACTCAAAATTGTCTCTCAGCTGTGACTTCTGAATAAGATTGGTCGACGGTATCTCTAGTGCAGACATGACAGCCTCAAGAGTCATCGTAGTGGCGGTTGCTGTCATTGCGAGAATGCATTCTGCCTTGAGTGCAGAATACAGCATTGATGCCTTGAGTCTCATGTACGAAGGTCGGAAGTTATGAGACCTGTTTGAAAATAGCTCTTAAAAAAAAAGCGGTAGACACTACAGTCAAATCTACCAGATTCCAAGAAGCTCACCATTCTGATACGCAGTGTGCCTCATCCACGACGAGAAGTGACACGGATAGTGACATGCGGAACATTGACAAAAATTCTACATTCAGAAGTCTCTCGGGAGATACAAAGAGAACCTGAAATTAAACAACAAACCCATCAAATGGCTGATTTCCTTTAAGCCGCCCAAAACGTTGATCGAGAACATACCTTTATTATGCCTTCTTTAAGTTTCCGCAATGTTTCTGTTGCTTCCTCAGGTCTCTAATGAACAAATTTCTCAAAGCAGACTCCATTAGAAACCGCAAAAGCCTATAAAATGACCGAAAATCAACAAAGCAGCAACAAATAACATTTTGTGGCAACACACCTGGCTACTGCTCAAAAGGCCACCCTTTATAACAGAAGGCAGATGCTTCAACTGATCGATCATCAGGGAAACCAAAGGACTCACTACAAGTGTGATTCCCGGAAGTATCATTGCCGGAATCTGGTAGCAGAGAGACTTACCAGCACCGGTGGGCAATACCAGCATCGTCGAGCTCCCACCAAGAACCATCTTGATCGCCTGCAACTGACCATCTCGAAAAGAATCATAACCATACACTAAATTCAACAGCTTAGTCAGATTCTCATCAGAAGCCTCAGTCTTCACCGCAAGAATGGCATCCTCTACTGAGCTGATGAAACCATCATCTTCTTCTTCTCTCTGTTTTTGCAAATCAGACTCTTCCTCCAAGAGGGTTTCGCCTTCACCACCATCAGCTTCTGACTTTTTGTATCTCTTCCCTCTGTATGCGAACTTGCTTCTGGATTTGGAGGCGCCTTTGTATTTGCTGGGAAACTTCTTCCCCCTCTTGCCATTTAAGTTCAATTTCACGAAGTTGCCCTCACCGCCACTGCGAAACACCGGAGCTTTCACCGGCAGAGAGGTTACAGAATCCGTAATTAGATTAGGAGGCTTTCTCCTAACGGGTTTCGGAGGATCGGTTACGACCTGAGGAAGCTCCGGCACACAATTGACGGAGTCAGATTGGCATTCCGGCGTCGATTTCTCTTCGGATGTGAGAGAAGCTCTGCGGAGTCTATAGAAGGACGAAACAGAAGAGGAGACCCTAGTGGGTTGAGAGAGATTCGAAGGTTCGCAGATCCGGAAGGGGAGATTGGTGAACAATGGAGACAGAGGAGAAGAGGAAGATGGTACTGGAGCTTCCTCTGAGTGATCCGGAGGCTGCTGCTGTTTAGGTGCGATGGGCTTCGAGCGAGAGGAAGAAGACGCAACTTTCCGGGAGACCGGAGGCACTTGCCTTGGCGGCGGTGGCTGAGAAATCCTAGGAGGTGGCGGCGGAACTGGGTCTCGGGGAGGAGTGGCGGAGACATGAGAACCATCGGAGTCTGAGTCAGAATCGGAATCCATCGACAATTATGTAGGTTTATGTTATGAATCACTTGTAATTATCTCTTCTCTGTGCCTTAGTCTATTTGAGTGGGGATTAGCTCATTTAGCTTAACCTTTGCTCCTTGATTCGCCACTAACAATCTCCGATTCTAGCTCTCAAATGTCTCTCGTTCTCTGGTCAAATAACAGCAACAAGTCTCTGTGAATGAAATCACCGGCCAGGCAAAATCGATCGAAGAAGACGACAGTCGTAAGTTCCGATGAATAAAAGTCTCGAAAATAAAAAAGTGAAGACATAAGAAATTGTGTGGGCCTAGGCCCAATATTGTATTGTTATCGAGTCATTTGAACATTTTATTCTGACGCGATTGTTATAGAGAATAATTATGCAATAAAGAAAAGAAGCAGTGCGGTTGGTAAGAAATAGACATGTTTTGCAATGTAAGAAGTGACGTGGACACGTGGGAGCATGCGCAATGCAAACCAGTCACCATTTAAGGTCCATGATTCATCATCATCTCTAGGCCATCGAGATCAAAATGTCACGCATTTAAATTTTACACTGTTCAACTTCAAACTTCAAACATTATTGTATTTGGACCCCAAAAAAAAGAATTTATTGACAAAACCAAACTCTTTGGATGGGCGTTGAAAAAAGAATCAAATATAGACCGTTGGATCTACATAGGGACCATGAAAGATTCACGTATATTCCACGTGGAAGATGCTTAGCCCTTGAATGGTGGACATTTGCTACTTGCTAGGCCCACCTGAATGGGGACGCAAAAGGCAAACGCAACATCGAGAAGCTCCATTTTGAATACTATTCACGTTTTATAATTATAAAACTAATTTGACTTGTAGACGTAAGAAGGGTAAGTTTAGTAAAATTTAATGGAAAAGATAGTATACAAAGAAATTACTAAATAATTTTCCAGCGGGTTAATAAGAGTCAACCCTTCTAAATAAGGGGAAATCCTGAAATATTTATCTGATCTCATGATCTGTAAAACAACTATGCTGCAGTCAACAACATTAGCAGCTAATTAGAAATTGTATCTAAAATAATAGAAAACACACGTGTCTCAAGACAATTAAAAAGAAGGTATATCCTTAATTTACTCTTTTAAACACGTCTCCATCTGTTAAGTCTTAAACAGTTAATCATCTTCCTTCTTGGCTATCTTGCTTGCTTGATAAAAATCTCCGTTTTTCTCGGGTCTCTCTGTCTCTTATCTCTAGATATCATCCCATTGCATAAACCTTTTCAAATTCTGTTTCATCATCTTTCACGTTTTCCTCTTGTGCTCAATTCTCATCCCGATCCAGTTTCTCATATATCAATTCAAAGATCTGTTTTTCTTTTGACTCTGTAACTGAATTGACACAGTTTTTTCCTTTTTCTCCGGGAAACAAAGATTGTTCACGGAAAAATTACAAAAAAAAAATTCACAAGGGGAATTTCTAGCTGTTCTAAGTTTAAGGTAAGTCCTCCATCAATTATTGCTCTGTTCTGTATCAACAGCTATTGCTGTTATTGAGAGTTACGTCACCTGTAGTGAGGTTTATCTACAATACCTGCAATAATGCATATACTATTTGTCAACTTTTCTATGAAGAATATCTTTGAACACTTTTTATCCTCTCTTTTTAAAGTTTGTGGTCGCTCTAGCTGATTCTTCTATGCGATATACTCAAGAATTCTCATACTTTATGAATCTCTTCTCTTAAGGAAAGAATCTTCTTCTTCTTTTGGTTTCAGCAATTCAGTTTGCATTGATCGTAGATGAGACCAATCGTTAGAACATCGACTCTAAGTAGAATTAGATGGGCTCTGAGGAATCAAGAACGCAACTCTTCAGCTTTCTACTCGAAAAGCCGCAAACATTTGATCGGTGTCAATCAGAATCATCAAGCTCTGGTGAACACAAACACTCATAGCTCAACTTTGTATTCGAGGTTAAGTTTCTCGAGAGGTTTATCAGCAGAAGCAGTAGAAGCAGCTGATGCTGCTAAGCTCACTGTCTCAGGTTTTGTTTCTTACCAATCAAATTCGGTAATTTCTTAATCTTAAGAGGGAATATTATAATGAATGATTTTGTAAAATTTGGAAAATAGGAGATGTGAATAGAACAGGACCGCTTGTTGAGTACGAGAGAAGAATCAGTGATGGTGAGCTCATGACTGGTGATGTCTGCCAAGTACGAAACAAACAAAAACAATCACTCTTTTTTACTTGAATGAGATTAGTGTGTGTTACTTGCGGCTGAAGGTTTTGTTGAAATGTTGCAGCTTAGTGCATTGAAAGAGCTTCAAAGACTACATGATGAGCTTATGGAATCAGTCGATACATGTCGTTTGGATCGTTACAACACTTCTGATAAATTCTCAAGGTGATTCTTCTTTTTCACCTCAAGTCCTCTGTTAGGAATTTGAGAACGTAAATCTCACGCTTGTGAATCACAGGAGCCGTTGGTTCTGGTCTCGGCTCATGCCACAGTCTTCTTACTCACCCGTCAAAGGGTTATACCTCTACGGAGGTGTAGGCACAGGAAAAACCATGTTGATGGACTTATTCTTTGATCAACTGTAAGTTTTGTATGTTCAAACTCTTATCAAGATCTTGATCTTGCATCACGGGACTCATAATCTTCTCTTTGTTTCGTTAGGCCTTGTACTTGGAAGAAGCAGAGGATACATTTCCATGATTTCATGTTGACCGTTCACAGTCGGTTGCAGAAGCACAAGGGTTTGTCAGATCCACTTGAAGTTGTAGCTCAAGAGATAGCTCATGATGCAATCTTACTATGTCTTGATGAGTTCATGGTATGTATAATCTACTTTTACATAATATTGTCTTCTTCAAAGTGATTATCTTTGGTTCAACACATCTTGAGTTTGATCTTTTTGTTGGCTTCTGTTTTGGTTATTACAGGTTACTGATGTTGCAGATGCTCTGATACTTAACCGACTCTTCGGACATCTCTTCAGCAATGGCATTGTAAGTCTGATGATCTGTAATTACATTCCTCTGCTACAATCATCTCTGCTCATTTGGGTTAAAATGTAGATTCTTGTTGCTACATCGAATCGGAATCCTGATAAACTCTATGAAGGAGGACTACAGAGAGATCTCTTCCTACCTTTCATTTCTTCATTGAAGGTATCTTCATCACTTCCGTTAATTATATTTCAATCTCTCAGTTTCGTCTCAAGTGTCATAGAGATAGTCCGTTTTCGCAGGAACGGAATGTGGTTCATGAGATTGGCTCATCCGTTGATTACCGGAAACTGACTTCGGTACTGCTCTTAAAAAACCCTTGTAGAAACTCCATAGGTTTGGCTTCAAGCCGAAGCAGAGTTTCAATAACTAGCAATGCTTCTTGAAATTTTGTAGGCTGAGCAAGGATTCTACTTCATTGGTAAAGATCTCTCGACCCTTTTGAAACAGAAGTTCCAACATTTGATTGGAGACAATGTTGTTGCGCGTCCACAGGTAGTAGAAGTCGTCATGGGAAGACAATTACAGGTACACAATTAGTACCAACCAATTAGTAAAAGCCCTCTGTGTGATCACAACATCATTTTCGTTGTCTCTATGAGTTCTTCATTCAGACCAATGCTGCTTTCATGAACAGGTTTTAGGTGCTAATGGGTGTGCATACTTTCCTTTTGAAGACTTATGCGACCGACCACTTGGAGCTGCTGATTACTTTGGATTGTTCAGTAAGTTACTACTCAGCTCTGGCTCTCTCTCTCTCTCATCTGCAAAACTTGTCTCAAAACGGTTCTTCTTGATGTTGCAGAGAAGTTCCATACACTTGCATTGGAAGGAATCCCGGTTTTCGGGCTTGATAACCGGACTGCTGCGTATAGATTCGTCACGCTAGTCGATGTATGGTTCCTCTCTTTTTCTTTCTAAGATGGCACAACCAAATCATCCATCGATGCTAATATGGTTTTAAGAGTTGCAGGTGATGTATGAGAACAGAGCAAGGTTGTTGTGTACAGCTGAAGCAAGTCCTCAAGAACTCTTGGAAAAGATTGTAACCATCTGGGATGCTAAGTCGATGGCTCCAAGAACATCTTCGAGATCAAGAAAGAACGATGTCTCCGAGCTTTGCGTGGACAATGAGCTAGGCTTCGCGAAAGATAGAACCATCAGTAGGTAATGTAACCAAAAGCCAGTCTCTCTGAGAATACAACTAAAAAGCTTTATTGCATTTCGCTCATCAAGTGAGTTTGTTGGTTACGTATGTGCAGATTAACAGAAATGAACAGCAAAGAGTACTTGGAGCAGCATGCCATAGCACACAATCTATAAAACATACATGATCCTCATGTGACAACTTGTTGTATTTTCTGCATCATGTGAGAGTGGGACAAATCAATCACCAACCAATTGTTGTAACATTGAATTTTTGAATTTACAGTTATATTAAATCAAAAGATTGATTGCATATTTTCAGTACCAATGCATCAAGAAACGTAACACATTGCAATGGTGACCAAATTGTTGCTAAACATTTTGAAGTGGTAGAAGCAAAACATTAAAGACCACTACTAGTTCTGGAAAGAAAGAGAGTAGGAGCCAGTGTTTGGATCTTTAACAGCCTTGAAGTTGTCCACACTCATCCCAAATCGACCCAAAATCGAGTTTCCCATCTCCTTCAGCTTAGCTACAAGCACAAAAAAACACATTCGACATATCAACACTAATCAATGAAATCATTCCCAAAGGGAACATTTTGATCTTCTATGAAAGAAGCAGAACTTACTTATAGCCTCTTCTTTCATCTTTTCTCGCTTCTCAGCAGCAAGAGGTTCGAGGCGTCGAATCCCTTTCCTAGCTTGATCATTTGAGGGGTCAAGTTCTAAGATCTTCTTCAAGTCTGTATATAAGAAGAGAGAGAGACTTAGTGTAAACTCTTACACTAAACCCATTCCAAAAAATACAAGAAACCAACATAGAACTTCATAGCCTAATGTTCTAATGAACTCACCAGTGAGAGCATCTTCAAAGTGTTCAAGCTTCTCGTTTGCTTCTGCCCTTCGAACCAAGGCCTTAGAGTAAGTAGGATTTAGCTCTAATGCCTTTGTGCATTCCTTGACCGTTTCTTCATATTTACCCTGACAAACATTTCATAGGAATCTTCAGCACTATTGGTAACTATTCAAGAGACTAAGAAGTACGCTCACACATACCAATTTGAGGAAACACACGCCTCTGTTTAAATGGCAGATAGATCGAAGCTCTATAGAATCGGAGAAGTCATGAACAAGCTCTAAAGCAAGAGCATACTTTGACAATGCCTCTTCGTAAAGGCCATTTACGAACAGTTTGTTTCCTTCCGCTTTAGCCTCATTTGCTTCTGCCATTGCTTTCTCCTTCCATATAAAAAAAGGCAAAATTTCTTCTAAAAGTTCACAAATTTACAGGAATTTGAAGCTCTGTTACTACGTTCACTAATGAAACCATAAACCCAGAACTCCGAAAAACCCTAAAGATGAGCGTACCAACACATTTCTCGTTCAATCTATGTGGGACTCACCTGGTTTGATCCGTCGTCAGTGATGGCTTCTGCTTCTCTCGTTAGCTCAATCTGCTCTTCCTTCTTCTCCGGTTTATCCTGCTGATGTGGTTCCGTTACGGCGTCGTTTTTGCTATCATCGTCCTCTCCTTCTTCATCGCTGATTTCCCGTTCGCTGGCAGTTTCGAATCCGTCGGAATCATCTCCGGCGACTTGTTTCGCCTCCGTTGCGGCCATTGTTTCGGGTTGAGGTGATGATGAAGACGGTTGTGGTTCTTCTTTGATGAGGATCTCGTTCTCACTGTCGCTTGACTCGATTAACACCATCTTTTCAGTTTAGGGTTCTTCGAGATTTTGCAGAAAGGTTTCAACTTTAACTTCTCGATCGTCGTCGATCAGAATCAAAACACGGAAGACGAAGGTTCAAGATGCTCGTAAAACGGCAGCGTTTTGTTTGCCTGGTTAAAAATATTTGGTTCGGTCTGCGTTATGCAATCTCAGACCCAGTGGCGGGTGGCCCATCTGATATTCATTTTGTCTATGAATTGTGGGAAATTATGGAACATAACTGCTGATTTCTTTTGGGGAATCAAATATTTGTCTCTCCAAAAGTTGTATTCCGTGTCGATCACTCTTTTCACCATCTTTAATCTTTATTCTTCTCTTATGAAAGTGTAATGTTTCACTTGCTCCTCTTTTGAAGGGTCTATGAATTAGATTGTGTGAAATGTCTTCTCTTGGTGGTGACGATCTAATTTCTTGTGATCAAGAGGAAGATTTGGCCATATGACTCCTGTAAGAGTAGTGATCTTGTTAGATTGTCAGAGAATTATTACATAACAGAATTGTCATTCAACTAATAACAGATCTTTCAGGTTCGTTAGCAAAGTTAATTTACGAATTATGTCGCTTTAAAAGGTTCATATACGTAACAACAACTCTCACAATCAATTACTAATATGATTAACAAAAAAATAGAAAGCATTCATATTGTGCTCCCGGAGAAAGATATCAAATCCAAAAAAAAGCTACTCGTATATTATATAATCACATAACAGGATATATGATTTTTCTTTTTCTTTTTGATAGTTCACGAGCAATACATGCTACTATGAGAAGGTAAAATATACAAATCCTAATTTCTTTTTTCTTTGTATACACTCCTCGTTTTCAATTTAAATAGTATAAATATTTCTTCAACAAGCAGAGCCAGCTTCTACCAGCTTGCTCAATTTATTGTTCCTCAATCTTTCTTCGTAGACTTCACTTCCTTGCATCTCATTCTCATACCTACATGACATTTAATATGTAAGACATGGTATTGAAGTAAGTTGCGTAAATCCATTGAGTCCATGACACAATAAATAAAATTGAAATGAACCAGTTAATATATAAAGTAACATCATCTCATTAAAAACAGCAAAATGTACCTCGGTGGCATAGGTATCAAAGGAGACAAACTCGAGACAAGCTTGAGAGCTTCTTCTTCTGTGTTGACGATTTGGTTAAAGCAGAAATATCTACCGCAAGCTGAAACATCCTCGAATGCTCTTATATGAACATCCGCAAGAAACTTAACGTCTACGTACGCCAGCACACCATTCTCATACATTTGTGCAGCTCCTATTACCAATACCGTTTCATCAGTTTTAAATCCCGAGTGTATACTAATGAACTAAGCCGTTTATTTTCACGTGCTTGTGGTGAATTTGGTTAAGATAACAAAGATTAAAGATTGAAGTACCTTTGAGGTAAGACATGGTGGGCCTTGGGTTGTGCTGTGCGACAGATGGTCCGACGACGAGACCAGGATTGATAGAGACCATGTTAAGCCTACGGTCCATGGCTAGTGCCCAAGCTGCTTTCTCCGACAGCATCTTTGCTAATGCGTGCCACAACTGCATCCACATACAATTTGTACGCACGTGAGTTTGACCTTGTGCGTATGCAAAAAGTACATTACTACTAATAGTAACCAAAATAGAGTAAATTCCTAAAAGTAGCAAGATGAAAAATCCATTAAAAAAATGTAATGGAATTTCGACTGTTTCTTGTTGACTGTTCTACTCGATGTCATACAGCTATACACGTTAATATTGTCCCCGAATAATTAGTTGCACAAAGTTAGATAAGTTCATTTATGACGATTATAAAAAAAAGACCACCATCTGTATATTATGCCCTTTAATTAATCAAGAGCTGTACATTGTATTTATGAGACATGGATATGAATATATTCAATTAATATGCCCCCTCACGAATTTTCTATGTCGTCCGGTTAAATTATTCGAGATAATGTGACAATACATTTGTTGAAGAGACCCAAACTTTGACTATTAGAAAGATACCACACCAAATTGTATAACAAAAATAACATTAAAAAATTGTAAGTCAATGTATTTTTTTGTCAGCAAATTAATTCCATGTATATTTATAATATTTCAAAATTCAGAATATATAGACCTAACTGACTAATAAAATACTCCAATATATTTATAATGTGAGCTAGCTACATTAAATAAAATGCCAGGAAACAATTTCAGTTATAATTATATTCCAATCCAGCCTATAAAATTTAAATCGTGGTTCCAATTTATTCGCCAAAAACAAAAGAAATGAATAATGAGAGAAAATAGGCACCTTCTTGCTGCGACAGAAGTCTTGATCACTCCAACACTTCTCATCAACATCTTTCTGAGTTCCAATGTTGTCTCTCCAAATCGAAGCTGTTAGCGAAGAAGAGAACACAATCTTATCTATGCTCTCTGTTCTTCCACATGCCTCAACCACATTGATCGCTCCTCTCACTTCCAAATCCACCTCTTTCTCCTATATATGATGATAATGATTAATTTCACACAAACCCCAATCTTTTCAATCTCATACAAAAATCAAGAATCTATGCAAGATGATTGATGAAGTCACTCACATCGTAGCCTTCAGGGCTATCTAAGCAGCAGAAGACAGCATTACATGTCTTGAGAGAGACAAGTATGCTTTGATAATCCAAGACATCTACATCGTACACAACTAGTCTCTCCTCCGTTGCTTCCATCTCTCTGATTTTCTCCTCGATTTCACTCTCTCCTATAAAATTTCCAAAACACAGATACAATCAAATCAACAACCAACAAAAGGAACCCTTTCTTGCTTCGAAATCATCGGAAAAAAGAAGAAAACAATTTGGTTGTAGCCATAAGAGAAAGATACCGTTTGTACGAATCGCAGCGTGAACAGAGTATCCTCTGCTAAGCAGTTTCTTGAGAATCCAAAAACCCACATAAGTGGAGGCATCGAGAACGCAGCAACAAGTGGTTGACTTTTCGTGATCCATTTTCTTTTTCTTGTTCTTTTTTCTTCTGATTATCGTATGAGAAAGATTTGTCGAAAGCGTGTGTGTGTTTTATATGTGTGTGCGGAAGATAGAAGAAGAAGGTTAGAGAAGAGGGAAGTATTAATAGGAGAAAGTTGGGTGAACTATTTTCTGTTGCACGTTCCCAGCTACTCATCTTTTATTTATTGTCTCTCATCTCTTATTATTAAACTTTATAATATACGAGTAGTCTACTAGTATAAGTATTTCTTAATTGCCCGACAACAACGTGGATGAGTATTTCTTAATTAATGTTCTTATTATTTTAGTATCTTATGACTTGGTTATCCAAATTCATAAATCATTGTGCAAGCGTTGATCATTAACCATCTTAATTAATAACATGGTTATCCAAATTCCACAAGTCAAACCCCCTGATGGGTTATGTGTACGCGTTGATCATTTTTTGAACGCGTCTGTCATCTCTGAGAAAGACTCCATAATCAGTAACCAGCTAATATATAATTCCACAAATCTTCGTACTTTATTTGAATAGTACAAAGAATATGCACCAAATTAAATTAAAGATGAGTAACTCTCTCCAGATATATGTTTTTTTCTTTAAAATGTTCTTTTAACATGTGTCAGGTCTTTAACTATGTAAAAGAAAAAAATCGTATGCACCAAATGCAATTATAGATGAGTAACGCTCTCCGGATATGTCAAGTCTTTAGTGGATAAAAAATATATATGTCAAGTCTAACCAAAAAACTCTAACGTAATTATAATTATGTAATATTAGTTGAAATGTTATTAATAAGTTGAGAGATAAGTTTATTTAAATAATTCTGATTAGAAAGAGAGTTATGTTTGAAGATGCCAGAATGGAACAAACTTGGGTCGGTAATTGCATAAGCAAAACTCACAGAAAGATGGCTTCCAAAAAAAAATTATTAGAGATTGTAGGAGAATAAATATGTAAGTAGAAGAGAGGAGGAAAAATAGGAGAATTAAGTAAAGCAAAAACAGCGAAAGGGCGCTGTACGTAAAAGTAGTTAGCAGTTAGTAGGTAGACATTGTGGCGAGAAGCGAATTTACGTGGGGAAGTTTCATCCCAAGCCACAACCTACCAACGTCGCTCTAAACTCTTTGTATAATCCATAGTTTTTGTTTAATAATCTAGACTACTCAAAAATGTTTTCCATGACTTTTTCATATCTGGTCTTCACGGGTTACAGTATTGTTTATTTAATCTTTGTGTAAGTTTCATATGATTCATATCTGCTGAATCGAACTGTTGTGTGATTGTAGAAAGATCCAAAAAATGAATCATTTCTTATACCAATCTTTGGTGTCATTTCCGTTTATGTACATTTAAGTTAATTCTGTAAATGTGATTGCATGATTAGTACGGTTGAGAAGTAGCTAGCGAAGTCAACTAGCTAGTTGAAGGATATCAAACCTTTTTATTTTGATATTTGTCTTTATAAGTCTTGAGTAATCTCTTCATTCTTGACGATAAACTGTTTTTTCAAGAGGCGGTCAAGATAGTTTCTTTACCCTTATGAGTACTGTATTTTTTAAGGAGGTATAAAATATCTTCAGAATGCCCAAAAAAAAACATATACTTGATACGTAACACGTATGTATCGCCTCAGCCATTAGGTTACAAACTTGCGATTGAACTGTTGAAATTCTAGCTCTTAATTTCATACAATGATCCAACCAATTGATATGGACTCGACGACGACGATGATGATGATAAGTCATGAGAAGACAATTCAATACTTATCCCCCGCTGAAATTTTTGTTCTTTTTTTTTTCTAGGTCATCCTCTGTTTTTAATTGTTCACAAAAAATTGTAATAGAAGAATTTTTTGTTTGTCGACCAAAACAATAAAGAAAGATTATCTGTCATAAGCTTTTGTGTGGCTTACGATCGACGAATCATGAAACCTCGGGGCCTAATTGCGTGCCAACATGGAACTTTGGGAAAGTGGAAAGGTTTGAGGTGAAAGTCGTCAGGATGAGACACGTGTTAAAAATCTCAGATGTTTTTGTACTTTTGCCAATGTAAACGAAACACTGCGTGTCGTTCCGAACAACGATGATCCTTTATTTGGAAAACCCCAAATTGGTAACGTTCGTTTCATAACACCAATTAAAGTTCAATTAATGAACTGAACCAACTTGTAGCCACGTGTTCATCGATCAGGGACATATACTCATAATTTGATAAAGACCACACGGAAGTGTGTAGATTCCTTCTTTTTTCCCCTCATTTTTTAGTTCAGGAAGTTGTTTTGTTTCACATTTTCCGTTCACCTAATTCGATTAACTCTTATATAAAAATAATGTTGACTGAATAAAAATAAAATAAAAATACTAGTAGTTAAACTATAGTATGACATGCTCCAAAGTGTGTGGCCTAGGATGGGGACTAAGAGATGAGACATGCGACATTCTTTGGTTTGGTGCACAACGATCCCTCTACAATTGACAGTGTTCAGAAACTAGATTTCATGGAAGCCACTTTCGAGCCTTAAAAATATTGGTAGAAGTTACTCTCTTCTACCAATATTTTTGACGATAATGAGAGAGCACAACAAGTCCTGATTCCAGTGGAAGTTACTTTTGGGCCAAGATAGGCCTATATAGTAGCATAATGATACAAGCAAAAAAGCCCATTTATTTGAGGAGTACTCTGGCTCTATCGGGAATGTTCTCTCTACTCATCCGGATACTATTTTGGATTCACTGTTGCTCTATCAGAAATTTGATCTGTTTTTACTTTTGATTGACGTATACTATTTTGAAGTTCTATTGTCGTGATTAAAGAGTTATGATAAGTCATCCCTATCGTTGGAATCCAATCGGTTAATTACAAAATGTAAAAATTGTTGCTTCCTTCTTGAACCCTTAATTACCTGTCGAAAATATTTTTCAGAAATTTCCTGCAGAGAATAAGGTTTAAGCCAGGTTGTGGAGAATGTTTGCATATGGCGATGAACCGCCGGAATGTAAGCAGAAACTGGAATGCTCATCTCGTTTAACCTATTTCATCCCTAAACAAGGACTAAACTAAGTATGGTTTCCATATAACGCTTCCACGTAAAAAGATGAAGACGAGATGAAAAAGAGAGGATAACCGGTAATGATTGTTTTGCACTAAAAGAAATATGTGGATGTAAAAATGTACAGCGTTGCAACGAACATCCTTCGGTGCCCGCTCCACTATAGCATTCTCTATGTAAGTGGACCTCTCATAGGTCGGTCATGCTCATGCCTATAACTTTGGTAATCCCTATTTTAAAATTTGGTTTGAAAATAACGTGCTGATTAAGGTTATCGTCATTGGTATATTTAAATCATTATCAATAATATATTCATATGTAATATGTTATGACTAGTAGCCAATCGAAATGATTTACTAGTCGATCAAAATGGATGTGTGGACACAATGTTGACATGTAGGATTTTCACTATCATGTTAACATGCTCTTGAGCGCCTATAAATACCTTCAACATCTTGTATCATATTCATCAAGAGCAATACCAAAGTAGTCTAAATTGGGAATAATATATAAAGCATTACCAAATACAGAAAAAGAGATAAAACAATGTCTCCGAGTAACTCATCATCACTTGTTCTAATCACTTTGATGTTGGCCACGTCGTGCCTAGTCTCCGAGAGCCGGATCGCAAGAAAAGACTTGGGTTTGGACCTTGGCGGGATAGGGATAGGGATCGGTACTGGCATCGGCATAGGTCTCGGTGGTGGTGGATCCGGATCCGGAGCTGGTGCCGGGTCAGGATCCGGAGGAGGAGGAGGGTCAAGCTCTTCATCCTCATCTAGCTCCAGCAGTTCTTCTTCCAGTTCTGGTGGTGATGGAGGTGACGCGGGATCAGAAGCTGGATCATACGCGGGGTCACGTGCCGGGTCTGGTTCGGGTGGACGTTCAGGTTCAGGCCGTGGAAGAGGAGGTGGAGGAGGAGGGGGTCGTGGTGGAGGAGGTGGAGGAGGAGGAGGTCAGGGTGGAGGAGGGGGTCAGGGTGAAGGAGGTGGATCCGGTAGCGGAGGAGGGTACGGTGAGGGCGGTGGATATGGAGGAGGATACGGTGGTGGCAACGACTGAATGAAATATCGCATGCATGCAATATCTTATCGATCTGTGCTTATGTGTTTTACGTAATTATTATTAGTATGAAAAGAAAATAAAGGCTTGAAAAAATAAATTTCTAAATTGGGTGAGTAAAGGGATTGCAAAAGGTTTTAACTTGTTTGGTTAGTTATGTACTTTTCCATATTCAAAATTGATTCTTGGTGTTGTAGTTGTAGATGTTTTACTTTTGTACTATATATTGGTTGATAAGAAAATAAATGCCATGTAGTGTTTGTATTCTCCACCACGTTTGTTGCTTGTTTTTTCGTCTCAGTTTTCGCTTGTATCAAATAGCTATCACAATGAAATGTAAAACGACTCTATTTCGTTAACAATTCAGATCTGTTTGTTTTTGAGTATACGATTTGCATTCATTCTTTTGTCATGTGTTGCATTAAATATGACGTTAGATTACAACATAGTACAACAGACAGATTTTACTTATCCAAAATTGACAAAATAATATGTAAACTGTATTTCAGAAAAGAATGATGAACGTAACGAACCAATCTACACCATTCATAATTTAGATATGCATGTATTCTCTTAATTTACTCTTCTCATAACTTCAGAACACTTCTTATAATTTGGGTTTAAACTGAAACTTAAGATTTACAAGCCGTTTATTAATAATGGATCTACCACTACGAAAATGTGTTTGTATTGATTTAGATTCAATGAATTATACACATCCGTCATACAAAACTTTAAGAAAATATAGTTTTTTTTTTGTGCCAGCAAGAAAATAGCATTTTAAAAGAATCGTTATTGTAATAAGAACTATAAAATACCCATTTTCACATTTCTTATTTTTCTGAAAACCGACACTAATTTAAAATCGACAAACATAATTTTAGTAAAATGCTTTTTGTAAGTGACAGGCTGACAGCCGGAAAAAAAAAAGAATCTCCTAAGAAAAATTGATTTCAATAACTTTGCTACTCTATATGAGTGGTGAACAATATGGGTCATTCATAGTAATAAAAATAAAGCTACATAACCAATGTGAACGGGTAATTTCGATCTTTCTCGAACAATGATTCAATTGAAGCACGTGTATTAGGTTGACCAACACTTCATAATGGAACTATGTATCTAGATAAGTGACCACTCACTATATGTATGAGTAGTTTCAACGTATGAAAACCACTATCACCATACCACTTAACTTAGTGGACCTTCGACTCTGGTGGGTTGGCAGCAGCCGAAGATGCACACATCACCTGCATCCGATCCACATTTTCAAAAATATGCACTAAACCATTTCTATTATCCTTGAATATTTTTTTCGTGGAAGAAAGTTGTACTACTATCCTTGAAGTTCTATCAGAATTTAACTTAAGTGAGATAATTGTACATGCATTTTAGATGATCATAACACGGCTTATTATTGATAATTTGCGGATTGATGCTAAAGTGTGAAATGATATGACGCAATGAAATTTCCAATGCTATAACTTTTTCTTAGTTGTGGTACAAGTGAAACCGCATAGTTTGTCTTTAAACGTTTGTTTTTATCTCAACGATGGTTTCAACTTTCAAGAATAAAAACACTCGCAAATTAAGCTACAGTTTATGTTTTTACATAATTTGTAATTCATCACATCCCGCCGACACAATTTCACCATTTTGTATAATCCCAATCAAAATGAGACTACTAGAAATGTGTCGAACTGGTTGGTATTCATGGTTCTCTAATGTAAATATGAGTATAAAATATGACATGACAAGAAAAGGAAAAAGAAAAAAGAATTATGATAAAATTTGGTGAGAAACACGTAATGCCCGCACTCTATCCCAAAGCTTCTATAAATACCCGAGCATGTTATTCTCTCTTGTATCTAATTAAGTTGCACTACAAACTCAACCACATCCATTGGCAAGTGATCTTTACACACGATTTTTTTCGAAATGGCTAGGTTGGAAGGTCTAGTTCTTATTGGCCTATTAGTTGTTTCAAGTTTAGTAATGTTAACGGAGAGCCGAGTCGCAAGAAAAGACTTGGGGCTTGACCTAGGTGGGATTGGAATCGGTCTGGGCGTTGGATTGGGGATTGGTCTTGGTGGCGGGTCGGGATCAGGTGCTGGTGCTGGCGCAGGTTCTGGTTCTGGTTCAGGTTCCAGATCATCATCTAGCTCTAGCTCTAGCTCGTCATCAAGTTCCAGCTCTCGTGGTGGTTCGGGTGGTTCAGCTGGATCTGAAGCCGGTTCATTTGCTGGATCTAGAGCTGGATCAGGATCTGGTAACTAAATTTTAAAGTACAATTTAAAGTGTGAAACCTAAAAGTGTGTTTTTGTTTTATGTTGTTGGTTTGTCATAAGTAGTATCGTGTGTACGAGATTGGATGAATAAACTGTCGCATAAGTTATGTTTTGTTTGAGTGGTATCCTAGTGTCTATTACACTGTAAGACTAATTTGTCATATAATCTCTTTGGACCAGAGCGTGAGCTGAAAACAAGTTTTAAAAGATTTACCTAAGTATCAAAATTATAGAAAAACAAAGAAAATGAAAAACCGAATACATCATGATCAAAACTAAAGTCATACTAAACCAATTCTAATTTGACTACTATCATGTATATTAAAATGAAAAATACTAAACCGAAAAGGTCATATCAAATTTAAACCAAAATTTGGATTGGCGTCGCTTTAAAACTGAGACGCATAAATTGATCCTAAGAATAACTCATTTTTGAAAGGAAAATTCAATAATCTTTCTAACCGGAAATCTTATTATTACCAACAAACCTCATAAATAAAGCGTCAAGGTTTGTAATTAAGATAACTAATTTTCTTACAATACAATCCAACATATTCGAAGACTTACACCAAACTCAGTGTAATTTTGGCGTCTCCAGCTACATCTTGTTCGGCAAAAGATAACCCAATGATTAAAGTGTTAAAGTTTTTGTTGTTAATCATTGTTAATATATTTTCAAATTTACATAAATTAATGAACGCATATGATTTACTTAAGCATGGTAGCTTCAAGACAAAGACTCAAACAATGGTTAAACTATTACTCAACTTGGTGACCCTTAATCGGTTACTCCATTATTTATTTTTGTAAATATATAATTTTTAATTCAAGCAGGATCTCGCAAATTTTTTCTTTCTCAAATTCAATCTTAGCCTAGAGAGTGAGACAAAGAATCTTCCCGAATAAACAAAAAAACGTAAAGAAAAGAAATAAGAAATAGCCAAGACGCCATTTCATGTAAGGAATAAAATCGAAATAACAAATAAAATAAATAAAAACAAGAGATCACGAATCTCATAATCTTATCAACCAATTCACGCATTTGGTTTTAAACAAACAAAAAAAAAATCACGCATTTGTAACATATTCTGACCAAATGTTCACAAATTTTTCTTTTGCCAATCGAGTATGAACCTGCTTTCTGATATACAGTAGCTTTTAGTTTACATTTTTGAAGTATATATAATCTGTTTGTCAAAATGTAGATACATAAAAATAAAGAGCGAATATAAAATACAAGTATCCATACCGCCCAAATTTGAAAAAATATAAATTAAGTTACGCATTAGCATAATACTCCATACATTATTCTGTTTAAACAATTACATATAATTTATACTATTTCAGAGATATACTAAAGTATAAAAAGGGTTATAAATCTTATAAGAGGTGGCCCATGCCTTCTCTTATATGGTGAAACCGTGACTTAGGGAAGCGGTAATGTTAGAGATGCATTGAAACGGCACGCAGTTTTTAATGTCTCATTCTCTTCATCAGTCATCGCTTTCCCAAAACAGCCAATGGTGAATGCTGTGGTCCGCACGTCCTCCTTAGTCCTTACATTATCCGGTTTGAACAATTACATTTATTTTCTCGCTCAAACTTCAAATATTTTAAGAAAACTAAAATATGAGATTTTCACATTATAAAAATATATAAATTACAAATACACTCACACGTCTTTTTGCTGAAATTGACCTAGTGCGGTCCAGTCGACAAAATCATACAAAGAGCACGAATTAGTACTAAACTACTTTGCTAATTAAACTAATTACAACTTTTTTCTTTTCGTTTCTGTATTTTTTTGTTACCCGAAAGACGAAGCCACGCTGGTCTCAATGGATACACACTACTACATATCACAAGAAATACAACTTCTCGAGTACTATTTATATATATACAAATTGGATACATTATTGAATGAATTGTAACTGCCACCGATTGATAAAGGTGTTTTTCTAATCTGCGAATGTGGGATTGAAGATATAATACACTTTTTACCCGCGGACGCACCACGCCTTAGCGATCTGGACTTGGATTTACTAGAGGATCATCTAAACAAGCCACACACAATGACCTACGCATGTGATCTTTTTGATGTTTTAGCCAAACACTAGTTGCAACTTGCAAGTCGGTGGCACGTTCTCATTTTCAAAATTTTAATCAGTATTATTTGGTTAGAGATAACACGTGTTTAATTGTTGAATTGAGTGAAATTGATTATTCGTTGGTAATGTGAATGAGATTTTAGACTTATTCCGCATATTGAACTATTCTAACAAACTGACATTTAAGTCTTGCAATACGTTGTGAATTCAGTTCTCTCGTTGCAGATGTTGATCACACATAAAAATTTACTATAAAGTGTGGTAGACGATAATAATGATTAACATCCTTGAATCACACATTTGTTTTAGAATCATGACTCCAATAGCTATGTCAGATTAGCAACTAACTTGGTTCCGGGATGCTATCAGCCTATCACGCACCTTAAAGTACATTAACTTAACCGAATTAACCAAGATACGTGTTCACATAATGTAGTGCAGCAAACAAGATTATTAGTTAATGACCCATTAGTATATAGAAACAAGAGATAAGAACATGTCGTATTCAATACTATCTCATTAAAGGAGATATAGATATAGACTATAATCTGGTCGACGGTCTATCAAAATCTGATTTTCAAGTGAACTCTTTCAAATGTAACTAGGTTATTAGAAACTCCATACAAAATTCATACTCGAACATCTACATCACAAAAAAGGTCGGTTCTCTCTTTATTATTCTTTCCTCTTATAATTTTATTTCCTGTAATGCTTTTAATTTCCTCCTTAAATTACGGTAGATTGGTGAAAAAAAAGATTTACGCGGTAGAATTAATATTTCTCCAGCTTTACTTAACAAAAATAAACATAACTAGAGAAATTTTTCTTTTTTCTTTTGTTAACGAAACAATCCCAAATATAATTAGGAGTTGTTTTTGTTAAGAAATAATTAGCAAGTTAAAAAAGAAAATGCCAATCTGGCAAATCAGATTAACGCGTCTCCTTGTCCCCCTTTGACAACTTGTATATATACTTCTCCGTCTCTTCCTCTTCTCCTTAGCAGATTTGCTTTGGAAAATACCCCAAAAAAAAAAAAAAACCAAAAAAATCTGCATCTGTTTTTTCTTTTCTTTCCCTCTAAATTTACTGAATATATCTTCATTTCCTCGTTCGATAAATTTTCCGGAGATTTTTTAGGGAAGAAAAAGGATTTTATTCGAGTTATTATTATGCCTTCGATAGAAGATGAGCTGTTTCCGTCAACGCCGGGAAAATTCAAAATCGACCGGTCAAACCGTCAGCTCCACCGATGTTTCGCGTCGACGAGCACCATGTTCCTCTGGGCTCTCTTCCTCATTGCTCTCACCGCCTCCTACTTGAGTTTCCAGAGCTTTGTCGACTCCGGCAGCCGTTACCTCACAGCCTCCTGGGGCGGGATCCAGTGGGAGAAACAAGTCCGCACCTCCGCTCAGATCCACCGCTCCGGCGGTATCTCCGTCCTCGTCACCGGTGCGACCGGATTCGTCGGCAGCCACGTGTCGCTCGCGCTGAGGAAACGCGGAGACGGAGTCGTCGGTCTCGACAATTTCAACAACTACTACGATCCTTCCCTCAAGCGCGCGAGGAGATCTCTCCTCTCTTCCCGCGGGATCTTCGTCGTCGAGGGAGACATCAACGACGCCAAGCTATTGGCTAAGCTCTTCGACGTCGTCGCTTTCACTCACGTGATGCATCTCGCCGCTCAAGCCGGAGTCAGATACGCCTTGGAGAATCCCCAATCGTATGTTCACAGCAACATCGCCGGGCTCGTGAATCTCCTCGAGACCTGCAAAGCGGCGAATCCTCAGCCGGCGATTGTCTGGGCTTCGTCTAGCTCCGTCTACGGGCTCAACGAGAAAGTCCCTTTCTCCGAATCTGACCGGACCGATCAACCGGCGAGTCTCTACGCGGCGACGAAGAAAGCCGGCGAGGAAATCACCCACACTTACAACCACATTTACGGTCTTGCCATTACCGGTTTGAGATTCTTCACGGTTTACGGACCCTGGGGTAGACCGGACATGGCTTACTTCTCCTTCACCAGAAACATCCTCCAAGGGAAACCGATCACGATCTACCGGGGCAAAAACCGGGTCGATTTGGCCCGGGATTTCACTTACATCGACGATATAGTCAAAGGGTGTTTAGGATCTCTGGATTCGTCGGGTAAGAGTACCGGGTCGGGTGGGAAGAAACGAGGAGCCGCACCGTACCGGATATTCAACCTCGGGAACACGGCGCCGGTGACGGTTCCGATATTGGTGGATATATTGGAGAAGCATCTCAAGGTGAAAGCAAAGAGGAACTTCGTGGAGATGCCTGGAAACGGCGACGTTCCGTTCACGCACGCGAATATTAGCTCCGCCCGAAACGAATTCGGGTATAAACCGACAACCGATTTGGAAACCGGGTTGAAGAAGTTCGTTAGATGGTATCTTTCTTATTACGGATACAATACTAAAGCCAAGCTTGTACATTAACGGTGAAATTATTTTTAAACGAATTAACTTTTTTTTCTTTACATAATTTTCATTATGATTATGATGATTCGTTTCTTAATTTTGTTTATTTTGGGGAAGATATATATTTACTAGGATAATAATAGAAGATCTAAATATTCTTTTCTCTCAAGACAAGCAATTATTCAAAAAAAAAAAACAAAGGAAAAAAAAGACAGCGAATAAATTTGTTTTCTTAATTTATACTCCTAGCAAATAATTTAGTGCCTAAAGTGTTTGTTACGGGATCTACGGTATATAATCAGAGGGAAAAAAAATAAAATGAAAATAAATGGGTAAAATACGAATATCGACAGCTGGAAGTGGGACAGCAGAGAAAGTGGGGTTTTAGTGGCGTGTAGGGTCCACGAGACTTCTTTAAAAAGGTGAAGACCTAAGCTGTACGGTAACCGTTGGATCCGCTGAGGAATTTAATTTTAAGTTTCAGTCGTAATCTTACGGTCCAGCTGTGAAGTACTCATGCCACGTTATCTTCTCCACCGACACTAAACGAGGACACAATAAACCATTCGTCATTTGTATTTTGAAGGTAGCAAAGAGCCTTTGCAAGTAGGAGCTAGAAGAAACTTTTGGAGTCCTTTAGAAAATTAGAACAAGACTCAATTTTTCTTCAAATAAATCTTTATTTTTTGGTAGCCCACCAAATCATTTTTGTTCAAGCAAACGAGCAAGCATATACTTGGATAAATATGGTGGGTCACTGGGTGGACACACAAGTGCATAGTTTATTGTTAGAACTTGGAACTGAGGAAGCCAGAACAGATATAATTAAAGTTATTAGACGTACCAAAAAAATATAATAATGTAATAAGAATATCTCTTAGCATTTACATTGTGATGTCGGCAGTCGGCCAATACGAAGACATTTAGTCCTGCTTCTTTGCTCTTGGACGAGTTAGTTTGGTTCGTTACGCTCTAATCGTTATTTCAGATATATAATGATGCATATATATGAGGTTAAGGCAGTACATGGAGCTATACTTTAAAAAAATATATCATTACTTGTGAAGAATCAAATGTTACATTGAATTTTGTAAGTCAACAAAATATCGATCGCTGTTGTAACTTGTAAGTACAAAACAAAAACAGTGAGTATTGTATCCGTCAGAGTATCATAGCTAGCTGGAGATTTGTAATCATTCACGGGATATGCTTGTCGGTTTTGAACATAACGCATCAAATGGAAACAAATCCAATCATGCTCAGTAGCTCAGGTGTTCGTTTTCCTCTTACTGAGGAAACCCGTTCGGTTTGGTTAAGAAAACTCAAACTATATATAGATTAAACCTAAACTAGGTTGATACATTTGTTAGAGTAGGTTTTAGATGAAAAAGCGTGGTGATAAACTCCTTACACTAAAGAAGTATCTCATGCACAATTGTTACCTCATGTTTATATTACTCCATTGCATTGATTTGGTGTTGACATTCTTACTCTATATGTTTACTCGCACATGTTTTATCTTTTTATAAAAAGCTCTGGTAAGCTGTCAAACCATTGTTACGTACAAACGGTACAAGAGTATTCGATATGTCTATAACCTATTCAAACCATTTTAAAAAACTTAATTCTACATTTCTCGTAGTAACTAGTAATACTGATGAAAGGCCTGTATTTCTAAATTTTGTTGAGATTGTATTTGTAAAAGGTAATTTCTAAGAAATTTTGAGATTGTTCCAGTCACTTGAAAGAAAACGCGCTTGGAGATCTTTTACACGCTAGGTTACATGACACAGTGTCGATATACCACTTACAAAATCGTTTGACATCAAATATTTTTTAACAATATTTTTTGGAAACTATTCGTAGTAGTGTTCATAAATTCGTAACGCCTCTCAAAAGAAATCCGAGGAGTTCGAAAGATGATCACATTACAGACAGCGCGCGAATGATGGCCAGAATTTATTTAATTTATTGTAGATAGACTATAGAGTTAACTCTGATTGCCAGGATTTATGTGGAGAAAATGGTTAATTATCTCCATTATTTAGAAAAACGCGTTTTTTTCTTATCATAAATTACTACAATAAATAAGATTGAAGTATATACTTAGATATTGAAAAATAATATGTTGCTATGTATAGATTTATTTCTTACTCTTTTTAATAAAATTTTGTATATGAATAATCTTTCTGTAATAATTAGGAAGACGCAGTTCATTATTTTATTGATTTTGTCCCCTTAGTTTTATACAAGTATTGGATTTACAATATAATTAGTTTAAGTGGACAAAAATAATTACGTATTGAGACATTTAAAAGAGGAAGGAGAATTTGCAAAAATTAATTACCAAACTATATATAGTGTTTTAAATTAAATGATATATCTAATAAATTAATTTCTAAATCCGAAACGTATAAACGTTTGGAAACGAAACATCTGAAAGAAGAAGAGACAGACATTAATAGTACTCGTCGTGTAGTCATATAAGGCAATAACGAATTTCTCCGCAAATCACTTCACATTCCTCTACGCGTTTCACTTTCACTATATAAAACCTTTCTCCATAATCAAAACCAAATCATACAATCCAACCTTTCAGAGAATTCTCCAAACTTTCGATATTTTTCTTCTTCTTTTTCATCATCAATCATCATCATGCGTTGCAGTAACAGCCTCGTAGGAATCCTAAACGTCTTCGTCTTCCTCTTCTCGATTCCCATTCTCGCCGGTGGAATCTGGCTCCGACTTCATGGCTCGACGCAGTGCGAGAGTTTCTTCGACAAACCTATAATCGCTCTCGGCGTGTTCCTGATGATAGTCGCAATCGCAGGAGTCGTCGGATCTTGCTGCAGAGTGAAGTGGCTCCTCTGGTTCTACCTATTCGTCATGTTCTTCTTGATCGTCATCGTCCTCTGCTTCACCATCTTCGCATTCGTCGTCAGCAGTAAAGGCTCCGGCGGCGAAACTATCCCTGGAAAGGCTTATAAGGAGTATAGGCTCGAGGCTTACTCCAACTGGATGCAGAGACGTGTGAGCAACGCAAAGAATTGGAACAGCATTAGAAGCTGTCTTTACGAGGAGAAATCCTGTACTCGCTTAGAGGCTTTCTTTAGTAATGAGACTGTTTCTGCTTTCTACCAACACCATCTCTCTCCTATTGAGGTAACCAATTTTAAAACTCTTTTAGGGCAAGGCTAGATTTGAAGTGATAGGTCAAAATCTACTTTTCTTAGGGCTTTAGTCACCTACTTACGTGGTATCATTGAATTTCTACAAAGGTTTTGATTTTTTCTGACTTTTTGATTTTTGAGCAATGCATTTTGATAATACCAATCTCGACTAAAATCTTTTATTTTATTATTTGATTGAATTTTTAAAGATATTTTAGGCCAATTTGTTACAAAGTATCCAAATATGTTATGTAATGTTGCTCGCTTGTTACAATGTATAAAAGTGTTTATTCTAATTCTGTGATTGAATATTGATTGTTTCTTTTGTTTTACAGTCTGGTTGCTGCAAGCCCTCTAATGACTGCAACTTCATCTACGTAAGCCCAACGACATGGAACAAGACAACAGAAACACAGAAAAACCCTGATTGCAAACTTTGGGACAGCGATAACCAGAAGCTCTGCTACGATTGCCAAGCATGCAAGGCCGGTTTGCTCAACAACCTCGTAAGCTCAGGGAAAATAGTTGCTATTCTCAACATCATCTTCCTTGTAATCCTCATTATCGTCTACACTATGGGAGTTTGCGCCTTCAGAAACAACAAAAGAGAAGAGAGTTATGAGCGTTCTAATGGATTCTAAAACCCTTTATTTCACCGGATTTTTGTATCTTCGTTATGACAAGATTACGTTAGAGCGTATTCTTTTATTCAAGCTAGACTTTGTCTATTTTTTCATTAATAAAATCATTTTGTGTTTATCATAGCAAACATCTTTAGAAATGAAAAAGAGAAGAAAAAAAGAATCTTGAATCAGTTTAATTGTCCATGTGTTTGGATTTCTTCTGTTGATTTTTGTTTGGACAGAAGCGGATTCTTCAGATCTCGGTTAAAGGTTGTGTCTGAAGAATCTTCAATATGAATCTTCACTACTGAGTTGTCATTATTGTCTCTTTGTTCTTGATGATCCATCATCACATCTTTTGCTTTACCCCAGAGCACAATGTAAAGTCCCATTATCACGCCTAATCCTCCGATTAAACTATTATCAAAATGATAAAAACAGATTATAATCATGGATTGTAGTTATGTTAAGCCTTTTAAAAAAGTGTTTATTTTTTTTTTACCTTCCAGTGTAAATCTCTTCTTGGAAGAACAGAGCAGCCAAGATTGTGACAATGACTGTACAGAGAGGATTAAACAATGCAGAGAACAGAGGACCTCTCTTCGATATAGCCCAAGCTTGGACTGTAAACGAAAGTGCCGACGATCCAATTCCCTAACAAATGTAATTAAAGGTTAGATTTTCTGTTAATATTTGGATTAAACAATCACCAAAGGCCCAAAGAAAGCAAGACGAGAGAACAAAGAAAACAGAGGAATGTTTTATGTGCGTACTGCGTAGAGACATGTGGCAAACTCGGAGTAGGAATGGAGAATCCAAGCGTTTGGGTCCTTCTCAAGGAAGAAAGTGACGACTGCACACTGTATTGTTCCAAATAAACACATCCATGCTGATAAAGAGAGGTGATCTGGGAAATAGGCAGAGATTGGAACCTAGGTTTTTTTTGTGGAAAACAAGTTAGCTTTACTTGCAAGGCAATCAACCTTAACATACAAAGTTTATGATCGATCTTTCTTTGTTCAATGAAGTTTACCTGAAGTGTAAGCCAAAAGGACCAGCAAATAGTGCTAGAGAACATGAACAAACAACCAAACAGCCACAAGTTATGGTCGTTAGATCCACCTAGTAACAATTTAGCGATAGGTAAAACGGATTCTGAGTTGAGAATCTTTGGTCCACGAAGCAGAGTCATCGAGATCGCTCCTGCTACACATAGGATCGTCCCTGAGATCTTTGCTAAGCCTCTCATGTTCCGGAGATCCACTCTCTCGTATCTAAAGATCAGCTAAAAATGAATAAATTGCATCTTGTTTTCAAAATTTATCTAAGTATGTGTTGATGTATATACCCGGCGAGAAATGAAATGAGGAAGGTGATTGCAGGAACTATGTTACCCACGGCACTTCCCATGGACGATGAAGCTAAGTAAAGACCTTCAAGGTATAAATTTTGATTGATTGTAATGCTGCCAAAAAAAACAAAATGGTCCAAGATTCATCAAAATGGAGTTCTTATTTAGAAATAAAAATCAGAAACATATTTGTAAATATTATACATATATACACTTGATTACCCTATAAGCGAGACCAAGAATATCAAAGAAAAGCTCTTGAGATCCAAACAAGATAATATTATCTTCGACTTTCTTCTACAATCCAAACAAAAAACAAAGAATTAGCAAGAACTAAATAAAAATTCATATCCATGTACAGAGAGAGGGAGAGAGAGAGAGGTATGGTTTAAATTACCTTGAGAAGTAGAGAAATGGGAAGATGAAAATGGTTGCAAACGCTTGCCTGTAGAGGATAAAAACACGAGGGCTTAATCCATTAACCAAAGTAGCTCTTGCAGAAAGAGTCACTCCTGCGTAACACACTTGAATCCCGATCATCGCCATTAGTGGCTTGTACTCCTCTAACTTCTCCATCCTCTCTCTCTCTCTCTCTCTCTCTCTCTGCTCGTGGATCTTACTTTCTCTTCTCTTTGTATGCTTATATCAGTTGTAGTAGTAGTAGTATATATTGCTATCTGAAGATCTTGTTATATAAATTTTTATTAATCCTCCCAATAATACACTATATGCTACAAGAATAGTATTAAACCAAACGATTCGGTTGGCAAAACACGTAATTCTTTGTCGTATTACGGTTTCATTTTCATGTGCTCTTTTCCTGTAGTTGGATGTGTTATTCATTGTGTATTTCATCCCCTATATGTCATTTTATTTTAATACCACTACCATTTGTTAATTACTTAATTTATCATATGCGGCTACTTGAAAGTGTCTACACCATATTCAAGAAAACTAATTATGCTTTCTTGTTTAGATCCCGTATACCTCTTTGGACCGTGGACTAGAACATTTAAAATGGTCTTCTCTCTAGCCAAACCCGAACGAATCGTAGGCGTTTGATAACAATACATTTTTTTTTCAGCCCCGGCCGGCTCTAATGTGTACCGTGTACAATAGCAATCTCGAACCTTGAGTATTAGACACTGAAAATGATGTAAAGTTTCGCTAAATAAATATGGATTTGGTTGGTAACATAAAAAAAAAGGTCTTTAATTTTGAGTATTGTTGTAAGTTGTCAACAATAAATAACTCATTTATCCAGATGCATTCCATTTTCAGAAAGAAAAACAAAACTTATTTGAGTTTGTTATTGTCACGTGCGTGGAGAAACAAAGAGAAGAATAGATCGACCAACAAAAAGGAAATGATTTGGCCAATCGATCTATTCCCATAGAATATCAACACCTCGCATTGAATAAGAGCACCTACGAAACAGTAAGCGCACGTTTCAGTGCATGTAAACTACGTTAGGTTCACTAAATTTTCTGTTTTTGACATGTCATTCTTAGCAATATTTTGAACATTAACAAAGCTTTACAACTATAACTGAACGGATTTAATACTTTTGTATGTGGACATACAAATCAAAAAGGGTGCAATTGTAAATAAAAAAATGTATGCAAAAAGAGTATAATTTTATTTTTCTAGTCGTTGCATGTGACAAGAGCAATATATCGAGCTCAGTATTATTGTTTAATAAAAGTAGTACTAGACTATGAAATAAACTAAAATATTAAAAAATTAAATTAAAATGGCGCAAAGAAAACTAGGAGAAAAGTGTCGGTGATTTATTTTTTGTAGTGAAAAATATTAAAAACCAAAAGTTAGGGGGTGAAAACGAAATTATACTGTTAGGTTAATTTCTGATTTCAAGTATAAATAATAAGATGGCAACAACATTTTCATTTTAACTTTTTCTACTTCTTTAACAAAACACAAGAAAAATGTCTGTTAGGATTTACGATGTGGAAATAGATCCGAAGATGGTGGTGGCCACGGTGGATATAGTGCCAGAAGAAGAGGGTTTTGATTCTGGATATGGAGAAGATGTTCGTGCACAAATCAAGGTGCTGAAGTTTCTGCGTCCAACACTACCCCATATTTGTGAAGGTGAGAAAAAGCATGAGTTTATACGTGCTCTTGTTGTGAAAGAGAAAAGTGAAGGTGCAATGACTGTACAAAGAGGATTAAAACAAAGGACCTCTTTTTGATATAGCACAAAATTGGACTGTAAACGCAAGCGCCAACGCCACAACTCCCTATCAATCACATTTCACGTTTTGGATTTATGCTATTTTTTTAGATTAGTTAGAAAAAATAAAGAAAGAAAGAACAAGAAACAGAGGAAGTGCATACTGCGTAAAGACCTTTAATTTTGATTTTAGATAGAAAGACTAAATAAAGATCAAACCTCACATGCATAGGAAAAAATATATTTAAATACACAATAAGAAATACAATGTGAAGTAAGGACTTGTGATGTTTGAAGCCTTTGATCACTAACAAAAGTTTGCACATGGAAGCAATCAGTCACTTAAGCCAATGTATGATTGCAGGCCATATGCATGGTGTGACCACACCATGAAAGCCTTGTCAGCATCCTAGTTAACAACATATAATCATGTTGACTTTCGAAAACATATGGTAAACTATACTGTTGATTACATGCTAAGATAATTGATCTTACATGAATTCGGATTTGTAATGTATCAGAATACTCCAACTAAGAAGCGGGCAAACAACCTTTCGTTGGCTTCCCTTAACGAGAAAATTTCGTATGTGGAGACACCCACGCACTTCTCATATGTCGCTTAACAACAATCACAATTCAAAATTTGGTTTCGTTGTTTATTAGTAACACTTTGCTCTAGCGAAACTTATTCTAAATTGTCTGTTTAGTTGTTCCGCTACTACCATTGTAAACATTCATATGTTTCAATCTAGAATGACATGTTTTATTACATCTATCGCTTATTCGCTTTGTAGTGAAGTCTTAGTTAAGCTTTTTCAAACTTCTCCGATAAACAACTAATTTAAGTAATTAGGGAGGGAAAGGTTTTTACTTTTGTCCTTGGAAGAGTACGGCAGAAGCCAGTAATCGCCCCTTGATTTAAGGGGACAAACATATCATTAAAAAGAGATTGTGTTTGTTAAATTTGGATTATACACAAAGCATTATCCAATTATATATTTATTAAAAGAAAATCAGTTACTTTTATTAACTTTTTGGCTGTCTCGGTCGTAGATTTGTAGTAGGTATCATAGAACTGAAGCTAACCCACTCACCATTCGGTCGGTTCTACAGTTTAACTTCAAATGATTTCACATGGGCCATGTCATTCTCATTCAGAAAATAAAGTGTTTATAACTGACTTGCACCAAAGTAAACCAACACTTACAATTAAGTTTAACTAAACCGAGACCTTAATATACAGCCGGTCCTGAGAATTTGATAGCTCCAACTCTCCAAACAAAAAAGTAACTGGATCATCTACATAATTGGATCATCGCCGAATCACTCATTTGTTTTAGAGCAAGAAAGAAGAAACATAATGATAAAGTAAGTGAAACCGCGAATTTTACTAGTTCAGGCTATCAAACCGATAGCTTATGTCTCGGCAAAGGCAAGACTCGAATGATGTTCTCTAGGAATTTCTGAAACTTCTCGCAACAACAACGAAGAAGAAAAACAAACGAGTCGTTAGCCGACGCCTAACAAGTAACAACCTTCAACAACCAGCGGATTCTTGTAAGTTAACTGTTAACGAACTCACTAATTATACACGTGCTTGTCACATTTATCAGCTCGGATTAGCATAAATGAAAACCCTATCTTTTCCCTTAGAAACTTTCAAAGACTCCCACGAAACTTCATGTTACAAAAATAAGATGCATCAAAAACATCGGCTTTAACATTTAAAATACTAGATCGAGTGCAAAACATGTTTTTCTATTTGATCTTAAAAAAAGGGAAATTTGTCTCATATTTTTCTTCTATTTTTAACTGTTTTGATGAGAAGAATGTGGTAATGACAAATGAATGTAAAGTAAATCACAGCCGTCCTTCTGATAGACAAAGAGTGGGGCCCACCGTTGAAATCAGTAATCGCCCCTTTGTTTTAGTGAGCAAAAAAAAAAAACGAGTGGGTCCCATATATTCGCTGATGGACAAGGGTCCCTCCACGTGTGCACATGCGCTTCCGGTGGACGCGTGCGTGCTAGAGCGTTGCCCCTTCACCTTAACGACGTCGTAGAATGTTTTCTGTGTTGATGATTTCTAGCTAAGGTAACGAATATTAACATTCTTACTAAAATTTGATTTCCACACAGTATATAATCAAATAAATTAGATAGATGTGATGACGACAAGAGAGATGGTGGGCGTGTAGATTACGGAGGTCCACTGGAAAATAAATTCTCGCACCAGCCAGACTCCATCCATGTTCGATGTATTTTGTTGGAAAACAAAAAAAAACGAAATTTAATACTTTTCAACAAAATTTATAGAAAGGAGCATTTCTATATTCATGTACAACTATCAGTATCATTATCATCCATGTGTTATATTCATGTACATCTATCTATCAGACTATCAATATCATTTCTCGTTTTCTAGATGAAAAATGTCCAAAAAATATATATGCATTTTTATCATATCTTCTTTCAATTATTATTGCTTTTCTCACTTCTTTTCAAAACCTGGCTTTCCCAAAGTTTGCGGATCGCCACGTTTTCACCACTAAAACCATGCATTGATGTTCTGTGTTGTGTGTGTATAAAAAGTTATAGCACAGTTAGTGAGGTGATATGCGTTTTATATTTGATACGTAGCAGAGTGAATGTATATATAACTATTAGCAAGAAGAAAAAAGAAGATCATTACTAGCTTAGCTAGGGTGTGAAATGCAGCATATAGTGTTCAAATTTTCTTTTTATGTTTGTAGTCATGCATGTAGATGAATTGATTTATAGATTGGTCCCAAGAATATGATCGGTAATCGCTAAAATAAATAATGTCGACCATGTGATTTTCTTCAGATGCAGCTTTATAATTCTCAACTGTAAATTATAGTTATAAACCAAAAAAAACCATTAAGCATGAAATTTATCTAATATGACTGAATAAAATTACAAGTTTTTAACATTATGTATATTGCATGCACATTTTATTTGCTAATCTATTGGTTAAGATGGATGGACTTAATAATTAAAAAACAGACGGTTTAACTGACAGTAAGATACATAACATGATAAAGCTAGCTTGATTGAGGACTCAATCTACAACATTGGATCGGAGAACCACAACTTATAATATCTTTACTCTCTAACATTCCAATCTCAAACTTGAGATAACCTTTTTAATTATTATGTTCTAATTAAGTAATGATACTTCCACAAATAAAATTCAAAGGTTATCATTAGATTATTTCGCATGCTTGTATACGCCTTTATTTGCTTGGATCTCTTATGTCGCGACTGCGCTGACTGATAAGCTTGTCAGATAGAAATTATACCCACAGGTACTTTAAATCAAAGCTGTGAACATACATATATATACAATGTGAGATAATTAAAATGGTCACAAAGTGTGAAAAGAACAAAACCCGAAATGAAGTTAAGCATAGCTAAAATGTTCTTCTTTTCTATAACTACGCATATACTGTTTAACTGTTATATACATAGATGATGCGCATAATAACAAAATTATACAACATCGTAAAGTAAACGTATATCATCACAAATTTTCGGCGGAAACAAATAATAATCGACAAAAGTTTCCTAAATTATAGGGTTATACAAAAGGGTACGTGGGCCACACACAGCATGTGCATGCATGTGCTTCTCCTATCTCCAATTGCCCCCACCATTTTCCCTCTCCTTTTGAAACAAATAAAATGGACCCTCTCCTTCTCCTTTCTCTCTCCCTTACCTCTCTGTCTCTTTCTATCTCTCTCGTCGGATTCACGAATTCGTGAGGTGACCGCAGATTTCTTCTTATCAATCTTTGACACTCAGCAAAAGAAGAAAAAATTTCTATAAAAAGGTATTTGTTCATGTCTCTTTTGGTTATGATAAGGAACCCTAAACGGAAAAATGACAAGTTTTGATTATGATTTGATGTATATTACATGTCTCCCTTTGATATATAATGGCATCACTGATTATTGCTTTTAGTATACTTAATTTACTTTTCTTAAAGAGGATTGTTCATAATTTTGAGTATTTTTTCTTGATTAATTAGGATTTAGGATGCAGCCTACGAGCTCAATGAAGGAAGAATTCCTAAAGAAATGGCAAATGGGTATTCAGATATGCGGTCCTTCGATAGACAACACGAGCGTCTCCGAGAGAAAGAAAGTCATAAAGCTCTCCGCAGATGTTGCAATGGCGTCTCTAAGAAAAGGAACAACTTGTTGGAGTCGAGCCCTTATCCAAAAAACCGCCACCGAGGACAACTCCCTCGTACGTCAGATGCTATCAGGCATTAAAGCGGAAACGCTAATCAACAAGACGTTGCCTAAAAAGACTTTGTGTCATAGAAAGATCGTGAGGCGAAGCAAGAAGATCTTGATGAGGAGGAATGCGAGATCAGCGAGCGAGGAGGCTGCCGCAAAAGCTAAGAAGCTCGTTAAGAGAAAGACGCAAGGGTTAAGAAGCGTTGTCCCGGGTGGAGAATTTATGAACAATGACGTCTTGTTGATACAAGAAACTTTAGATTACATTGTGTCGCTTCAGACGCAAGTGAATGTTATGAGGAGTATTGTTGATGCTACCGAGGCCGGAATTGAGCGGTAAATGAGTTTTTTTCTTTTTCCTTTTTTCCGGAGATTATTTGAAAGCATGATCTCGATCGGATAATTGTTGGTCGTTAGGACCGTACGTATATTATTTGGACATTGCAATTGTCTTACGAGGATGGAGAGAATTTTCTTACGAGGATGGAGGCAATTTTAGTAAGTCGTATTGTACATAAGAACATTTATATACACGCTTATAGAAAAATTCTATTTACTTAATGGTGATTTTGATTGAAACATTTTGTTAGCATGTTTTTATTTCTGTGTGTGGTTATGAATCTAATCTTGATTGTCGCTCGTTTGCATTTAATTTACTTTTATAGAATCCCCCATTTTAATTTAATGCTTCGATTGCTTTTCTTGACATTTTTGTAAGAATAAAAGAAGACAACTGTTATTTATGAATGAAAAAGAAAGAACATACGATTTGTGGGAAATGCATACAAATCAATCATAGGTCGTAATGTAACACATTTATTCAGATCGTAACTTATTTGTGAGGAATGATATTACTTCATATGAGTTGTCAAAAGAATAAATATATTTGACTCTTTCTGAAAGGATTTTTCTGTTAAAGACATTTTTTGAAAGGATATATAGTAGCACCGAACAAACAACAGTGTCAACATGTGTAGATATGAATCCTTTTTCATATGTACTCCATGTTGCATTATCAGTCCGCATCATTTAATATATATATAGCTAAGGAAGAAGACGCTTGATGACAGCAAGAAGAAAAACATTCATATTCTTCACGTTCGCTTTTTTCTTATAACTAGCTAAATTAATACCTTTTTAAAAGAGATTCATGCCCCCACCGATGGTATTTATCCGTTTATATTGTTTGGTCCAAATTTGATCTGCAAATTTTGTCTCTTTTTGCGATTGTCAATTAGATCTAGAAATTTTTGTTTTGCCTCCAGATTTCCTATTTGCCTCATCCTCTTTTACGTTAGATTGTAAAAAATTATGCATATGCTTATAAATAAGATTAATCTAGATTATTAGGCCCAACCCAGTTAGTCATTTAGGGTCTGACTGGTTTAACCGCTGCGGTTGCGGTTGCGGGAGTTTGCGGCTGCGGGAGTTTGCGGAAGCGGGAGTTTGCGATTAAAAGCTGTTTGTACGACTGGTATAGCAATTCATAGCGGTTGCGTTTGCGGGATATTTTTGACTGGTTAGCCAGCGGGTGCAAGAGCGGTTTAACCAAAAGTTACTAAAATAAAAATAATATATAATTATTCAAAACATTTATAACCATATTAATAATTTTTTTTTTGAAATATATTTTTTGATGAATTTTTAATTTGAAAACTACCCTTTTTTTTTGGTTTTGAAAAATACACTTTTTATATGTAAAATGATTATTCCTAATTTAATAAAAACGAAATTCAAATAAGAAATATAAAATATTAATATTTGATAATAATTTTGTATCATTTTAACATCCTAATTACCTGTTTAGTTTTTTTTTAAACAATTTAATAAAAATATAAGATTGTTTATATAAAGTTTAAATGGGGTGAGATTAAAGTTGTTTATGCAAAGTTTCAAAAATATTTAAATTTTTCAAAAGATAAACATTAAAAATGAAAGATATATTTCTCCACTTTTAAATTTTTAATAATTTATAAACTTTAAATATATGTAAAGTTTTAATTTATTTAAAGTTTCATTTGGTTTGAATGTGTATGAGGTTAAGTTGTTTATATAAAGATCCAAAATATTAAAATTTGTTTCAGTTTAACATATACTATATTTATTTGAAAAAAAACTTATTAGTTTATTATTTTTTTAAATTTTCGTTTATAATTTGTAATTATTTATTATTTTTTTGTTTAAATCACGTCAAAACATACTTTTTACATTTTAAAAGTGTATTTTTCAAAACAGAAAAAATTTAGGGTATTTTCGAAATTTTTAAACATAATTATGGTATTTTTCAAAAAAATATACCCTTATTCCAAATTTGGAGATATTATGTTTTTTTTTTTTTTTTTTCAAACCGCAACCGCCCGCAACCGCAAACGCTTGCGGAAAGGAGCTTTTGATTTTCAGCGATATAGAGCGGTACAGAGTGGTATAGAGCGGTTGAAAGCGGTTGTCGTGATTGTTATAAAACGCTAAGAACCGCTACGAACCGCAAACGCTGCGTTTGCGGGTGGTAGCGGGAGAACCAATCATCACCTTACTTGACTCTTATGTGTTCTGTCTACTAGTTGGACTTTTGCTAACCAGTCCATTTTGAGAACACACAAACCGACAACGCGGCGTTGCGCCTTTCCCATACGCAGGTCTTCACTTTAAGAAAAACGACATGCAGTCTTCTCTTTTTAATAATGTGACTTTCATTTTGGTAATAATGTTGAGGAGGGAGGAAATTATATCGTAGATGATTTAACGACTGACTGTGAAATTTTTAAAATGTTATTCAGACATTAAGACATAAGTTCTCTCACACTATTAGAAATCTCAGAAGAATTTTAAGTCAAAAAAATAAATTGAATACTATAATAAGAAAAATCAAGTCATAATTCTCATACATAAGCAAATGCATGATTTGTTCTATAATAAATCGCAGTACTATCGGAGTAAGTTGAATTGATAACTTTTCCTATATACTTTATTCTTTACCAAAAAATGAGTTGAATTAAATTTGCACATAAGCCGATGTTATTTAACGTTATAAAACTATATGTATGTTGTCACGCAATAAAGACCAAGTGACTAGTGGGGATGTAACCCAACTGTTTCCATGTCCGTTATTAAATCACCAGTAAATGCAAAAACTTTAGCCTTTCAACATTAACTAATAAATACTTTAGCCTTCCACACACACATATATATAGTATATACATATAATATATCACAAGAATCAAGGTGTCACTCTTTTGTCGTATGAAGAATTGCCTAAATTCAATGCAACTGTCTTACCTCACACCCACTTCTTATCTAATGCTCCAGAAGAAACACAAATATGACTAAACAAAGATAAACGCATTCCTCGAGAGTCTTTTAATAATGGTTTGTATCTCAAATGATAATTTTGATTAGACATAACAAATGATATGATTAACTGTTCCGCTGAAAATATGTAGTCATTGCGTTAAAAGTTAGTGTGACTTTCTTTAACCTAACAACATCAAACTATGAACTTTATATGAAATCAGGCTGTATATGAAATCGTACCCACCCTTATTATTTTATACTTAAATAGAATCGTCAAATCAATTATTCATTACATTTATATGAGTCGTTTTCTTGCTAGATGGAAAGCTTAAGTCGACAATTAATTGTTTGGACCAACTACTTAAGAACTGAAAACGATTTGCCAAAGAATGTAGAGACGCACCAAAGATGTTTTGAAATTTCATTCTCTGTCTAAAATATCTATATCTCACCACACTACGTTTCTACAATGATTCATCTGTTTTTGCACTTACAGGAACTAACACAAAGAAACAATCGTAAGGAAATTTAAAATCTGAAAAGAAAACAAAATGTAGTGGATACTAGACATTAGATGGAGAAGAAGAATGAACAACCTTGTTTTGTCTCCCTGCAAGCCAAAGCATAGTCCTCCTAGCAAAAGATGGCGTTTTCGTCTCCAAAGACTGCGAATTCTCTCGCTTTTGACTCTCTTCTTCGCAACCGGTTTCGATCTTCGCATCAATATGTTTCGATAACCCGAAAGAGAATGCTCTTCCCGAAGACGAAGAAACCAAAGAACCATCCTCTTTGCCTTGAGCTTTACTCTGCTTCTCCTTCTTCCCTCTTAGCCAAATCTTGGACACCGAGAAACTCTCTCTTTCAACTACATTCTTCTCCGAAACTTCCTCCACAATCCTCATCGACCCACTTCCATTGAATTTCAACCTCCCCGTTGGATCAAAACCGCACTCGGACACAGCTGTCCTGTGACCTGGCAAGCGACGGTTCTTGCTTGCCACTTTCTTGGTCGAAACATGAACCTTGAGAGCTGTTTCTTCCTCCATTATATACTCATATGACCCCATTGAAAAACATCTCCTTTCGTCTAAATTACTACTATTACCACCACCATCTATGTTGCTACTACTTCCTTCTCCAACATCTAAGTTCCTAAACTTCCCTAGCTTCACTGCAAAAGGAACAACCTTTCCAACCGAACCACCCAATTCACCATCCGGGTATTCATCTCCACGACCCGTATCGTGACGGGTCGATCCAAGATCATCATTTGCAGCCACACAATCAGCTGCAACGTCGCTATCTCCGACGATCTCTCTCGAGCTGTGTTCACTCGCGGACTCGAGAATGAGGAGGAAAGAGGAGCGAGGATGGTCTTGATGAGAAGAGAGATCAGAGAGGAGGCTGGATCTGCATAACGGACAAGTCGAGTGAGAGAGAAGCCACGTGTCGATACAGTCCATGTGAAAGGCGTGGCTACATTTGGGCAAAAGCCTGAGCTTGTCCTCTGTTTCGAACTCGCAGAGACACACAGCGCAATCGAAAGGGTAATTCTTGAGGCCGATGATGGACTTGTAGTGGAAAACCGGTAACGTGTCGATGAAAGACTGGTCGACTCCGGAGTCGTGGAGGTGGAAGAGCTGCTGGAGCTGGCCTTGAAGAGCGGTGACGTTGTCGAAGTAGTCTTCTCTGTCTCTGCTCTGTGGCGTGAGGAGGAATCTGACGAGGAGGTGAAGGAGACCGGAGATGAAGAAGATGATTGAGAGGATTATGATTATCAGGAGAATGCTTGGGCTGATTTTGCTGTTTAGATCGAAGGTTGAGTCGGATCGGAGAGATAACGGTGGTGGTTGTGGTAGCGATGAAGGAGAGAAGAAATTCTGGGTTTTTGAGATTTCCGGGAAAGCCCAGTTCATATTTTCCCGAGAAAATTTCATGGGTTTGAAGGAAGAGGAGAGTTACTTACAAAGATTCAAGCTTTGTGGTTGGTTACAGACATGGAATCTCTCAGAGAGAGAGAGAGAGAGAGAAGAAGAAGATTGCTCTGTTTTTTTTTTTTTTTTGTGAGATTTGGTTTTGTGAGAAGAAAGAGAGAGTGATGAATAAGAGAATTACAGGTTGGACCATCGATGATGACAGAAGAGAGAAAAGTTTCATTTAAGATTTAACAGTTACACCAACAAGGGTGTGGCTCTTTGAATCTGCAGGTTTTTTCGAAAGTTATAATATTAGAAAAATTAATTGGGAAATTAAATATTGTATAATGTTATGGGATTGGATCTGATTTAACCTCAAGACATGCAAAGTCAATCAAAGATTAGTTTAAACGAAGAAACAAATCAGAGAACGAGCTAATTGATTTATTGAATTTCCGAAAACAATAATATATTGTGATCTCACCAAATCCAATGTTCCCTACATTTAAATCAACAAGACAAAGAACACCCACCACTAAAATAAAAATCACATCATGAATAATTTTTCAAATATCATCGCATTTATCTTCATGTGACTTTTTAGCACGCAGAAATTGAACAAATAAAAAAAGATCTTGAAGATATCGTGAAAATAACATGACTCCTAATTTTGAGCTAGAAACCAAATCCTAAACTATATTTCATTTCAAAGTGGAGCTTCTTGTATTTTTGTAATATTTTATGAAAGAAAATGAAACAAATACAGCCAGATTTTTCATACCTTTTTTGACGTCAGCCAATTCTAGCCAGTTATTAAAACGTCGAAGGCTTTAACTAGTTCCCAAACTTATCCAAAAAACTACACATAAAAGTGGTGTCTGACGTGTGGACATAACATCATACGTTAGTGAATGTAAGATCGTTTTTAAAAATTAAAATTTGGAAACTGAAAGTTGTGGAACGGAAACATAGGACAAGAGGACACGGAGACGAGAAACAGAGCAACTCTGTTTATCGAGATTTAGTGGGGCCGGCTTATTAAGTCAAACCAGAAGAGAACAGAACAGTACCCTTTTTCTTCTTTTTAAAATTGTTTTATACGTTAACACAAAAACCTACTCCGATACTGTCAAAAGGCTGTTCTTGTGCTACCTAAATACTAGAAGTCTAGCTATTTGCATTATTTTGGGCAGTGAGTTAACTTTTTTATTGTGCACGAAACAAGATATCAAATCAGCATTACAAGAAGGTTCGATGCCTTTTTTATGTTATAACTCGAGGCCAATCTTGTCTTATGCACTTTAATTTGATTAGTTTCTTTATTCAGTAAACAAAATTCCGAAAAAGTTGTAGAAGAAAAGTATATTCACAAAAGTTTTAATTCTACAAAGTGTACTATTTAGCCGATAGTATATCTTTGTAATTAATAATGTCATCATCGTAACACAGACAGTCTAAAAAGGGATGAGTTTTAATTTTCTCAATCATACACTCTTTTAACGACGGGTTCACTATTTAGAAGTTTACTATTTAGTCAGCTACATATACAAACACTAGAATCTCTGGGTGCTCGATGTTTTGGCTTTAGTTAGAAAGTCAACTCACTTTTGACGTACATCTCCTCCTTAAGCTACAAATTTTCTACCTACTTATTTAAATATTTTTTTTTTTTAAATAACTTAAGAAACTTGAAGGAAGAAACTTGCTTCCAGAAGACATATACATTCGCTCCGTGTAGACTATAGTTTTACATGTTGAGTTCTTTCTGAATCACCTGCTCCCGTTGACAAATAAACCCGAGTTAATGACATAACAACTACATGAATCTTTTTGTCATAAGTCAGATTATCATAAACTTAAAAAAATTCTAGGGAAATTAAACATGATGTGTAATTGTAATGTACTCAACTGTAATGTACTCATCCAAATATAATGTTATCTTCCACTAGAGAATTCAAACTCATTCACACGTTAATCTACGACATACGGAAAGAACAAAATTATCTTCTTCATACTTCGATAGTTCGATTGATCGCTCTATAGCCTCGAGAGTAACATCATATGCGTGCCAAGCTTGAAGCTTCTGAGACCATTTGACTTAATTTATTCTGTAAGCTTTTCTACTTTTCCAATTAGATAATTACGCAAATTGGAATTCTATGAATAGAATCTTGCTATAATGATGCAGATTATATGGAACTTGAACCTAGGTCATATTCGAAGATGGATGACCAAAACATGGCTAATAGTCAAACCCCATAAATGGAGTAGTAGAATACGGGACAAAGCTCGAAGTTTGAAACAGGTATTAATTTGGGGTTCTCTCATTTACTAATCCTTGTTTCAGGGATGATTACTCTAAGAACTACCATCAAATACTCAAAAGAAAGCGTTTAAACTCATCCACCGAGAACATGTTCGCATTGACTTCACTTTTGTACATGCAATAAAACAACAACAACAAAAGTATACGCATAAATTGAATTATACTTCACAAAAAGTATTTTAAGTAACAATAGAGTCAAAAACATAATAAGAGTGCTATATTGGCCATAGTTCTAGAGTTCAAATACAAGAGTAGACAAAACACAAATTAGTTAGGGTTATGAGTGATAATTTGATATAATAATGATATTAATGACAAACATCTCAATTAGGATTTGGATCAATAGGACAAAGAACATTCAATTTGGATCATTTGTCATTAGACATGGTTTTAAATTTCAAAGGATTTTCATCTAATTTTGAATTGAAGAGATTAGTCAGCTGTTTGAAAATTTCTCCGCTCGACACCTATTCTCACGAAACAATAATCCCTAATATATTAAAAGAGAAAACACTAACTAAATAACCTTTATCTAATGTGTTATTAACAAGAATGTCATTGCTTAGGTGTCATCACTAGGTTCACTCTTAGAGCAATTTCTAATTAAGACAAGCTTTACTAGACAAATTACAATATATGCCATTGCATATTATGCTTACAACCAAATAATGAAATTAAATTTATCATTCTCTTTCCTTAATTGGCAACTACGAAAATTAGTAAATAAGGAAGATATGAGATTCAATTTAATTCCATCATAATAATTTCTTTTAAAATCAGTATACATCTTTGTTTAAATTTATTTAATAAAATAATTTGAATCACAATATAAAAAATCTATCAAAAAAATCTAAAACTTTTTCTGTACATGTTATGATTTGAATTTTTAAAAACAAAATAATATAAATTGTTTCGTATATAACCTCATTTAGTAGGTATCCAAATGTATTTTTTTTCATTTAATATGGTTTTTTAATTAAAATCTATAATAAATCGAATAAAAAAGTTCTTTTTATAAATATTTTATTTTGATTAAACTTTTGAATATTACTCTATCTGTTTCAACTTTCTATACAAAATTAATTATATTTTTGCTGTTTTGACAATTTGGATTCTGCATATTATTTTCTGATTGGTTGGATTGTTTTGAAATTATAATAAAGCATGTTTTAGTTTTGAAAGAAAGAAAAAAATTAGTTCTAATCCGTGTCCACACAGCTAAAACTTTTTATCTTATGAAATACATGATGTATAATTTTTCTAAAGAATAATGTTTTATTTTCAATTTTTTTTTTAAACTATCTTATTATATTATAGTTATTTGAGTTTTATGTATCTCGGTTAAATCTATCATATTTAATATGTGGTTACGATCAATGCTTTAATTTATTTCTTTTTTTTAAATGGATTAAAATGTCTAATTTTCATACTATAAACGAATAACAAAGATTAAAAATCTCTCGCATAAAATGTCGAAATATTTAAATAAAAATTTTTAATAAAAATACAAATTCAGAAACTATCACCCCGTGCTGGGCACGGGTCAAACCCTAGTAAGTATTACAATGTAGACATTCATATTTAATGAAATAATGGACCTTATAAAGATCAGGAAAAGAATCGCCATTTGCATGTGCTATACAGATTAACATTTATTGCTTTGCCAATAAATTTCAGACGCTAGCTTGCTTCACTGTTCATCAAAATAAGTTCTATATTATTATAAAGATGTAAACTATTATAAACTTGACATATATCTAGAAAAAACCATACGAAACTTGACATATATCATTCAAACGAAGACTTTATAATCTGTTAAAAACTCGAGCACGAACTGTAAATGAAAGTTAAACCTCAATTAATTCTTTCACTAAAAACCAGTGAAAATAGTTCTTACAATTCATTTAACGGGTTTCATACAATATACACAATTGAAAAAGCATTATAATTCGTTGCCGACCTTCACATCAATATGTTACTGACAGAGTATACTCGTAGTTCAATAGTGAAGAAAATCTATAAATGTATCCTTTTCTTTAGCATTTTTGTCAGCTTTACAATTCAGCTGCTTTGCTTTAAACATATCTTTACATTATATGTCCTGATCAGTTCTTTTTTTGTGGTACGTAAGGTTGACACGCTATTTTAATTTCTTGTATGCTTCAACAATTTTTATGCTGTCACCAGTTCCACGTGTATCTTTTAATAACTCCACATTTGTGTAGTGAGTTATTTTTTCACGAATATACGAACTGATCTATGAACATACACAATTTCAACTTATTTGCTATGGTGTCACCCAAACCAAAATTATAGGGTCCACTTTGCTACATATGTGCAGTTCTTTTAAAAATAGGTGCAATTTTTTTGATGGCTCGAACAACGTAAGCTATTAAGATTTACCCTGTCATTAATATCATGTATTGAAAAGAAAAGAAATTAAAGCCGAACCGATCAATGGACAAGTGCTTGGGAATGCAGTTCACAAGCATGTCACCAAAATTATTGACTTTCGATTAGTTTTGGGCCTAGCCCATTGTTAACACTAATTTCGCGATACATACAAACGCCGCGACTCGGTCACGCTAACCCAAACGCAGCGTTTTGTGATTTACAGACAAACGCGAAAAAAAGAGAGAAGAAACGATTCGTCCTCTCTGGGCTCTTTTGCCTTTTCTCTAAACGTCGTCTCTCGATGAGCAGATAGATTTCGATCGTGGAAAATTCAGATTCGGCAACGACGAGAAGAAGGCGGCGGAGAAAGAAAATTAAAACCCACAAGAAATCAAAATCAAAGACGGAGCCTTTGCATATTTCGTGTGGAACAAATATTCTATCGACTGATTGAATGAGAAACCCTCCTCCGTCTTTGCTCTCCCTCACCGTCAACGTCGCCGTGTTAAACCTATCTCGCATCAACGATCTATCGCATCTTCCTGATCACATCGTTCTCGATCTCTTCTCGGTATAATCTAAATCCTCCTTTAGTTGGTGTGATTTTTGGTTCTAGGTTTTTCGAATAAAGTGTCAAAATTGGAACTTTTGTGTCATCTTCCTATGATTCTGGGAAGTTGTAAGTGAAAGTCTAAAGCTTTATCGCTTGTTTTGATATTGCTGAGCTTAGGATTTCGGAATTGTAGTATACTGTCTATATGATTTGCATAGGAAGAGTTGTTTGTGTTGTTGATGTCTTTGATCTCTTCTCTTATATGTTTGTTGCTGATTCTAATTTGAGTCTCTTGCTCTGTTTATGTAATGAAAAAGAGGACACTGAAAGCTGGGAAATTGAACGAGAGAGTCTTGAGACTCTTTATGGCATCTGGAAACGAAGAAGTTCTTTCGATCATCGACGCTCTGAAAATCAAAATCGATATTACTCCCATTCTTCCTACTCGTGAGTCTTAGTGTTTACTCTTTCCTCTTTTGATTCTTTACAAGTGTGTTGTTCTTGAAGCTAAAAAACTTTATCACTTTTTCAGTTGTTGAAATTTTGTTTTTTTGCTTCATTTGCAGGATGTCATGAGAAATTTAGAATGAACGGGACAAGACGCTAGTTTAATGATTATGGCGATGAGCATTTCAAGAGTTTGGTCGGTTTTTCTGATTGCATTTTGTTAAAATATATTAGGCAGAAACTACCGATCTTGACAAATTCGGGGTCTTTTTGTGTGTGTAAATATATGGAACAGGTCCAATCTAATTCACGTTGTTGGTTTATATCAGTTGAATTCATACTAAATCCGTTTTATTGAACCAAATAATCTAATAACCCGAATGCATTACCATTCATATATCTCAGAACAGTAATTCCCCATGAGAAAATCCCATTCGCATCAGTCCTTAATCCTGAAAAATAGATAAATGAACCAATCAACAACTTCGTTTAATAGAATGAAAATTAATCAAAACATTTGGAGACGGGTGGTTATAATACATTTTATATTCGACGTCGCACTGTAAGACAGTTGGATCGACAATAGCACGATAGGCGACGGGAGGGAGGATGAAAGAAACATGAGAACCAGAATAATGGGCACCAACTGTGACTGTCACAGATTCGTCGGTGCAATTGTGATTAGGATCATCTCCGGCGCATTTCATGGTGAATTGTTTGCCACATGCCTGACCATTTTTCCATAGTTTCTCGTTCACCTGCACTACATAGTTCTTATCCATAGAGAACATACAATTGAAGCCAAAACCAAAATATTTCTCTCCATCTTTATCTTCTTTGCGTTGGTTACCTTCTTTATATTACAGTTTTGTAGTAAAAGAGCATAATATCTACGCATTGTAATACCTTACCATATGTTTATCAAAAAAAATATCTTATTTCCATATGGTACCAACTAATGTACTAGAGTAGAGATTTCTAGGTGGTTTTAGGAGATTGAAAAACAACTAGATACAACGAAAACATATTATGCTCCGTGTGTTCTCTTTTCGTGATGTTCAATGTTTAAGTGAAATCAGAAATGGTTAACACGAGTTTAACATTCAGGTATGCAGCGGCTACACAGCTATGTAGGAAGCAAGGAGAATCGATCTATTTGCACCAGTGCTTGAACACTGGAACCTCTCCTGAGTTCGGAAAGGTTTCTATGAAGCGAAAGGGTTGATTAAGATAAGGGTTTTGTTCAACGGTTACTCTAGGGAAATCTTCGTAGAAATTAAAACTGCTGATGTAATGGTCAAAAGCGTATAGACATAAAGCTTGTTATCTTTATAAGCCATATCCCCACATTGTGTACGTGTAATACTCCATCGCTTATCATCATCATCATTTCTTCTTTTCTTGTATGAGAAGATATAGAATTGTTTCTGAGGCACGATAAACTTGGTGCGGTAGAGCTCAAATAAGTATCCATATTTAATATTTTGTATTGTATGGATCAAGAAGCACTACCTCCAACTCCAAGTGATGACTGTAATAAAGACTATTGATCCTCTTGTGAGCAAACACGTTCGATAGATAGAAATTTAGAAGATTGTTTTTTTTTTTTTTTTTGCTTTGAAACCAATTTCTGATAAATTCAACAAATTTGCATTTTATATATTTTCCTAGCCTAATTTAGGCTCAGTTTCGTAAACATTTTGTGCATTGGCGTTTGTATCTGAGATTTTTTTAAAAAAATCAATTTTAATGCAATTCTTTTTTTCAATGCCAATGCATAAGAAAAGAAAGCTAATTTCTGTTTCTATGGCCTGCTTGTTAATAAACTTATCTATCATGTATACGATAAATCCTCTGCTCATCAATGTATTTTTTTTGTTATGCATGGTTGTAGTTTTGTAGACTTATAGGTAACACTATCCCTCCTAATTGTCCAATTTTTGAAATCATATTGTTCAATCAGTAAATATGTGAAAATATGCAATCTAATTTTGTGTATGAATCTCGAGGATTTATTTTCATTAATATCATGAAGTATACTATTACAAAATCGCAATGAGATGAGTACATTTTCTATTAGAGTTTTCTGGATTAGAGCATCATTGTCCTTGAGAACTCCATCGACGCTTAGGACCTGAAATACAAATCTCATAATTAATATATATACAAGTCTTCTAACGTAAATAAACAAATATAGGTGACAGAATTTGGTGAAACATTACTGAAAATAATCAATGTTAATGATTCCAGCAACAGGATTAGCGATCTGAGCAAAAGCTTCACGGGAGAGATCGATGGTAGAAGCGCAGCCAGCTGGACAATGGTCAACGATCTTGACCCTTACAGATTTTCCGGTGCAAGGATGAGGGACGGGGTTACGAGCTCCGGTGCATTTCACGGTGAAATACTTGCCACAAACTTTACCATTGTCCCATAGCGTATCACTCGCTGCAGCTATCATCACTCCTTCTGGCGTACCTCCGTAACATGCCGATGCTAACAAAAACACACAATAAAACAAATGTGATATTGTTACGATGATATTGTAACACTTCCCTAGATTTATATATCAAATAACAAATATAAGTTTCTTGTTGTGTGTTATGTTATTTGGTTTATAATTTGGGTTAGTAAACACAAACAAGGATGTAAAATAATATTCTTACGAGTGTAGCTTTGGTAGAAAGTTGCGATTCCAGGAACTGCAGATGCTATTGAGAGAAGAAAAACAACAACGGTAGAGAAAACCAAAATATTTTTACCCATGGCCTTTATTATTATTATTTTTTTTTTCTTTAAGAAAATAGTTAGAAAATAAGATTGTTAGATTTTGATGTATATTTTCATATGCGAAATGCCTATATTTATATATGTGTTATGTTATATGTCTAACTCCGGATAAGCATGCATTGTGTCTTGCCATTGAGATTTGTTTGACTAATCTCTTTTGTTTTAAGTCATAGAGTTAAAAAATGTCAATTTTCTTATACGTGTCAATAGCTAGCGGTAATTTTTTCTTTTACCAAAATATGTACTAACATAATATTGTTACTCCAATATCAAAAAGTTGACTACACTCTAGAGAGTATTAACATATATAAATTCATAGTTGAACAGTATTTATTATATGTATGGGTATATTTCTTATAGGATGTGTCTGAATTATTGAAACGTTTGACTGGATTAGAGTGAACTCGTATATCTATACTGAAAATTTCACAAACTTATTTTCAGCCAGGATAAATTGCTAACAAATCATTAAACATGTTTGACTATATTAAAAACTATTGGTCTTAATCAACTGTTCCACTTGTAAATACAAACGCAGGCCCTAAATTAAAAAAAAAAAAAAAAAAAAAAAAAAAAAAAGGTGTGATACCAAACTTTGCAGCCAAACACCAAAAATGTATTCCACTGACACTGAGCTTCATCAAAATTATTTGTTAATTCTTGTAGAAAACATATATACTAATCCTTTTGCCCTAAAATGTAGTAACTCACTATTGATTGATGGACTCGCCATCAATGGACAGTCCAGAAGTCTTGCAACCTTAGAAGGCAACAGACAGTGGGCCGAACGGCACAACCGATCCAAACCGGAGATAACAATAGTAAATGTTGCAAATAATTTTCTGAAGTAAAGGTATGGTGACATAAAGGAATGCTGTTACCAAGGAAGCTGCCATTGTCGGTTTGTGCCTATCTCTTCCCAATCACCAGAAAGGAGAGAGAGTTCAGAGATAATAATTGGAACCAAAAACACATAAACACTTAAATGAGAGTTTATGTGAATACATTAACAAGAATTTGATTTTGTCTTTCTATCAAATAATCGTTCTCAAAGATCAAAGATCAAAGATCAAATTATACTAGCATAAGTAACGCAAATATTGTTATAACTGTCTTTTTTGTACGGTAATGTCAATTTCCATAAAAAAAATTAAAGATTGCTCACGAATTCATCGGACAAGAAGTAGTTAAAATGTCCGAATATTCCCTCATATTTAATTAACTACAAATATAAAACTATACACACCCTCTTATCGCTCTATCAAGACAACAACAATACCTTTGAATCCATATATTCTTAACTCTTCAAATTCAATTTCAGTTCCTTATGTGCTATGGAATCACTCTGATTTGAGCTTAAAAAAAAACAAAAAAAAGAAGAGAAGATTTTTATCTCCGCCGCAATCGTCCGATGTCGATGCCGATACCTATTCCCCACGATGTCCCAATCTCCGGCGAACAATCGCCGTCTCCGGCACCACCGAAGGCGAACACGAGTAGTTTACCCACGAAGATTCTATCCAAAATCCTCGTAGGTCTTATCATGATCCCTGTAGCTGTAACCGCTCTGCTCTTCATCCTCATGTCTCTCGGCTTCTCCTTCTTCTTCTTCGCCCTCTACTGGTTTCTCCACCGAAACTACCGCCGCCGCCATCGCCGTCACGAATCCTCGGATGGGTTGTCTTTCAGATGCGTCAAGAGGCTTCCCCAATTCAAGTTCTCTGAGTCCATAACAGAGCACGGAAGCGATTGTGTGGTTTGTATCGACGGATTCAGACAGGGACAGTGGTGTCGGAGGTTACCTGGATGCGGCCATTTGTTTCACCGGAAGTGTGTGGACGTGTGGTTGATGAAAGTCGCGACTTGTCCGATTTGCAGGGATAGAGTTTAGTTTTTTTTGGTTGGAGAAGAAGTAAATTTCTGATAGATTTGTTTGTATGAGTGTTACTGTGTTTAGTTGTTTGGTTTCATTTGTTAGCAATTTTGGTTTCCTTCACTGTTTGATTTGACCCAATAGAGAAAGATGATTTAGTTCTCTTTTAGCTGAAATTTTCTGGAAATGTCAACATAGTTTGAAGCTTGGATTGTATGAAATTTGATTGCTGTGACACTTGTGGAACTAAATCTGCTCAAATTACAATCCCTTAAACTCTCTATTGGAAAAAATTATTGATAACTTCTGATTGAAATGTTGTTTGTTGTCACTTTAAACATACTGTTTCTGTTACTACCTTAATGATATTCAGTTTAGATTCATTGTTTTTGCTCTGTCATCAATGTTTCTACCACAATTTGTGTCCTTGATGAAGCGAGTAAAGTTTGGTTCTTCTTGTGACATCAGTTTACCTGCTTCACCTCTTGAATTGTGGCAAATATTTTGTTTTTCCGACTTCCCGGTGTGATTAAAGAGTCTACATCGAACATAAGAAAAAAAAAAAAGCTAAAATTTTCGTTTTCTCAGTCGTACAAGGAGGCTATAAAAGTAAGTGTTCTCTACTTTTCTTGTGATGTAGCATTGTTTTCATTGGTACTACTAATTTAGTTATTACTACTTTAGTTCTTATTTAACGGAAAACTGTAAAGTTTAAACTAGTACTCCAATTAAGTCACTTAGTCAAATGTGTTGACTTTCTTGTCTTATACTGTGTGGAATGAGCCAAATATTCCAGAAAAAGCACAAATATCCTTTCCGATTTTATTTTTCTTAAAATAAAAAAAAAGGCAAAGAAGATACGCTCTCTGACTCGCTCCGTGACTCAGTTATTCCCTCGTTTCAATCCTCCCAGGAGTAATCAAACAAACAACGACCTCCCTCAGATTCAGAGAGAGGGAGAAGAGACACAGTAAGAGTGACACTGTCAGTGAAACGAATCAAAAGAAAGACACGATTTTTAAATTAAAAACTTCAAAAGGGTTTTCTCGAGCTTGAGCTCCTTCTTCTAATGGAGCTGAGAAAGGACAAGCTTCTCATGTAAGTTTTTTTTTACAGATTTACGTTTCTGAGTCATATTATTGGTCGCCCAGAAATAAAAATCCAGACTTTGCGTTAGATTTCTCTCTGCTTAAGTAGAATTCTATTAAACCAAACCTCAAGCTCCGAGTTTTCCGCTCAGATGTGTAATTAAACTAAACTCTGATCTCTATTTATGATTCAAGTTCTTGTTTTTTTCATTCTCCTGCAGGTTTTACTCAGACAGAAAAGAAAACAAAGAATCCATATGGGCAGTGAATGATCCAATGAGCAAATCATACAAACTCTCTCTACCTTCAGCACTAAAGCCTGACAACAACAATCTCTTAGCTGGAAACAGAATCAGATACACTGACGCTTCCAAACTCAGCAACAACAACAACAACAAGTCCAAATCTTGCAAACTCTCATGGTACAAAACAATCCTCGATCCAGGAAGCGAGATAGTCTTGAAATGGAACTGGGTCTTCATCGTCTCCTGCATGGTCGCTCTCTTCATCGACCCTCTCTACTTCTTCGTCCCACTCATCGGAGGAGACTCATCTTACCCCTGCGCAAGAACCGACACGAGCTTACGTATCCTCGTCACCTTCTTCAGAACAATCGCTGATCTCTTCTACTTGCTCCACATCTTCATCAAGTTCCGAACCGGTTTCATCGCTCCCAACTCGAGCACTAGAGTGTTCGGTAGAGGCGAGCTTGTCATGGACCCCAAGGCAATCGCTTGGAGGTATCTCAAATCTGACTTCATCATCGACCTCATCGCGACACTACCGCTTCCACAGATCGTTATCTGGTTCGCTATGCCTGCTACAAGAAGTTACCGGTTTGATCACAACAACAACGATCTCGCTTTGATTGTGCTCTTACAATACATCCCTAGGTTCTACCTGATAATCCCTTTAAGCTCTCAGATCGTTAAAGCGACCGGAGTTGTTACAAAGACTGCTTGGGCTGGAGCTGCTTATAACCTCTTGCTATACATGTTAGCTAGTCATGTATGTATCTTGTTCTTTCCATTGTTACATTTGATAAGTAATTAATATTTAATACTATAGCTTAAGATGTTTACTTGTGTTTGGTTCAGGTTCTTGGTGCGGCGTGGTATATATTGTCGTTTGATAGATACACATCTTGCTGGAAGTCAAGATGCAACAAAGAGTTTGGACGAGTGAATTGTCATCTTTATTACTTGGACTGTGATTCGATGTATGACGCTAAGCAGCTAAGTTGGGCGAATGTGACGAACGTGTTTAAACTCTGCGATGCGAGGAGTGGGGAGTTTAAGTATGGGATGTTCGAGAATGCGATCACGAAGAAGGTTGTGTCTTCCAACTTTATCGAGAGGTATTTCTACTGTTTGTGGTGGGGGTTGCAACAGCTTAGGTAACTAACTAACTAACTAACTAACTACAGAGCTCATCAAAAGTGTCAAAATTTAAAAAGTTCTGATTGCAGTTTCTTTGTTAATGTCGTATCAACAGTTCTTATGGACAGAATCTGTCCACGACCATGTTCATCGGAGAAACCACATTTGCTGTGCTCATTGCAATCTTTGGACTTGTCCTCTTTGCACATCTCATTGGGAATATGCAGGTATGTTTGTATGGATGATTCTTGCATTAGGGAAAGTTTAAAGAGTCTTTTTGTTCTTATGTGTTTCTTGTTTTTTTTGTTTGTTAGACATATCTGCAATCTTTGACTGTCCGGCTTGAGGAATGGAGGTTGAAGAAGAGAGACACAGAGGAGTGGATGAGACATCGCCAACTTCCTGAAGAGTTGAGAAACCGTGTGAGGCGATATGAGCAGTACAAGTGGCTTGCCACTAGAGGAGTCGACGAAGAGATTCTCTTACAAAGCTTACCTACTGATCTTCGCCGTGACATTCAACGCCATCTCTGTTTAGACCTTGTTCGAAGAGTAAGCTTTTTTCACTTGAGTTCTTAATCCTACCAAAGGTTTAAACTTTACAACTCCATGATGTGTTTCTCCCTGAATCATGCAGGTTCCATTTTTCTCACAAATGGATGATCAGTTGCTAGATGCGATATGCGAGCGTCTGGTTTCTTGTCTGTGTACGGAAGGGACTTACCTTGTACGTGAAGGTGACTTGATCACGGAGATGCTCTTTATCATCAGAGGGAGACTAGAGAGCTCCACAACGAATGGAGGCAGGACAGGTTTCTTCAACTCGATTATACTAAGGCCTGGAGATTTCTGCGGGGAAGAGCTTCTTTCTTGGGCTTTGCTTCCTAAGTCAACCTTGAACCTACCGTCTTCCACAAGAACAGTTAGGGCTTTGGTTGAAGTCGAAGCTTTCGCTCTTCGAGCTGAAGATTTGAAGTTCGTTGCGAATCAGTTTAGGAGGCTTCACAGCAAGAAGCTTCAGCATACTTTCAGATTTTACTCTCACCATTGGAGGACTTGGGCTGCTTGCTTTATACAAGCCGCTTGGCGTAGGTACAAGAGAAGAACGATGGAGAATCATCTCACTGCGATTGAGTCAAAGGAGAGTGAAGAAGAAGAAGAAGATGAAGGAAAAGAAGTGGAAGAAGAGAGTGTTGGTTCGAGCCCTAGAACAAAGATGAACATTGGAGTTATGGTTTTGGCTTCACGATTTGCAGCTAATACAAGACGTGGTGTTGCAGCTCAGAGAGTGAAAGATGTCGATTTGCCTCGGTTTAAGAAACCTGAAGAGCCTGATTTCTCTGCTGAGCCTGATGATTGACTGATTTATACAACCAAGAAGGAAGCTGACTGTTCTTTTTAAGAGTTTCAAAGGAGATTTTTATGACAAGAAACTTAGAAGGGTGTTTGGCTTTGTATATTAAAACCTATGTTGTAATTTTAAATCTTGTTATACTTTTAAAGAAGAAAGAAAATGTGTTGGCTTTCAGTCCTAAAACAAGATGAACATTGGAGTTATGGTTTTGGCTTCGCGTTTTGAAGCTAAGTTTTCTTAATGATGATTGACTGATATATAACGTCGTTTGTAGCGTAATCTTGTTATATTTTCAAAGAACTCGGTTTCAAATTCTCTGATCGTAGGAAAGATGAGGGAAATGATACGAAGTGGAACTGAATTAGGTACAAATCAAATCACAGTTAAAACTTGTGCTACGGTAACCTCGATCCCTGCACATTAATGGATCCGACAAGGAAAAAACGTATGTCTAAAGCCCAGTTATGAAAGACCCACTAAATGTTTCACATGTTTTTCATGTTTTTTTTTTTGTTTTTTCCAACTCTTTTGCATAAAAGGAAAACAATATACAATAAAGTAGAAACTCTATAAATTAATACTCGATAAATTAATAAACACGATAAATTAATAAATTTATCCGATCCTAAGTTGGACCGGTGTAAAATATGACACAATTTGATAAAATAATAAGATAATAACTTTTTTTACAAAATTTTAAAATAAACCCGCGTATACGCGGGTCTTAATCTAGTATACAATACAGTAGAAACTCTATAAATTAATACTCGATAAATTAATAAACACGATAAATTAATAAATTTATCCGGTCCTAAGTTGGGCCGGTGTAAAATATGACACAATTTGATAAAATAATAAGATAATAACTTTTTTTAAACTCCTATGTAAAATATGGTCCCAATAATATTATAAATTAATAATTATCATATAAAAAATTATATATATATATACCTATATATATTAACCTAAGATATCTAGTTTAAAAAAAATAAATCTCTCACACATCAAATAAATATAAAAACTAAAAAAAAATTTAAAACAATATGGAAAATATGAAAAATGTAAACAATAGAGAAAGTATAGAAACATCAAAAAAGTTAAGAAAATATATGTATAATGAAAAGTTCTTATTTAATTTGAAGGAAAATTTAAAAGATTATTATTATTGAATTTTCTATTTTTGAAAAAAATGTTAGTCAAAATCTATATATTAATAACTCTATAAATTAATAAAATATCAAAGTCCCGACATTATTAATTTATAGAGTTTCTACTGTATGGTAATGACACAAATTCATTTTAAGAAAATAACATGTGTCTATTGACATAATACATAGACATAACACAAATGATGAGTTTGATCTATTGGAACAAGTTAAATTCTTACTTTCTTTTTCTACTGAGCATCTATAAGTTATCGGATTACATACATATTGGGATTTTCTTTCCAGAATGGCAACAAGACCGACTCACCGTAATCTATTAATATATTATTACTCGAAACAAGTTTCTAGAATTTTCGAGTCCCAGTGTTCTAGAAAAATCCAGGGACCTTGTGCGGCACAAGGTGTGCTTATGCAGTATGAGCATTCTACCAATTAAACCGTCCCTGAATGACAATATCAATATGGCACCACAGGTTAGAACAAAGATCTAACCATGAGATCATCGGTTTGAATCCTTTCTTCATATGTGGGAAACGCTTATTTTAAATCACTGTTATTCTACAACTCGATTGTTAAAAGATAACCTATATGCCGACAAAAAGAAAGAAGAACAAGAAGATCATATACATACGCAAGACATCTATGAAAATCTTTTATAAATAAAAATAATATATAGGCAGACATGTTTTTGTGTTAAATACATACACACAGACATGTGCATGCATATGTTAGGAGATGCCATAGTAGTTGTACCTTAGAGTGTAGTTGCTCACTACAGAAGTTAAGTTCATGTCCCCTTTCCAAAAAGCTCAAATTCAACATTAGGTTTCAATCATGTGTGGTTGAGATCTGTGACCGCTTTTAGTTATAATATAATACTCCTACATACTTGTATTCGCAAATCATGATCTTCACATCCTTTTCATGGTTATAATTACAATAATTAAAGAGAAAAGACTAGAAAATAATATTAAATAGGAAATAGGTCTTTGAGTAAAGTTGCAGCATTTGCTGCATTATTTTATTTTCCACTTGAAGATTATTCAATTACACTCTTTCACATTGGTGTTATTATGAGTCTCTTTTTGTCACTTCAAGATCAAGTATTGGAATGGTGTATGATGAATCTTTTTTTTGTGTGATATAAATTGAATCTAATTTAATATTTAAGAATTTTCATCTACTAAAGTGTCTAATGCCTTCATCTTTCTTACTTTTGGCTGATGATATATTTAACTATGAAATGAGGAGACATATAATGCAAATCCACCAAAAAGATAGAGAGACCATAAGGTCCATGTATATAACTAAATAATTGAATGATATAAAGGCATGTTTTGGTTTGTCTTCTCCTTGTTCTAGTGCTTCTCTTTGGCTAAAATCCTTTTATTTGAAAATAATATTAAAGTATCCCCCCTTAATTATTACTAGTTGTCAATAATTAGGTTAAGACCTGCTTTATTTCAAACAAATCCACATTTTTATAACCCTGAAAAGTATTGGATATGCTTATAATTATGTATAAACTAAGTATCACAAAGCTTCAGCCTTATCTCCCACTCCTAAATATTACTAATACATTGTAAATTTGTAATATCCATAAAGTCGAAGAAGAAAAAAAGCCAATTTTGAAAGCGTTGTCTTCAAGTGTCTAGCAGGGAACCGGAGTAACTTGACTTATTAAAGCAAAAGTAATTTATGACTGTTCAGCAAAACTAAGTTTATAGAGTAATTAAGAAATTAAAGTGAGCATTTTAACCAATAAAGATGTCACAAATCTCTACTCTGGGTCGAAGATCGATTTTCATTAGATGTACTACTATGTAACAACTACGATGATGGTTCTGAAAGAAGTATAATTTTTTAAAAGAAAAATATACATATAGGCATTAGACATATGAACCATGTGAACATACTTGGCATCATTCTTGGTCGTTGTTAAGTGGTAGATTTAGATATAAATGTCCAACACATGTAAGAATCAACTTATATTTAAAAAAACTGGTACGTTGAAAAATGGGGAAAAATTAGTGCGTGATGTACATATAACTTGATTTGATTTAAATATAGATGTAGCAGTCTAAATTGAAAATGAAAAGTCATGGCGTCATGTAGTGGAGATCACTTGATCAAGTGTCCTAGTCGTTTATTATTATCATAACTTAGTTAGGTTTAAATTTAATATCGGTGGTTGACCGGTTTGTAGGTTGGGGCTTTGAATCTAGAGACCCTTGAATCTATCTATTGTCATAAATGATAAATCGAAGTATGACCTCAAGCACACCAAAAGACCGATCATTACGTGTGGTTCGATCGCTTTCTATTTTGAATTTTGATGAACACGTTTTGGTCAAAATCGGTTTGGTAGCTTTCAACTTTGTTTTGAACTCACATGGTCTCAAAATCGCGTATTGACCAAATGACACTCCAAGACGGTCCAATTTGAACCCAAATGTCAAGATCTTCTTTAAACTCTATGAACTACGAAAAAGTTGAGTTTAAATCTACAGATGTCAATATTCAGGTCTAATAAACAAAAAATTTGTTCATGCACAATGGTATTTGTATTGAATATCAAGTAAGAAACATGATCAATCTTCCTCACATTCATAACTACTTTGTTTTAGCACAAATCTTGCCTATACCCATAGCTTATTTCGAATGAATAAGACGAGAAGCCAAGAATTTCCTAATTTTAAAAAGAATGATATAGAAATACATCATATAGGTATTGGCAATGGATTTTTCATTAAATAATTGGTCCATGAGAGTGGTTGGATTTGCTGCTTTCATTCCAAAAAGGTGAAGTAAAGACAAGCCACATACTAGCCGAACCCACCTAATATTTTTAAAGTATAACTTCTACTGAAATAAATGTCCCCTGAATATTACAAATTATATAATATAGTTTTTCTAAAATTCGATCTGCTAAGAGTAAAGAGACTACAATATATTCCACAAAACTCCAAGAAGAAACATACGTAAGAATAATCAAATGTAACCTTGAATAAAATAAAATAAATTCCACTATGTCCCCAGTAAAACCTCTATTTTTAATCAATTTAGTTCATATATTCTTATCTCTAGCAGATTCCTCCTTTTCTGTTTATGAAAGTATCTACTTTCTACTTTTCATATAAAAACGTGTGAGTTAATTCTCAGCCGTTGATTTTTAATAACCGCTAACCTTTTTTTATAACTTACTGTTTAAATGTATTACCGAACTCTTTCCTACCCCGCCAAAAGACGGTTTGGAAGACATAATAATATTTACATCTTTACCCTCACCATTTCTCATAATTACGAATCTACCCCCTCACCGGGAAAAAAAAAACAAAAAATCAAACGACCACCGTTCTGATACTACTCGGAAGATATCCTCCACCGGAGATTCGATCACTCACATCATCTTCAAGCTCAATTCGAATCACAGAATCTTCCGACGAAAACACTCGAGATTTCACGCTACTCAAACTCGAACCCATCGCTTCCTCAACCCACTCCTCTAAGCTAATCTTACTCAACCAAATCGCTCCGGCGATTCTCTCCAAAGCATCGTCTTCAATCTCCACCGTCAATCCATCCGCGAGACCGTTAGAGAACCGTTTCTTCAACGAATCCGCCGTCCTGCTCTTGATCGAACCGAAATCGACCGGTCTAAAGAGTATCGCATCGTCCGCTAAACCCACTAGCTTGTGAACAAAGCCGCCATTATCTTCCTGATCGTGCTCCACCGTTACATCGCTCGACGAATCGAACTCCGCCGCTTCGTTCAAATCGAAACAGATCTCTTTCCTCTGCTTCGTTTTCTCGTCATCATCGTCGCTATAAAGCCAATTCGGTTTCCGTTTTCGCGTTCTGCTGCAAACAGAGAGCTTTATCTTCCATCCTCTGCTCACCAGAGACTCTAATCTCTTCTCGTCGATCGGAACGACGACGTTTTCCGTTATTCCAATCGACGAATTCGTCGTGAGGATGATAATGACATTCCCTAGACTAACCTCACGCCCATACGAATCGCAGACTCTCCCTCTTTCCATCGCTAGCTTCACGTTGTTACGTAGCAACAAATCCGCCTCGTCGATGTCTTCCATCACGATAACCGCAAACGGATTTCTCCTAACCGCTTCCGCGAACCGGTCCAACGCGGTTTTACCACGGAGGTTTAAACCATCGTCGTCTCTCGTCGAGCCGAGGCTGATCGTTATCGGCTGGCTTCCCGAGACGAGATCTGACAACGCAGACGCCATTTTGCTCTTCCCGGCTCTGTCTGGACCTGTGAACATCAGCCAGATATCTCCCTTTGATTTGCCGTTTCCGTGTTTGCATTCGGTGATCGCTGATGCTACTGATGACGCTGCGTCGTGCTGCCACCAAACGCTTTTTGCTAAGCCTTTTAGTAGCTTTTTGAATAGATCGATATCGAAGGAGTCTCCTCCTAGCTTTCCGAAACGCGCTTCTCGTGTCTTCCTCTCCGGTGAGGTTAAAGCTCTGTTGGGACGTCCGAGAACCAAATCTGTGCCAACCGGACTCCCTGGTGGAGTTATCTCCGATCTTGAGCTTGGCAACGACGAAGGAGGAGCAACAGACGGATTCGGATGTAAACGTATACACAAGTCGTTCCATTTCTTCTGCAGTTCTACAATCTGTTGATCTTTTGTCTACAGAATTACAAAAATCATGTTTTAATTAAACCATTCTTGTTTTGATAATATATTGAAAGCAATTTGCCAAAGAACTTACAAGTTTCTTGTCACTGTTTTCGTCAGCTCTAGCGTTTTGCAACCACTGTGGCAAGACCGACCGGTTATTTCCGGTTGAGGAATTTTCCAGCTTAGCGACGTCGTTTTCGTAACTCTGCAGACACCGAGAGCAACAGCTCATTTTTCCCGTCGGAATTTGAAAGCTTCTCGTCGGAGATATCGATTCCATTGGGGTGATATTGCTGCTTAATAACATAGCGTTTGCGTTGTTATTGTTGTTGTTGCTCCCAAGCCTGCGCAAAACAAAATATTAAGAAAAGAAAAAATTGAAACTTTGATCCAATTATCAATTGAGAAATTGAATTGAATTTGAAGACCCACCTGGAGAACATCGACGGAAGAGGCGATTTCGCGGCGATCGGAATGGCTTGAAGATCGCAGTCGTTCTCCATTGAAGGGTAATAAACTTGACAACGAAGATAAGTCTCACAAGTGGCCGTACCAATGAAGCACAACCTTCCTTTGTATCTCTCTAAAAGCTTCCGCATCTCCGTCACAGCTCCTCCTCCTCCGCCGTTCGCCGTCGGATATTCCGATAACCATTTCAAATCGCCGAGATCGAGAACAACGGTTGAATCAGAATTCCCGATCCGAGTCTCCACTAATCCGGAGATTTCAACAAACCTAGTCGCCATTTGTGCGTTATTGGTCGAATATAACTCCGCCTCCAAACGGATCACCTGAGAATTGCGAAGCGGTCCATCGGAGAATTCGCCGCTCTCGATCTTCCCTAGAATCTCTTTCACCAGAATTTGAGGCTCCGAGTCGCCGACGAGAACCGGGTTTCTCTTCCGGGTTCGGATCATTATCTCCATGACCCGTTTCGCTTCGTCTGTCCTCTGCATCAGCCCACTATGCGGCCCGGCTCCACGTTGTTGTAACCGGGGATTAAGGTAAGGATTCCGGCTAACCGATGTCGGTACGGGTCGATAACCGAACCCAATTGCAGACGGGTTTACGATTCCGGGTGACCCGGACTGTCTCGAATTAGCAGAATTACCATAAAGCGACTGTTCGATCGCTGATTTCACGGCGGGGCTGGAGAAGCTAGCTTCCCGCATGACCCGACTCACACTCGGGTCATCAAGTATCGATATGATAAGCTGCTCGAGCTCAACTTTCACGGCTAAAAGCGGTTGCTGTTGCTGCTCCGGACAACCACGCCGCTGATGAGCCTGAGCGCGTTTCAGAGCCGCGGTTAGAGCGTTTGAGAGCAGAGGCTCCTGCGTTTCCGACGGAGAGGAAGAAGTAGTAGGGAGGCGCTCGAGAGCGACGCTGAAACAGAGCTCGAGAGCTCGACACTGGAGTGGGTGAGAAGAGTTTGGGTGGGATTTGATGCAAGCTTGTCGGAGAAAACCAGAGGAAGAAGATAAGAGAGTGGCCGCCACGTGTAGCGGCGTCGTGTGGCCATGGTTACGACGTGTCGCCTCCGCAACCGACTGGTTAAGAACAGTCGCTGCTTCCGGCGTCAGCGTTTGCTGTATTGTAATCAAATCTGCTCTCATCTCAAAAAAACTAAAATTTTCTCAACAACAAAAATGAAGAAGTCTTGGTTGTTGTATTTTTTTTTTTTGGGTTTTCCTTTGTTATCTTATTGAGAAGAAACCTTTGCATAAAGAGCTTTTTGGACCGGCCAAGATATTAAAATTTAAGAAGAGAAAGAGAAAAAAAGGTCACGAAAAAAATGCTGAGGTTTTTTGGCAGAGAAAATAGTTTAATCAGGTAAAAAGGATCAACACAAAAGTTGGCTTTTTACAGAAAAACAAAAGCGAACAACAGAAAGGTGAAAAATCGAAGCTTTGTTTGAATTTCTCTCTCTTTCTGTCTCTCTCTTCTTGAGTTACTGTGGATTTGCAGAGTCTGTGTGTGAGTGGGAAAAAGAAGAAACTTGAGAAGAAAAGGAAAGATCGGATCATCTGCTTCACAAGAACTTAAAACTTTCTCATAGCTTTTCAATGTCTATCTATTTGATTTTATTCGACACCAAGTATTATAAGTAACCATCATTTCAAAATTACGATACTATCCTTCTCACCTTCTGTGTCTGCATCTATAATGGGACAAAGGCCTCAAAGTCATTAACTTGGTTTGAAAATTGCTAATTTCTTCCTTTTTGGACCATAAACATCCAACTGAGAAACATTTTTTTAAGAATATTTTCTGACAGAAAAAAACTTAAATTAGGTGCTAATTAATTAGATATTGGTCCAGGAAACAATAAGGCGTACGTACGATGCTCTGTTTTCAGTGTCATCTTTCGTAATCGAATGAAAGTAAATATTTGTTTGGGTTTTGAGTAAAATCATGTTAAGTCACTGATTTGATAGTTAGATATTTTTTTTATTACTGTATCTACGAGTTCATCTGGAAGATAGAACATATTTTTATATTCGTAATTTGCTATACCGTTGAGAACTGACGTTTATGGAAATAGTATTAGAATTGATATTTTGATGTTAATAGTTAAACGTTTTGTCAAGTAAAATTAATTACTACTTTCAGCTTTCAGATGAGTGTGGAAAACAAAAAAGGTACCAACTAATAAAGTTTTGATGACGAAATAAAGGTTGAATCTAGTCAGAGAAATGAGACAAAACAAACTCACGCGTTAAAAAGTAGCGCGTGTCCGACATCGCTTCATTGCTTTAGTGGCGTGATCATAAGACATAAGCTACGTGTTGATCGGGAACGGCGGTATCTTTCACGCGCGCATGAAAACGTGTGAGTGATGGAAAAATGTATTTTATTTTGTTCCTTTTAAATCTTTTTTGGGTTTTACCTTTTAAAACGAAAAATGTAATCTGTTTTTCACACGCAATCCCTGCAAAAGGAATCCACAAAAAGCTTTCACCTTTTCGTATTTTGCCTTTTTTCGTCTCTCTCCTGGCCCTTTTCCGCCGATTTAAAAGCTCTTTTCATCTTCTTTTTCTTTGCTAGAATTTTGAAGTTACTGTAAACTGAAGTAATACTACATAGATGGACAGAGAGAGAGAGAGAGGAGTCCAATAATACACCAAAAGTATATCTGGACTCGGTTAGATACATAGTAATTATAAATCAAGATTTTTAGATCTCTTGTTTGATCATTTATGCTTGAAGTTTTATATATCTAGATTAAATTTTGGACACAACACAATGACACATACATTATACGAGTGTATATTTTTTACTTGAAGATCATAATGTTTGATTTCGTGTCTCTTATGCAATTTATTATATCATAAATTTGAAAAAGATAATTGGACTACAAGTTTGTAGACAATTATTGCTTCAACTATTATAGCTTCTGTTTTTTTCAAGTATACCATGATGCCAACTTTTTCAATTTGAAATGAATCCAAACTATCGCAATCGTTTTGAAAATAACATATAACTTTTACGTCAAGAAAACCGAAAAAAAATGAAGAAAAAAACGCCACATAAGTTGTTGAGTTTCAATAAGTGAGATTTTGGGTTAGTTGTATTATTTTGTGTAAAACTTGAGATTTTTTGGAAGAGGTAAGGGGAGTACCATTGTTCTATGGCGACATTTACATGCTTCAGCCACTTCTTGTTAATCATAAAAAAAATAAAAATTCACAGCTTCTGTTAGTTTGTTTTCTAAAAGAAAAATGATAACAAACTGATAAAAGCAAGATAATCCCTATACCAGTTTGATCTATAAACTTGAATTATACCAAATCACAGTAGCCAAGTGCTGGACGACAGCTTGACATCCTTTTGGAACAAGGAAAGAAATTACAAAGATTATACAATCGATTTTGATACCAACTCCACAAACCATTTCACCTTTTTCGTTATTTGGATAAAGAATATTTAATGCAGAGACAAGAATGGTAAGGTCATCACATGTGCCAATGTGCGAGCCGACCCAATAAATTCATAGACCATTTAATACACAATCTTTTTTGTGCAAAAACTCTTACTTCTACACCAAACTAATTGTCTTTATTTCATTTTTTAACTTTCATCATTGTAATATGTCTACGTAACTCTACTTCATGAAAAATATCAGAACAATAATGCTATACACTTCATAGTACACACAAAAGGAAACTTTAAAATACATATATTCATGTACCATTCAACAACTATATATGTAGGTTATTATTTCTATTGATTGATGAACAAAATTAGTTGTTGACAACTTCAAAAGAATAAAAAGAAACAACTCGTTCAAGGAGTCGAGTCAAGTTACTTTCATGTGATTTATAATCGTCATGCAATATTTTTATTCGTTATACATAAACCAAATAGCTTTCAAAATGGCGTAACAGTTTTAAGCCTCGAACACTATCACTTTTATAGAAAGAAAAGAAAGTAGAAAAGATAAATAATTGGGGTAAGGTAATGCACGCTTTACCTTTAGGGTTACGCGTTTATCGAGTTCACTCGCTTTTTAACCAACAAACTCCTTTGCAGCCTTTTTACACCAAACATTTCTCTGTTCTACTCTTCTCTTTTCCAGCTCCACACAATCACCCTCTTCAAACCAAATACAAGAAAAAAATGTTAAGTCAAACCACAGTCGGATATCATGTAGTCCGCGTATAGATTGCAAACCGAATTTTCTGTATCAATTTACGATTTGAGTCTCTGGGTTCTCGGATCCAGAATAATGGTCTCCGATAAAATGTAATTTGTCGTGTAGCTGCGAGATACAAAGAAAAGAAAAAAGCTGACGCAAACAAGAGAATAGTTTTAGGGAATAGTTTTATTGCGGAGACCGATAAACAAAAAAAAAGTGCAAGTTTGAAAAGAAGTTAAAGAGTTTCAGCTTTCTGCATTTATTACAACTTCACGTACAATTCTTGTCGACCTACTGTTTCTAACACAATTACTCTGTTTGCCCTTTAATTCTTTTCTTTTTTTAAAATGTGACTTGGGTAATAGAAATGTGGTGTGGGGCTGTTGTGGCCTGTGGCCAAACATCTGCAAGTGATTTCGGATTACTTGCTCCAGATACTTGATTCATTGGTTTTACGTTCATTTTTTTTTCTACTATGGTTGATTCATTGCTTACATTTTAGGTTTGATTCCATATCAAATAAGAAAACTTAGCTTTATAAACTTCAGAAGACGAGTTAGTAGTTAGTACCATTTGCCATAGGTCTTAAATTATACTAGTAAATTTTTAATACTCCCATTTTTAAGTTTACTTAAGCACTTGAATAATGAAAGGGTTTAGTATATCAAACAAACTTGTGATGTACCGACGAGAATTATGCAATCAATGCATTCATCATCATCATAAAGTTGAATTATCTTTGACGCGTTAGGGACTCCCCAAAAAGGTCTCACCTTTTTCATTTTAAAGGGGCACAAACTTTAAATGCGATTTATTTTTTCATATGGTATATGATCATGGGCAGATGAAAAAATCCCTCTTCGGAGTCGTTACTTAGTTAAAACGTACAGAGAGACTATCAAATTCGTTTGTATGTTTTACCACTGATAATTTTTTTACTTAATTTATAGCTTTTGTGGTATAACTAGATACATGTATTAATATATATCACTGACTCATTTTTTTTTTTGAGAAAATATCACTGACTCATTTTTAATCAGTTTATATGTTAATCAAATTCTACCTTGATTCTATCGGATATATATCCGTTTGAGCTTGTGGGTTTCGATTTCATGCGAGTTACCCTTTAGTGTGAAATTATAAATCAGATTTATCAACCACGGAAACGTGTATTTCATGGAATCTTTTTGTGTTCGGCTATTTTAGAAAATTTGGAACGTCCACAAGAACACTTAACCTGTACATATAAAGTTACGTAGTTAAAGAGCAAAACCATCACTGTTCGAAACCCCACTGTTCTTCCACCACTATGGTGGCAAAAAAAAATCTATATTTTTTCCGACAAAACGTATATGTTAAAAACAAAACTCATGAAAATAAAGAAATATGATTGACGATTTCACTTTTACTTCTAGCTTCAAGGAATGCTAAGTTGTTACAGTTAATACGAGGCACTGTGAACTGCTCTATGCCTCTATCATGCTAGAAAATTATATTTATACCCATGTTGTCTAATGATATACATGATCGTGTTTGCTACGGTTAAGACAGGATACCACGCAACAAATGTATTCGTACATTTGATTCTCTAATGATTCATAGCCAAATCAAAATCTGTGACGAGGGATTTCTTTTTCTAAAAAACTGAACTAAATTGTCATTAAGCTGCAAAACCCGTTCGTAAATCTCAACTAAACCCATTAAGTTCATTATTGGTAGGGTCGAATCACATTGATGGCTCTCTTTTCTTTCTTATAATAAATACAAATTCTTAGGTGTACTTTGAGTGATTCTAGTGTCACATGATACCACACTCATTTGTTTCAAAACATCCTTAGTTTACAATATTTTATCTATTCATATTTTTATGATCAAGTAATTTTTATGATATGTACTGTGTGGAATAATCCTTAAAACAACATATTTAAAAGTTCAAAACTTGGAATTTGGAAATATATGCATATTTGAATATTAGTATCATCTGAGTTCACGACTTTAATCCGACGACTATGTGGTAAACCTAGCTAGATTACCCTTGTTGGGTTCATAAATATATGTCGACCCATGACCAAATCACGAATCTACGTGGACGTGTATTAACCTTAAAGTGTATTTCGTTTTCCTCCTTATAACTGAAAGTATATTTGGCTAAGAGAATTTGATTCCGTTCAAAGAACGAATTGAAAACATGTTGTCTCGTCAAATCATTTTTGTCTTTTTTACATGTATTAATCTCTTTCTGGACGCGGTTTCGAGACTTTGACGTTAAGAAAATGTGAATACGTATAATCCATGTATAACTTTCCCTCTCACGTTGACGGTCCACAACATTTTGGCAGTCTTCCAATTTCCATTTATATCGCTATTTGCTTCTTTCCTTATTAACGATTTATATCAGTATATCACTAGATGCTAACCTACACATTTTTATATATTTGTCACTAAAGATCTAATTCAAGATTAATTTGAAAGCTACCAAAACTTGTTTATGATGGGAAAAGGATGCCTAACCAATAACAATAATGAGTTCCACAGGCATAGTGTTCAGAGTATTTGTGGAAGTTTAGGGCCTTTATAACACCACCATTGGACTATACAAAACCCACATGCTATATGGGCTTAAGAAAAATGACATAATTATGATAGAGTTCAAGAATCCGCCGTGCATCCAAACTTGCTTTTGATGTATTGATGAGAGGCTACACCATACGTGAGGAATAAAGAAAACTGAGGAAGTAAAGTGTTTCTCATCAGCTAGAAATATTTCCAGAAACGAAGTCTTAAAGTTTAGTATTCATGGATTTAGTCATATTCAGCACAACAAAATTTCGTGATATTTATATTCTTAGTTCGCGATATTATAATAGAATAATGAGAATATGAGATACATCTTGTTTTGTCTAAGAATCAACTGTCGTTAACACGTAGGCCAATATGTATACATCTGAAGATCCATGTACACAACCTTTTCGTTGTTCCATTACACGAATAACTCCACTTAATGCACTACAATAATTACGAAAAAGGTCACTGCATCACTCGATCGTTGAAGGCTTGTAGCAAACGTAACATACTTGATTTAGGAGGAACAGTCTAATCTTCATCTGATCATATTTAGTAAAAATTAAATTGGACCAAGTGGATATGTAACTCACCGGTTATAAGATGCAATAAATATCTGCATAACTACTAACTAGAAAATAAATTGAATATTGGACGGACACTAGACAGTTTCACGATCTATCTAACACATATACATAAATATGCCCATATGTCATCCTGACCCAGTCCACTGGTTTATTAGCTGTCCATTTTACCCTTTTGCAATCTCAACGTGATAAGTAGCATTTAATACTCTTTTTATTGACTTCTATATGTGTGTATGCAAAATCAGATATCAAATACTCCCATTTACTAGGTATTATGGATGATTAGGGTAAACGGTAATAACTCTTTAGATTGTTCAATTACGTTATAACAAATCTTAAAGAAAACTATTTTGAGACAACGAAATCTAGAAAATGAAGTAAGATCAGATTTTGTATAGTTTTTATTAATACTTGTCCACTATTTGATTTTTCCTTAACCCATCAATTTTCAAATTGATAATAGTCAGATTCATAGGTACTTAAATTTCTTTTAAATCCGTTGTGCCAATATGGGTGTTTTCCTGTAAAATGCAAAAAAGTCATTAAAAAAAGCTTTTAGGGAAACTAAACATATTTAAACGTGCATCATATCACGAGCACCGATTTGCGATTTGCTCTGTCTTCAAGAAGTAATAATCTTATAAAAATGAGAAAAAAACAAACTGTCATGAAATTAGTCTATTGAATTGCATTGGGAAGAACACTCAGTCCTCAAAACTTTGATCAGTTTTAATCTTGAAGACTTTGATCATCTGAGTTTTGAATATTACAGCCATTCTTTGTTCGATCACCGGAGGCAAAAGAGAGAGAGAGAGAGTTATGGAGACGCCAAAGTCCGTCGGCGAGGCGTCGACGACTAATTTCGTGGTGTCACGACCGTCGGCGACGACTGATGATGCGGTGGCGATGAAAGGCTGCGGTTTAGCTAACCTTGCTTGGGTCGGTGTAGACAGAGAGGAGCTTCGTCGGAGGCTAGCGATGCCTGAGTATCTCCGCCTCGCCATGAGAGATTGCATAAAGCGGAAAGACTCCACCTCGATTCCGGACCATTTGCTACTTCCTGGCGGCGCCGCCGCGGATATAGCTCCTGAGTCACCGATGGTTGTTTTCATTAACCCGAAAAGCGGAGGTCGTCATGGACCTGTTCTTAAAGAAAGGCTTCAACAGTTGATGAGCGAAGAACAAGTAAGTCTTATTCTTTCTTGATTTATTTTTTTTTTTTTTTTCAGAAACTTTTTGAGAACTAATTTATAACTTATGAACTCACTCAACTTGCACTTACACTGATTTTTTTTTTTTTTTTTTAATTGAAACTTAATGCATCGTTTTGAGTCATTTTCTCATTTGAAGAGATCTTAGATCAGATTTGGGTTTCTCTCATTTCTATCACTCAGGTGAGTAGAATATTTGTGGGTTTGGTTTCATATTTAGTGGACTGAAAACTAGGGAATCGGATCTGAGAGTTAAGACATAAACATATTGTTCTGAAATGATCAAATCTTCCGTTTTTCTCATTCTATTTTGGGATAAGTTTTGGATCGGCTGATGTCAAGTGTATTGGTACTGAAAGCTAAAAACTTTTACTGACAGTGAAAAGGCAAAAAACATTTTGGATTAGATTTTTTATCAAAATGGAAAAACATCTTTATTTCTTGGATTGTTGTTGCCGGTTTAAATGTACAACTTTATGTTTTCCGTTAAATAATTGGGAACTTTTGTGAAGTTTATTGCTCTTTTGTATTAAGAATTGTTACTTGGTTTGTGACATCAAAGGTGTTTTTATAATTATAGGTATTTGATCTCACAGAAGTGAAACCCCATGAATTTGTACGGTACGGTTTGGCATGTTTGGAAACACTTGCAGCGACAGGAGATGAATGTGCAAGAGAATGCAGAGAAAGGATGCGTATTATGGTGAGTAATATTTACATATTTGTAACGCATTCTTTATTTTTCCACTTTACTTTACCAATTAGGATTGGATTTGTTAAGTAGTGGAGATTGATGATGATAGGTAGCAGGTGGTGATGGTACTGTTGGTTGGGTTCTTGGATGTCTCGGAGAGCTTCACAAGGATGGAAAATCGAATATTCCTCCCGTTGGAGTCATCCCTCTCGGTACAGGAAATGACCTCTCAAGAAGTTTTAGTTGGGTGAGTCTAAATAATCGATCTTTCTCTTACATTCTCAGATAAAATGATTTTGAAATGTTGTTCTCTCTATCTTATCTTTCTAGGGTGGTTCCTTTCCTTTAGCTTGGAGATCAGCTATGAAAAAAACATTACACAAAGCAACTATGGGTTCGGTTGCTCGATTAGACAGCTGGAAGATTGTAGTGTCGATGCCATCTGGAGAAGTCGTTGATCCTCCTTATTCTTTGAAGCCTTGTGAAGAAACTGCACTTGATCAGAGTTTGGATGCTCAAGGGGATGTACCTCCTAAAGCAAAGTCCTATGAAGGAGTGTTCTACAACTACTTTAGCATAGGTTTGTATTAACTTACTTACTATATTCATATGGTCATGCATGTTCTTAATAATTTACTCTGTGTTGTCAAAGGTATGGATGCTAAAGTTGCGTATGGATTCCACCATCTTCGCAATGAGAAACCGTATTTAGCTCAAGGCCCCATTACAAACAAGGTCTCATTCTTGTTTGTCTATGTTGCACTAATTAGCTTTTTTTTTTTTCTTTTTTTTTCTTTCCGGTTTGTAATGAGTTTATGAATCACACATTCACACCGGTTTTTGGTTTTGCAGATTATATATTCAAGTTACAGTTGTACTCAGGGTTGGTTTTGTACGCCATGTGTCAGCAATCCTGGTTTAAGGTTAGTGTTTTCAGTAAAGAGAGAATTTTTGTTTTTCTTAACTCAACTCTTTATCTCTTGTTGTTGTGTTGACATGTTGTGGTAAGATGAATTTGCAGGGGACTAAGAAACATAATGAGAATCCACATTAAAAAGGCAAATTGTTCCGAGTGGGAAGAGATCCTGATCCCTAAAAGGTACCTAAATATATTCCCATTCATCTGTTAAAAAGAAAAGGCTTCTTTCACTTATATGTGACAATCTCTGTGTTTTTTTTTGGTGTTGTATAGCGTGAGATCGATAGTGGCATTGAATCTTGACAGCTACGGAAGTGGAAGACATCCATGGGGTAATCTCAAACCAAACTATCTAGAGAAGGTAACGTGTTATTCAGTACACATTAATCATTTTCTTTTCTTGGCTTTGTTTTCAAGATTTCAAAGAAATAGAATTCGGTTTCTTTTGTTGACAGAGAGGATTTGTGGAGGCGCATTGCGATGACGGACTGATAGAGATATTCGGGTTGAAGCAAGGTTGGCATGCGTCATTTGTAATGGCTCAACTCATCACAGCTAAGCACATTGCTCAGGTACGGTACACTAAACATAACACCCTTCCCTATGCTATGTCGGTTTGATCTTAACCGTTATCAATCATGTTTTCAGGCGGCTGCGGTGAGATTTGAACTTAGAGGAGGTGACTGGAAAGATGCGTTCTTGCAGATGGATGGTGAGCCGTGGAAACAAGCCATGAAAACTGATTATTCCACTTTTGTGGAGATCAAAAAGGTTCCTTTTCAATCGTTAATGATCAACGGTGAATGAGTCCGATGTAATTGAGTTAAAGAAAAGTATGATTCTTTTTTGTTGTATTTCGTATCGATTAATTACTCAAAATAGCCAGAGATCTCTGTTCAGCTTCTGCTGCTCTTGTTGTTGTGCTGATGAAGAAATATCTGTGTATTCATATAAGAGATTGTAATTTATGGTGAAGTTTCAGTATATATATATTTTATATTTATAATTAAGACCCAAGCAAATATTCAAGGTAGAATCAGTTTCTTGTCTTGAAATCTAGACCTTTTAAGAGAAATATAACATTTTGGAATTTGATGATGAACACGTAAGTAACATCTTCCTCTTCTCATCGGTTATACGAGTCTCATTCACAATCATATTCATATACATAGAAAAATTCAAATGCTAGAGGTCTATTATACGGATCAAAAAAGAGTTTGTATAATTAGTTAGTTTTATTAACCAAAAGAAATAAGCCCTCACATAAACAACACACATTAAGAAGACGTCGGATAACAAACATTGTGTAGTTTTTCCGATCTCACGTTAAACTTAAACCAATAAAAAAATTACATTGTGTATATACCGAAAAAGAAGTTAAAAACGCAAGAACTCCTCTTTTGGCATGAGCTTTTGAGATAATATACAAATGGGAAGATCAAAATCAATACGGCTTCCTACCAAGAAAATTCCCCGGTGGATCGTAATTGCAAGTCAAGAACACGCCGCCTCCATTGTTGCAGATCACGTGAGCGCAGCCAATCCTCTGCGTGTTCCTCCACACAATCTGCGTGTAATGGCCACACATCTCGGCCTTGCATGAGTTAGCGTAATAGTTATAGCTTCTTCCTTCCGACAACCATCCATTGGCGGCCTGAACAGGGCTCCATCTATTCCCTGAGCCCCAGAACAGATTCTCACCGTATGGTCCATTCGAATGGATCAAGTCGCAGTCACGGCGTCTCTGGTTTGCCCACCATTGAGCGTAGCGGGCCAGTTTGGCGTCCCACTTCAGCGGTTTGAGCCTTAAACGAGCTCTCACTGCATTTTGTGGAGCCATGAATTGTTGTTGGTAGGTTGCTGCATGACAACATGATACAAGTAGTATGAGAGCCGCGATTGCAACCGAAACAACATTCATGTGTTTAGGAGGAGCCATCGCGGGTGAAGCTTGAACTAATGGTGCTTGCTTGGTATTATATAAGCTTGGAATAGAATAATGAAGAGAATTTTCTTGTTTTTTATAGATATATTTAATTATTTTATATAGTAAAAAAGGGTTTTAGTGATGAAAGTGTCAACTCTATGATTAGTGGTGTACATGTTCGATTATGATAGCCACATTTGAATTTGTTTGGAATTCTTAGATTTTCTGAATGGATAATAGTAGTTTATAGAGTGCTTAACGTATATTTTATGCATAGTTGGTAGGTATATTAAATCTTATATAGACTGGCCACCCCCAAAAAGTCTTGCAGGCAAGAAGATTTAAAGTTAAGAAATTTTCGTTAATAATAGTTTAAATACGATAATCCTTTTTTCTTGGGAACTAAGTCAGCCAAACTATTTGGATATAGTTATGTTTAAATTTATTATTACCATTTGCAATTTTATATGTACCTCATAATATTAAATTCCTAAAAAGTACCTTGGTTTTAGTTTTACTACAAAATGTTTAGGAATACTGAAATCGGCTGTGAAATATATTCTTTGAGGTTTGAGGTTTTATGGCTGTGAAATCGAGAAGTAACTCACCGTAAAATTTATAGATTTTGGTAAAAGTTAAAAACTGATTAAGCTATTTTTTCTTACACAGGCTACTTGTTGAATAAATGATGGGAGAAAATTCAAGTAAAACAAGAGAAAATATCAGTAAAATAAATCACTAAATGAGCAAAATGTGTAACATTATATTTGATACAGAATGTCAAGAAGAGAGCAATCAAAGCCAAATTTTTCTATTTCATAAGTCGTAAAACAGAAAGATGGATGTTGCAAGAGTACTATACAGATTCTGTTGATCACAGGACAACTATGAAAGAGCTTCAGCGATGATGGAACGGTGAGACAATTGCTTCTCGTAGAGGTCACGGAAAATGCGGTATTTGGCGTCATGATACTTCTTAACCTTAGGGTCTGATGATGGATGAACCACCTGAAAAAATTCAATTAAAAAGCAATGCATATAAATAATGGTCATATATGAATTGGTTACTTGAAAGCAATGAAGCTATTAGATAAAGTAGTGTATTACTTGTCCAGCTGCGTTTAAAGCTTTCATGGCATCATGGAGACTAGGATAGTTCTTGGCAGCAACCGCTCCAAGAATGGCTGCTCCCAAAAGAACAGACTCGCTTTCTCGGGGAAGAATTATCGGACAACCAACGATATCAGCATGTTCTTGGATGAACAAAGGGTTCTTTGAAAGGCCGCCACAAGCAAGCAGTGTGTCAATCTAACATACAAATGCAAAGACAGATAAATATATGATTCTCTTGTTCTGTTTCTACAGAAAGAAGGGCTTGTTGAAGAAAACTTACTTTGTGACCATGAGCATTGCAATGCTCCACAATGTGACGTGTACCATATGCGATTCCCTGTACTGTGGCGAGGTATAAAAGAGCCAACTGCTTCTCGGATGTATCAAGGGTCATTCCGAATACAACTCCTTTTGAATTTGGGTCTGCAACGGGAGATCTGCAACACAGCTCTGAATCAATATAACTCAAAATGGGAAAGAAGCAAAGCAAAAGCAGAGAAGAGATTTTCGTTTTTGTTTACCTGTTTCCGTGAAAGTCAGGAAGGATATGCATGTCTGAGGTAAGGGCAGCTACAAATGGAGAGCTCGTATCATCTTGCGCCATCGATTTCAAAATGTTGTTCAGCAGTTCAAACACAGAGACTTCTGCGAGAGATCAAGTCAACAACAGGCATTCAACCAAAATGGTATCTCAACACAAGTGGAAAAAAAAAGAAGTGGAAGATTTGATAATACTCTGAGATGCAGCATGGTTTGAAAGACGGGGAGAAGCAACATGGTTATCGATTATGTGGTCAAGTAAAGCTCCAGTGGCACTTTGTCCTCCTTCTGTAAGCCAATACTCCGGAACCATAGCTACATTGTAGTTTGTTTTTCGAGTGAGATTTAAGATATCAGTCAAAGAGAAAAGGATAGAGACCAAACGTAAACGCAAACGCATACGTACCTGACCAGAAAGGGCCCCACACGCCAGGAATGAAGAGCTTTTCCCTGGAGACAGCCATATGGCAAGTTGATGTGCCACATACCAAAACGATTCGAGTGCTTAAGGTTTCCACATCTGACTCTGAACAATGCCAATTCTTTCTTAGAGACTAATAATATATCACTTTACGCTATACTATAATATGATCAAAGAATACCTTACCTTTCGTCAGGGAGTCTGATTCTAATTTACTTTCCATGACCCCAACACCACCAGCATGAGCATCAATTAGTGAGGTCCCAACAGGAGTCCCAGCCAACAATCCCAATTCCTGATAAAAAAAACGAAATTTGTAACGGAGTGAGACTATGGACCTAAGAAGTAAGCATGCTTTGGTATCTAAACACACCTGTTTTCTTAATTATAAGTGTTTGCTCAGTAAATAACTTGCCTTAGCAGCTGCTGCGGTTAGACCATTACCGAGTGGATGTCCCGGAAAAGCTACACTTCGTCCTAATTAACAAGGTAAAAGCTAATGTTTCACAGTTCCTCCTAGAGCATTTTCTAACAACAAAAGCAAAGAACAAAATACATACCGATCTTAGCATGGTGACCATCAACAAGATCGCCTAAGCCAATCTCTTCCCAGAACTCATCATCCCAGCCACATGCTTCCATATCACGAGATGCTTTCTCACTCATCTGGTTCATATGTGCATGACCAAGATACGTCCATTTACACACCGTGGTGCACAAACTACGTGTATCGTCTCCAGTAGCTCTATGAGGAAACAAGAGGAATCAGAGAATGCAAAGATAAAAAATAATCTCAAAACAGGGCCAAAAGAGGTTAAAGAGAGCACCTGAAGGAAAGCCAATCACTCAAGTCCATCCACTTATACACCATTGACCAAGACTCCTGTAGATTCTCTTTCACCCATAGAAGCTGCCAAAAAGCAGAGTTTAAAGCTATGCTCAAGCAAGCAGAAAAAGCAATCACATATACATTACGAAAAAACTTGCTACATACTTTTGGTGGCTCCATTTCTGGAGAGACACCGCCACCGCAGTACTGCAAGACCGGAGAGTTAAAAGAGTTGATTCTCTCTGCCTGCTTCACAGCTCTATGGTCCATCCATACAATAATGTTTCTTCTTGGGTCACCACTCCAAGACACTGTCACAGGGGACCCCTCAGCATCCACCGCCACTGCAAACCAGAAAACCCCAAAACGTTACATATTGTCACTGTTAAGCTTCTCTCCTTCTTCAGCTCAAACAAACACAAATGGAGCTCTAAGTAGAAGCTCAAGCAACACACCGAGGGAGCACGTGGCAGCAAAGCCTATCCCATTCACTTCAACATCTGAAACATTAGCGAGAGAGCAAGCAGACCTCACAGCTGCACAAACTGCGTGCCAGATGTCCGTTGAAGATTGCTGTTTCCAATGGAAATTCGATCAATCTCTAAAACTAATAATAAGTAATGACTTGGAAATTGAGGTCTCCTCTTACCTCGACACAGTCCCCATCCTTCCACATTTGAATTGGACTACTAGCAGAACCTAAAAGCTTCCCATTTCCATCGAACAAACCTGCATCGAGAAATCAACTTAAGCTACAATCACAGAAGAAAGACTGTAAATTTATAAACATTTAACAGATTATACGTCGGAGAGATCAATGATCACGGGTCACCCGAGCGATTTGTTTCGATTTTAATAAAAATCAACGATCGAATTGAAAATCGCACACGAAAGAATCGAAATTTATAGGAATCACCAGGCATATTTTCAAAGTTGGAGATAAAGGAAAGAAGGATCACCGGCTCGGGCGCTTCCAGTGCCGACGTCTACACCGAGAAAGACGGAGCGAGACGGTAATGGACTTAGCTCAGCGGTGGTCATCTCAACGGCGACGGCGGATGCGAGGGTGAGCAACGGAGACGACTTGGCTCACTTTATCTCTTTTTGTTTCATTAATTAATTGTTTTCATTTTATTTTATTTTGGTGATATTTTTTTTATCAATTTTGTTTGCCAGGTCACTAATGAAACTGCCACGTAAACTAGTATGAGGAGGATTCGTTGTGATTGTATCAAGTATACGAAATGTTCCTTTTTTCTTTGGTTGTATACAGTATGTAGGAAACTTTTTTTAATATAAGATTTTATTAGATAGTCAATGGATAATACAAAGAGTTTACCAACCAAAAAAGAGGACATTGATACACCATACATATATATCACTAGCACTTTAGAACTTGAAATGTCTGATTGCTCGTATTTTTGTTTGTGCTTTAGGTTTACGTGTGGCGTCAGAAAAAGCATGGATTTAACATAACAACCCTTTGGCAATGAACAACAACAAAGTGCGGTGTATGATCCAAAATAATATTAAACCGAGAGCCTGACCTGCCTGAATAGAGTCCCATATCCTCTCAACCACTTACCATTTTTGTTATGTTTGTAAGAATTTCTGTTATTGTTATAATCATATCGTCGTGCTATTTTAATATGTATCATAGAACTATTATTATTATTTTAGATCTTCATTTCTTTATGTTTAATGTGATGTGTTTTCTCTAATGGAGCCACAGTAAATATACAGAAATGAAGATCCCGAAAATTAATAATAGTTATATGATACATATTAAAATGGCATTACGACGATAAGGTTACAAGAATAACATAAATTCTTAGAAACATAACAAAAATCTAAATAAGATAGAGTTTTTGGATATCACAATTTATTGAAATACATATATAATTATACAGAGTCGTTCAGATAACCTGAAAAATGCAAACAAATCTAAATTAAGACAGATGAAAAGAGAATTAAGCAGACTAAAAATAGTGGGCGGATCTCAATTAACCTACTTGATATTTGCTCTTTGGGTGCACTTTTCAGAATGTATATATATATATAAATATATTAAATTTTATATTTTAGCAAAAACTAATGATAATAAATAAATAAATACCTGAAACTCAATCACTTCTCTTTTATATCTTTTATTCTCTCTTGAAAATGGCATCAACATCAACTGGTACCAAAGCCACGGAATTAGCAAAATCAATTGATGCACTTGCTCCGTAAGGTGAAAGCCTGAAAAAAGAGCTCGAGAAACTTATAAAAAATCCTAAAAAAGCATACGGTATCATGACAGACGTTTTCTTCTCGTGGCTCTCACACTCACGAATTCCTGTTGATGGACCTGACATGCAGGGCCTAGGTAAGTGACTAACATCCAATTTTGTCTAATGTTTAATAAGATTTATTTCCTTTTATTAATTTTGACATTTTGATGTTTATATAACTTTGCAGAGGATTGTTGGGCTTTCGCCTTTTCCACGTGCCATAAATATCATAATAAGATTCATAACTTAAGGAAAGTTCCGTTAACCCCCCGACCCAAATGGTGAAACTAGGTCTTAACCGAAGATATCTAACTAGAAGCGGTGGATTGATCAAACTTGAAAATGCTAAGGAATTTATAGAGGGAGAAGGACATATCCGTAAGTGGGAGAAGTAGTGTTAGCATAATCAAGGTATCTTCAAGTTTGATCAAGTGTACCTGTTTTTGTTTAAATGGACCAATAAAGATCTTTAACTATGTTGGCCACAAAAAACGGTTGTCCCTCAAAACTCTTTTTTTTTGCAAGATCTTTTTTCAACTGTTGGACCACTCGAGTAATTTCTTTGATACGTTGTCCTTTGTAACATTTGATCTTGTCATAAAAGTGACATATTTAAACATGTTAACTTTAGATGATATGATACATGTTTTTTGTTTGGATGGACCAACGATGATCTTTAACTGCGTTGGCCATGAAAATATTTTGTTTTGATTAATTTTGCAAGATCTTTTTTCAACTGTTGGACCATTCGAGTAATTTCTTTGATACGTTGTCCTTTGTAACATTTGATCTTGTCATTGTTGAGAAGAGAAGAGAAGAAAATGAGAGTGACATATTTATAGAATTGTAGTGTGGACGAACAAAAATCTGAAGCATAGTTAATTTCTGATGACTTCCATCATTTTTTTTTAGGTTGTTTTCATGTCAAAAGAAATCATATAGTTTTACAAACTTCACGAGACAAGTTTGTAACAGTCGCCATAGTTGATAAATTATAAAAAGGTAATTTAACACATTCTTCTTGTACATTTAGTTAAATCCGTTGCTACTTTTGAAGTTTACGTAAGTATTTGAAACAAATTAAAACGCAGTATATGCCCACCAACTCGAGTTAACAAAGTTCACCGATACTTCTTTTTAAAATTTATTTTTAAAATATTATTATACATACACAAGAAGATGTATAAAAGGCCTCTGCTTCTCATACTTTATAATGTGTTTTATGCATATATAACATCATCATAAGAAGACAAAACTTTTTCAGATTTTGTGAATGCAAGCAGGACAACTAATGTTATATCTATATATATAGGATATATACTTAGATGATAGTTTTTACTTTAACGTAAATCAAATTAATCAACTTCGTTTTTTTCTCTCCAAATTAAATAAGAAGACTATTAGATAAATAATTAAATACATACCATGATCATATCGAAGAACTTGAACGTCGTCTCCCTCAGCGCCGTCGAAGTAGACGAATCGGAGGAAACGACGCGGCTAGCCGGCGTCTCCAGGCTGTCACGATCAACTTCCCGGAGCATGACACTGATATCATCTACATTCGGCGGATGAGGACCGAGTTGAATCAATAACGCCTCCGGATCATGTCTCGAGACTGCTCCGTCGTTGTCTCTGTAAACTAGCTTGAATGCTTTGAGAAGCTCGATGTGCGAGTACGGAGATGCACCGTCGGGTATATTTTTGGTTTCGCCGGAGACAGTAGAAGAGGAAGAAGTGGAAGCGGATCCGAACGACGAAGATGGCTCGGATCGTTTCTTGGAGGGGAAGAAACGTTTGGGATTGAGGTTGATAAACTTCATAGAGATCTGAAGAGAAGAAAAGAGAAGTTGTTTGAAGAGGAGAAGAGAGATTTGAGAGAGTTTAAATAGGAAGACAAGTGTGAGGTGTGAGAGTGAGTAGCCAATTGCACTTTCCTCGAAGTTTCCTTATGCGACTTTCACATACTGAACTTTATCGTGTTACACAGTAACACAGATATTATTTTATAATGTGTATTTCTTTTTTTGTTCTGTGTGATAAAGATGTTTGTTTAATCATCAAAATGAAGTTATTTGAACCAATTGTGTTTTCAGAATAAAACAGTCACCGTAGCATAGTTAGATTGCGTTACACGCTAAATTGCAAAGCTGCATGTTGTGATTAACAAAGTTCGTTTGACTGAGGTTTTTAATTAATTTAATGGTTTGCAGTGTCTCTTTTGCCTACTGTATCTTGATTCGAACTTAATAGTCAATTATTTGAAAAAAATAAACATCTGCATTCGTCCAAGCGTAGTTGATCCAGTCCGATAAAAAAACTTCACCAAGAAAACTAAACATTTACAATAGAAAAAGACGAGGGATTAATAACACTCGAATATAGATGGACCCCAAAATCATAAAAGTAAAGCCAAAGGGATCACGGGACGTCTCTTTATGAGAAATTGGTTCGTATAAAGTAGAGCATATAGTTATGGACCAGTGGGTCTTGTAACAGAATCTATATTTGCGCTTGTTACACAATCTATTAACATTTTAGATTCAGGTTTAGTCAGCATAAATAGCTCTTGAACTTAGATGGGAAAATTGCAACAACAACAGAAAAAAAATTGCAACATAACATCAAAACTAAAAACCAACTTGTGAAATAGAGCGATAACATCGGTAAGCTCTAAAAGTTAATTTCCATTCAGTACATGGCTTATGTTAGTCTGTGTTCTTAATTAAAAAAAAAAAAGTAGTATAACCAAACTTATAAAAGCAAGATAACCCTTGTACCAATTTGATATAAACGAATATAATCATACCGAATCCGCGAATCACAGTAACCTAATGCTGGACGACAGCTAGCTTTATATTTAATACCGGAGAAATAAATTGTTTACATGGCAGAAGCCAAACTGGAAGCACAAAGATTTACAATAATGAAACGAATAGTTAGAAAGGAACCGTAATTGAACCATTGGTTGAAAGTGAACCATGAAGTTGTCTGAGAATTTATCAAAAACTGAACTGTGCCATCAATTGTATCGCCTTTGCCAGTTGTCTTTATTTAAATTGTCACCTCTCATTGTACTATGTGTAAGATTCAATAGTAAGAAATCAGAACAATAATGCAATACAGACACAGTGAACACTGTACACAAGAGTCACAGACAAAGAAAATTAGATAGATATATAATATATTCAAGTTCCATTCAACGACATACATATGTTATTAATTCTGTTGAGATGAGCAAAATTAGCTGTTGACTAATCAAAAGAAAAAACCCTGCTTCTATAAACTTTAAAGACTAGTTAGTATAACAGTGGCTTTTTGAAGTTTACCTAAGTATTTGAATTTGAACAAAAAAGGGTTTCGTAAAGTAATTTAATTAATTATTTTAACAGTAATGTTGTAATCTTGTAGATCAGAAAAACATGTGAGTTGTGATGTACCGTCTAGAATTATGCAATAAATGCATTCATCATCTTAGAGTTGAATTCACTTTGACACACACGTGAAATCCAAAATTACTTTAAAGTCGGACATGTACTTTTGTTGTTTTTTAATAATGTAAACCATCACACAAGACGACAATTTTTTTTCAATGTATCTAATCTACCTAATATAATTCTTTTCAAGGTAAAAACTAAATTGTGAGAAATAATGTTAAGAGTGATTGTGGAAGTTTGGGGCCTTTATAACGCTCGCTGTTAGACTATACGAAACCCATATGCTATTATGGACTTTAGAAAAATGACATAACTATGATTTGGGTTCAAAAATCCGCTGTATTGTATTGATGAAGCTTGTCCCATACCTAAGTGAGTATTAATCGATAAAGAGAACCACTCACTACAAAGAGGAACTGAGAAAGGAATGTGCTTTAACAATATTCGAGTAGAAAGGAAATGCTTTAACAATATTTATATGAGAAAGGAATGTGCTTTAACAATATTCGGGTAGAAAAAATGCTTTAACAATATTCGAGTAGAAAAAGGAAATGCTTTAACAATATTCGAGTAGAAAGGATCAAAAGAATGTGCTTTAACAATATTTAATGTGCTTTAACAATATTTAATGTGCTTTAACCAATCACTACATCAACTTCTGTTAAAAATATTGACAGAAAGGAAATTTAACAATTCTAGTGTAATTTAATGTTCACGGATTTGGTCGTATTTATAACTAAATATTCAATCTCTTAAAGGATTAGGGTTTTCAACCGTAAAAACACATCTCATAACACAGCCCTAAGGTTTCACAATTCCTCTTAGAGCATCTCTAACAACAACAACAACAACAAAATGCATACCGATCTTAGGCTCTTAGCATGGTGGCCATCAACAAGATCGCCTAAGCCAATCTCTTCCCAGAACTCATCATCCCAGCCACATGCTTCCATATCACGAGAAGCTTTCTCAGTCATCTGGTTCATATGTGCATGACTAAGATACGTCCATTTACATACTGTGGTGCATTAACTACGGTATCATCTCCAGTAGCTCTATGAGGAAAAGCAAGAGGAATCAACCATTATGAGAATGGACGTATGTGGTCTCTCTTACCTCGACACAGTTCCCATCCTTCCAAATTTGAATTGGGCTTACTAGCAGAACCTAAAAGCTTTCCATTTCCATAGAACAAACCTACATGGATAAATCAACTTAAGCTACGTCGGAAAAATCATGATCACCGGCCACCGGAGCGATTTAAGTGACTTGTTCCGGTGTAATAGAGGTCGATTTTTTAATAAATCAACGATCGAAATGAAAATCGCACGAAATAATCAATATTTATAGGAATCATTCTAAGAACCACACATATTTTCAAAGTAGGCGTCTAGGCGATAAAGGAAAGAAGGATCACCGGCTCGGGCGCTTCCATTGCCAACGTCCACACCGAGAAAGACGGAGCGAGATGGTAATGGACTTAGCTCAGCGGTGGTCATCTCAACGACGACGGCGAATGCGAGGGTGAGCAACGGAGACGACTTGGCTCACTTTTATCTCTTTTTGTTTCATTAATTAATTGTTTTCATTCTCTTTTATTTTGGTGGTATTTTTTTTATCAATTTTGTTTGCCAGGTCACTAACGAAACTGCCACGTAAATTAGTATGAGGATTCGTTGTGATTGTATCAAGCATACGAAATGTTCCTTTTTTCTCTGGTTGTATACAGTTTGTAGGAAACTTTTTTTTTTTTGCCCAATTGTAAATATCATTAAAATGAAAAGTGATTTACATCGAAGAGGAAATCCAAGTTCTCTGTTACCCAGGCAAAAATAAATAAAAACAGGGTAACAGAACATGAGAAAACAGAGCAATATAACAACGCTCCAAACTAAAAGCTTTTCTGCTCTTTACTGAAGCCAGGAGATCATGAGATTGCCGAAGCTGTTACGCGATCTTCTAGCAGTAATGGAATTTTTAATCAATCTGTCAAGAACTCTGAAAATCTGACCCGGAGTAGAAGATACCCCCGTGAAAATTCGATTGTTACGCTCAATCCAGAGTGTATAAACCGTCGCTTGCGCCACCAATTTTCTCAGTGTACAAGGGGCACGATCAGTGTTTTCCTTCATCCAAGCAATTAAATCAGACCACGAGTGGAAAGAAAAGCTCAAATAACCAAGTCTACTATGAACCACAGACCAAAGCTCTTTACTGAAATCACACCGCAACAGGAGATGATCTCTAGTTTCGTTTTCAGTTGAGCAAAAACAGCAAGTCGTAGGTACATTCAGTCCCCAAGACGCCAGCCTCATTCTTGTTGGTAATCTATTCAACTGCGCAACCCACATGAAGAAAGAAAGCTTCGGAGTAGACCCTTTGAACCAGATGGACTTGTACCAATCCTTTTCATTTTCACGGGGTTTAATGAAATCCCAAGTAATCTTCGAAGAGTAACCTCTACAATTAACCCCATTCACAACCCAGTCATATGTATCAGGGACCAAGCTTGTATTTGGAACTGAAATCGTTGTCAAAAACGCATGAAGATCAAGAGCCACATCTGATCTAGGAGATGGTAGAGTCCAACCTTGAGTGTCACAAGCCTCAGCCACCAATGCATTTAACGGTAATCTTAAGTTTCTTGGTCCATCATGACCCAAAGCTTTGATCAATGGTCCTATAGGAGACCACGTATCAAACCAAAAACTCGCCGTTCGACCATTTCCCACTCTGCACTTTATGAAGTTTTCAGCTAATGGTCTAAGCCTAAGAAGCGATTTCCAAGTCCAAGAATCTCTCTGGTTTTCTTCTAAAGCCCAAAAACTTTTCCTTTGCAAATAGTGGAACTTGTGCCAAGCCACCCAAAGGGAGTCACTGGTGGAGAACATGAGCCATATAAATCGGAGGCAAAGCGCTGTATTCCACACAGAGAAACATCTCAGGCCAAGACCACCTTCCTTCTTAGGTAAGCACACCGATGACCAAGAGACTTTCGTGAGACAGGGACCTTCAATGGCTCCTGACCATAGGAACCTGTTGCACATTGATTCAATCTTTTTGATACAACCTTTTGGCAGCATAAAAGTTGTAATCCAAAAGTTTACGGTTCCAGAGACTACAGAAGAAATCAGTTGCAGCCTCCCTGCAAAAGATAAGGAGCGCACAGCCCAAGACTTGAACCTTCCGGGTAGCTTATCTAGGAGAGGAGAATATTCACTTATTTTGAGTTTTCGATGCATAAGGGGCAATCCCAGATACCTTATAGGGAAAGAGCCAATTGGGAAGCCATAGCTGGTTATAGCAGCGGCCTCCATGTGGTCCAGACCCGCATGGTAAAGATGCGTTTTCTCTTGATTCATACAAAGACCTGACCAGCTGGAAAAGTCATCAAGAGTTTCTGAAATGCCGTGTAGAGATGAGCTGCTACCATCAAAGAAAATCATTACATCGTCGGCAAACATGAGGTGCGAGATTTTTAATTCTGAAGTCCTCGGGTGATGAACAATATAGTCTGAATCAAAGCGCGATTTGAGCAACCGAGAGAAAACCTCCATGGTTAGCACAAATAGATACGGTGAGAGAGAATCTCCTTGCCTCAACCCCTTTGTACTTTTAAAAAACCCACTAGACTGACCATTAACCACCACAGAGAAGGTTGGCGTTGAAATACATTCTAGGATCCAGTCTATGAATTTCTGAGGTAAGTGTAAACCCTTCAGAGTAGCCTCCACAAAGTCCCAGCGCACAGTGTCAAAAGCTTTTCTCAAGTCAACTTTGAGCATTGCCCTTGGGTCTATGTTTCTCCGATTATAGCCGTGAACAATTTCCGTGGCAAGCAACACATTTTCAGCAAGAAGTCTTCCCGGCATAAACGCAGACTGAGAATGAGAGATAACTGAAGAGAGAACCTGTTGCAATCTCGACGCCAACAGCTTGGATATTACCTTATACACCGTGTTAAGACAGGAGATTGGTCGAAAGTCCTTGGTGGAAACAGCGTTGGTCACTTTTGGAATTAATACCAGCGATGTTGCATTCCACTGCTTAAGGATCTTGCCTGATCTAAAGAACTCTTTTACTGCTGCGATCACTTCTGGCCCGATAAAGTTCCAACAGCTTATAAAGAATTCTGCAGTAAACCCATCAGGTCCGCAAGTCTTGTTTCTAGGGAGAGAGAAGAAAGCATCTTTAATTTTCTGGCTCGAAAATTCACTTATCAACATTGCATTTTGCTCGAGTGAACAGTCTGAAGCTAACAGAGCTGATATATCCTCTTGGAGAAACAAGGACTGGCTCACTACACCGCCGAGCAACTCAGCGAAGTAATCTACACAATGACCTTGAATTTCAGGCTGGGAATCAAATCTGGTGCCCGCTGAATCCTGGAGGTAGTGGATATGATTGATCGAGGTTCTTGTAGCTACCATTCTGTGAAAGTAAGCCGAGTTGGAGTCACCTTCTCTGAGCCATGAAACACGAGATTTCTGTTGGAGAAACGCTTCCTCAGCTTTGACCAATATATGCCATTTTCTCGTTGCCTCAATTTCTCTCTCTGCAAGAGAACTGGACGGATTAGATAATAATAAGCTCTGAGCATGGATTACCTCTTCATGTGCTTCCGCAGTTCTTTTTTCTAGGTCGGAGAAGTTGGATTTAGTGAAAGTTCTTATTGGGTTTTTCAGAGCTTTCAACTTCTTAGACAGCCTAAACATATCCGATCCCACAACATTAAGAGAGAACCACTGATTGGCAATCATCGGGACAAAGTCGTTGTTTTGCAGAAGGAAGTTAAAAAACTTAAAAGGCTTCTTTGCTCTCTGAATAACATGTTGCAGGGACACCTCACAAGACGCATGATCGGAGAAGGAAGGTTCACCAAAATTAGCAAAAGCTGATGGGAAATCCAAATCCCACTGATCATTTACAAGAACTCTGTCGAGCTTTTTGGCCACTGCACCAGTGCTTCTCCTATTCCACCAAGTGAAAGAGCATCCCCTGAAAGTAAGGTCAGACAAAGCAGCATCTAAGAGGCAATCATTTAGCTCCCTGCTTGCTCTGTTGACATTAAGAGAAGGAGCTGGATAGTGTTCACTAGGCCTAAGAACCTGGTTAAAATCTCCTAGCAATATCCAGCTTTTTCCCCTAACTCTTTGGTCCGAAGACAACGCAATGATGTCCGCCCATAAAGCTCTCCTAACCACAGCTTCATTTGAGGCATACACAAAAGAAACCACACATGGGTTTTGATACTCTGGTAACCTTACCTCGCAGGTCACCATCTGAAGGCTTTTAAAAATCGTGGTTACCTTGACACTTGGATGCCAAAGAATCCAAATCTTTCCAAGATCCGAAAAGTCATAATTATTATCAAACTGCCAACCAGGGAGAATAGCGTTTACAAACTTCCCCTGTTTATGCCGCTGAACATGAGTCTCAATAAGACTCCCAAATACTGGTTTATTAACCTTAAACCACTTCTTGAAACCGGTACGATGACTCACTATATTAAATCCACGCACGTTCCAACAAAAAAGGTCACTACACATAATTTACTAGGATTTGGGGCCCTTGCCCCGATCTCTCCGTTGGTTTCTCCTTGATTTTACTTCAATATACTGATCATCATCCTCTGAGTTAATTTCACCTTCTTCTGATTCGCTGGATCCAACATCAGATGAGTCAGACTCTGCCTCTGAATCCTGTTCACTTTTTTTTTTCTCTTCTGACATTGAATTATCCCCAACCTTGGCTTTTTCTCTAGAGCGGCTTGAAACTCCCTTCTGCGTATGGTTGAGTTTCACAGAAGCGTTTATAGCTGACTCTTTGGGTTTCTCCTTTCTGGTTTCCTTCCAAACTAAACTTTTTGGATTTTCTTTACTACTTTGATCTTGAGCACTCTTCTTGTTCTGTTGATCTTTAGGATTAAACACCCTTCTTGTGCAAAGATCAGTAGAATGGGCAGTTGAATTACAAGTCAAGCAGGTGACAGGAGCTGATTTGCATTTCTTTAATGAATGACCCACCTGCTTACAATGAGAGCAGATTGGAGGCATCCAAGGACTCGAGACTTCAATTCTGCGGATTTCCCCGGAGTCAAATTGAACATTCACCACCTCTGGTAGCGGTTTTCTTGGATCTATAATTGTAAAAACCTTTGCCACCTCCAGGTTTGTTTTATTTGCCGTTGATGGGTGGAGGAGCTTGGGGTCGCCTACTAGACTCGCTATATGCTCGAGCCCCTCATCATTGAAGTATTGGAGAGGTACTTTCCTTAGTTCCAACCAGATCGGCGCTTCTTTAAGTTCAGGCTTCACTGGCTCCAATCCTGGTTCCCACTTAGCCACAAACATGGTTTGACCATCAATCTGCCATAGACGTTGAGTTAGGACCTTGTGTCTTGTTGCAGAATTTGGTATCTTAAACAGAAAAGCGAAGCCTTCCATTTTCGTAACTGAAATGTCTCTGAAATGACGACTCCAAATGCCATTCACAATGGAGTGAACAATGCCTTGAGAAGGAGGATCCGAATAGAATTGTCCAAGAATGAAGCTATCCCAAGATTTTCTGTTGTTTTCAATTACAGAGTTTGGAATTTTCACACAAACCTCACCATTTGGAAGAGTAAATCTCGTTCCCTTCTTCTTCAATTGTTTGGAACCTCCTTTAAAAAGGTCGCACCATGAGTCACCTGAATTCTTTCCTTCAGGGTTTGATTTGACTGGGTCCGTCGCAGCAGCGACATTCGCAGAATCCGAAACCGGTGTGGGTTCAGTAGTCTTGATAGTTATAGCTTCTTCTTTTTCTGGGTCAGCTGTAGTAACAGCCTTCGCAGATTTGTCAGACGCGGAAGAATTACCCACCACAATTTCAGAAACAGGTTTCGCCTGATGACCTAAAAGTGAATCCTGAGTAACAGGAGCTTTGGGTGAAACAGGGGAAGGGGAGGTTGCCGAATCCGTTTCCGGAGAATGGGTACAATCAATCGGAAGCAACGGCAGTCTCGTAGAGATTCCTACGGAGGACGCGCCATCCGAAGCGGAGGACGGAGAACTCGAGGGGTTCTTCTTAGAAGACGATGAATTATGCTTCTTCTTCTTCCTCATTGAGAGGGGAGGACCTGGATGCGAAGGAAATTGGATCCGACGTCGTGAGAGACGCCGGGCAATCGATGAGAACGAGGTCAGGGTGAGTCGCTTTTTCCGCCGCAAGAGAGAGAAAGACCAAAAAACTCAGGAAACTTTTTTTAATATAAGATTTTATTAGATAGTCAATGGATAATACAAAGAGTTTACCAACCAAAAAAATAGGACATTGATACACACCATACATATATCACTAGAACTTTAGAACTTGAAATGTCTGATTGCTCGTATTTTGTTTGTGCTTTAGGTTTACGTGTGGCGTCGAAAAAGCATGGGTTTAATAATATCTATACGGAAGACGACAGTCGGAGTTGCTTGTGGCTGAGACTGAAACTCTATGAGGAAGACGATCATGAAACAAACTGAAACTCTAATATCAGCAGGTGGGTTATTTTTTTGTAAAAACAATCTGAAAGATAAATATCTAAAGATGGTGAATAAAATATGGATATACAACAATAAAAATTGAACTCTCTCTCTCCACAATTTGTAGTTCTGTTATTGACATTGTTATCTATATCGCCGTACTCACCATCTTTAAATATGTATCTTTTAATTGTTTTTATTTATGTTTTTTGGTTTTCTTCATTGCTTGTTATATATCTCTAGCTGTTCTTAGGGTATCAATAAGTGAGATCCCAACAGGAGTTCCAATGCCTGTTTCGAAAAAAATGAACAGGAGTTTCAGCCAAAAGTCCCAATTCCTGATACAAAAAGGGAAATTTGTATCGGAGTGAAAATATTGACCTAAGAAGTAAGCAAGCTCTAAGAGACTAAGACCCACATGATAAAGTGCTTGCTCTTGTGTTGCTTAATTATAAGTGTTTGCTCAATGAAGAACTTGCCTTAGCAGCTGTTGCGGTTAGACCAATATTACCCAGTGGATGTCCCGGAAAAGCTACACTTCGTTTTGATTAACAAGGTAAAGCTAGGGTTTCAGGAATTCCTCTTAGAGCATTTGTAACAACAAAAGAAAAAGAAAAAATATATATGCATACCGATCTTACTTCTTAGCATGGTGGCCATCAACAAGATCGCCTAAGCCAATCTCTTCCCAGAACTCATCCTCCCAATCCTCCCATCCAGATGCTTCAACTCAGTTAACTTTATCCTAAAGTTGAAAAAAGAACTTGCAAATTTGAATGTTCCAAAAGAGTTTCGGCTTGAAATGGACCGATGCTTTCTTGAAACAATCACATTTGCTAGCTCTTTTTCAAACCTTAGGACAATTGAGTACGTAATTTCTTCCTTAGTAACACTATTCTGTCACAACATTCAAAAGCATAATCTGAAAAATATTTGCTTAAGAGAAAATTTCAGATTTTAAGAAGGAAAAATCGAAGAAGACAGGGAATTATTGGTTTAGTGGGGAATGGGAATTATTGGTAAAATGAATTTGTGAATTGTGTGAAACTGAGAAGTTCCAATATTTATAAGAAGAAGAAGAATGGAACTGGTATATAAATAAAAATCATAAAAGTAAAGCGAAATAATGGGATCACGGGACGTCTCTTATGAGCAAGTCTGCAAGTGGGTACGTAGAGAGTAGCCATACAGTTATCAGTTATGGACCAGTGGGTCTTGTTACAGAACTATTAACATTTTAGATTCAGGTTTAGTCAATATATCTTTGGATCTTGAACATAGATGGGAAAGTTGCAACAACAGAAAAAAAAAACGCGGATATACAAAAACTAACCTGTGAAATAGAGCGATAACATCGCCTAAGCTCTACAAGTTAATTTCCTTTTGAGTTCGTTCGTGATTAAGATTACTAATTGATAGGAAAAAACATACTACAATAAGTTTATAAACTTGTGGCATGTGTTTAATATATCTGTTCTGCTAAAGCGATGAAGATTTTTAAAAGGAAATAGAAAGGACCAATAAAGGAAGGTTTGTATAATTACACTGAGAATGCGTAATAATGCCAACAAGAAAAAATAAGGAAAAAAAAATCGTAATAATCAGCAGGAGAGAATTACATTGTTTATTATTTTTATTTTTTTCTGAATTGAATGTAAAATTTATTCTAACTCAAAAACGTAGTTTGTTACATCACGTGCATCATAAGATAGAAAGGTTTGAAATGTGATTAGAAGAGTTAACATAAATTCCTTAGCATGTCCTGCTCTCTCCATAGATTCCTTAGCATCTTCAATGTTGATCAACCCACCGTTTCTAGCTAGGCATCTTCGGTTAACATCTACCCTCATCATTTCGGGGGTTAACTGAACTTTGCCTAACTTGTGAATAGTATTGTTGTATCTATGGCAAGTTGAAAAGGCGTAAGCCCAACAATCCTCTGCAAGATTATATAAACATCAAAATGTCAAAATGAATAAAAAGAAATAAACTTTATTAAACATTAAACAAAATTGGATGATAGTCACTTACGTGGGCTCTGCGTGTAAGGCCCATCAATAGGAGTTCATGAGTGTAAGAGCCACAAGAACATAACATCATGATAGCATATGCTTTTTTGAGGATTTTTTTATAAATTTCTCGAGCTCTTTTTTTTTTTCAGGATTTCTTTAACTCTTTTTATGGTACTATTCTGCAATAATGTAAAAACTCAATATGATTTTTTGGAGAAAACAGACCATTTTTTTCTTGGCGTGAAAATAGAAGACAAACATAGCAAAAATTTGGAAATATCAAACATTGCTTTTTTTTTGTTTTTTGTTTTTTATAAAGTATCAAACGTTGCTTGTTCGTTTATATGAACAAATGAGGATGAAAATAGCTTTGGTGCTTGAAAAAAGTAGCCTCCTTTGAGTTTGGACCACTCGTGTTCATTAGTCATATTCAAGTAGGAAAATTTATTTTAAAAAATTAACATATGATTTTAATAGATACTCAATGGATAATAAAAGTAGTCTATCAAACAAAAAGAGGACAAATGATACACATAAATCAGTGAAATCACTAGAACTTTAGAACTTGAAATGTCTGATTACTCGTATTTTGAGTCAAAATAATCATATATGAATTAACTTGATCTTCCTCGTTCACTTATGATAACTATAAACACAAAAAGAAAGTGAAATATATATATATAAATACATAAAAGTTATACTTTAGTAAAAACTAATTATCATAAAAAAAAGTACCTTAAGTTCAATAACCTATGAGATGATATATCTCTAGTGGCTATCCACTTGCCATGGATATCACAATCAGATTTGTAAATTAGGCAAACCTGAATTACCAGCTGATTGTGGTATCGTGGCATGTGGAAGTGCGAGTACGGAGATGCACCGTCGGATATATTTTTGGTTTCGCCGGAGACAGTACTAGCAGAGGAAGAAGTGGAAGCGGATCTAAATGATGAAGATGGCTCGGATCGAGACACTTTGGATCGTTCCTTGGAGGGGAAGAGGGTTGAAGTTGATAAACTTCATTGAGTAAGAGAAAGATCTGAAGAAAATAAAAGAGAAGTTGTTTGAGGAGAAGAAGAGAGATCTGAGAGCGTTTAAATAGGAAGACAAGTGTGAGGTGTGGTGTGAGAGTAGCCATTGCACTTTCCTCCATGTTTCCTTATCCGACTTTCACATACTGAACTTTAACGTGTTACACAGATATTATTTTATAATGTGTATTTCTTTTTTTTGTTTTTTGTGATAAAGATGTTTGCTTAATCACTTATAATCAAAATGAAGTTATTCGAACCAATTGTGTTCTCAGAATTAAACAGTCACCGTAGCATAGCTAGATTGCGTTACACGTTAAATTGCAAAGCTGCATGTTGTGATTAACAAAGTTCGTTTGACTGAGGTGTTTAATTTTATGGTTTGCATTGCAGTGTATCTATTGCCTACTGTGCCTTGATTCGAACTTAACAGTCAATTATTTGGAAAAAGTAAACATCTGCATTCCAACTTCCAAGCGTAGTTGATCCATGGATAAAAAAAAATCACCAAGAAAACTAAACATCTGCTCTCTTTAGATGAACAAATCATAGAAATAGTTGTCGAATCAAAGAGGAACTGAGAAAGGAATAAATGTTGAAGTTTTTATTACAAAACAGAGTAAGATGAGAAGAGAGACAAAAACAGAGTAAGAGACAAGGGTTTATCTCTTCTCTTATGAAGAAGAACATAAACGAAATAGAACTTTTTGTCTTTTATTGATATGAAACTTGATGTGTGTTATGAATTATATACTAAGACAAAACACAACTAAGAATTGTGTCTCTTCCTCTTGTCTGTGAAACAATCTAACCAAGAGTTGCAACTTTACTAACACCGTTTGATACACACATATGCTAACTTAGGACTAAACTCAATTAATTCCAGCAATAAAGACGAACAAAGGAATAAAGGAATAAAGACGAACAAAGAGGAACTGAGAAAGGAATGTGTTTTTCATCAATTTATATTAAAAATATTCGCAGAAAGGAAGTTTAACAATTCTAGTGTAATTTAATGTTCACGGATTTGGTCGTATTAATAACTAAATTTTCAATCTCTTAAAGGATTAGGGTTTTTCAGCCGTAAAAACACATTTCATATATAACGCAATAATCTCTTTGCTGTTAGTCATCTCCTCCATCGACAAACATGGGGTACGTTTCTCTTCTCTTTGATCTCATATGGTTGCTTACTTGCTTGTTGTTCGTTTCTTTTTCGTTGAATCGATTTGAATTACGGAGCGTGCTTTTGTGTTTTGGCTGTTGGAATTGGTTTCATTTCGATTTTTTTTTTTGTTATTGAGAATCATTGAGTGTCTATATGGATCCTGCGGCAATGCGTGTTTATTTCCAGTACAGATCTATAGTGATATGTTTTGTAAATATGAGAACTCTTAATCCAAAGGGAGAAAAGATTTAGGTTTTAAATATTTGAGCTAGATATTTGAGTTTCATTATGCTACTGCTGCGTGTTTAAATATTTGATTAAGGTTATGTATAATATGATAGCCCTAACTAGTGATGAATTTGAGATGAAGGAGTTATCTTCTTGTGAATACTGGTAATGGATTGTTTATGGTCTTGTTTTCGTTTTAATATTTCATAATCTAATGTTGTATCTGGTGGTGATAATACGTTACAGAAAGCTTTTGATGCATAACAAGCTGGTAGCTGTGCGCATGCTCAAGAAGATTCTGATTAAGCAGAAAAGATTTGAGAAAATCTTGTTCGAGAAAATGTAAGTTTGTAAATTTGTTGCTACATACTTATGTATTTATGTATGTTGTAAATCTATAGTGCTTTGTTTTGAAAATTTGAGAACTCTTAATCCAAAGGGAGAAAAGATTTTAGAGTGTTATGAATGAGCTAGATATTTGTGTTTCATTAATCATTATGCTACTGCTGCACTTGTGATGAATCTAAGATGAAGGTGTTGTATTCTTGTGAATATTGGAAATGGGTTGTTTATGGTCTTGTTTTTATTTTGATATTTCATAATCTAATGTATTTTATCTGGTGATAATACGTTACAGGCATAACAAGCTGGAAGCTGTGCGCTTGCTCAAGAAGATTCGTATCCAACAGAGATTACTGGCAGAAAAACAGGAAAATTTCGCTCAAGCACAGAAAATCTTGCTTGAAAAAATGTAAGCTTGTAAATTTGCTGCTACATATATGTATTATGTATGTTGTTGACATTATTGTTGATAAGTCGCTGAATTTGATTACGCAGTGATATTGCTACTAAGGAGCTTATCAAGTATGAAACGGAAATTGCTGCTCCTGTCCCCAACAATGGTTCTTTGACAAAAAAGCGGTACGTTTGTCCATCCTCTTGTGTTGTTTTAGCGTCTAATCGATTCTACGAGATAATCATTGTTAATATGGTCTTTGTTTATGAAATGAAGGATTTATCTACCTTGTAATGGATTGTTTTTGTTTTGATATTTCTAACTTAATGTTTTCCTTGCAGCAAGACAAACGTTATGGAAGCTAGACGGAGATTGAGAAGACTAATGGATGAAGATGAATTTAGCCTAATTTTGCATACTATTCCTTATTGTAGGAATCGTCGTCCTTGAGAATAAGTAAGGCTATAAATATGCTTTGCTTTATATATGTATTGTGTAGACAATATTGGTGTTGATGAGTCTCAGAGTCTCTGTATTTGACTACGCGGAGTTTTCTCTAGGTTGTATTAATCGAATCAAAGAGAACCATTCACTACAAAGAGGAACTGAGAAAGTAATGTGTTTTTCATCAGTTTATATTAAAAAAAAAAGCCATTGCATCAAAGAGAGCCAGGAATAACATAAACATCACAACTCTTAATTATTTAACACTTGCTTTTTTTTTGTAAGACAAACTAAACTTGTATTAATTGATAAAAGTTTAACCTCTGTGGCCTAATTGATTCAAGTATGTAGGGAAATGTTAGTTGGTGGGTTGCTAACAAAAGTCCAATACGTAACGGCCTGATGGGCCTGTGGATAATATTATAAATGGGAAGCGTTTTAGGGTTTTCAGCCGTAAAACAACATATCTCGATTTGTTGATTCCCAGCTGCAATATCCTTTTCGCTGCTAATCTTCTTCTCCATCCACAAACATGGGGTACGTTTCTCCTCTCTTTGATCTTTCATTGCTACTTCCTGTTCCTTCTTCTATCTGTTAAAAATGCTTTCATGATTCGATTTGTCTAGTTATATTTTTGCCAAGTGCTCGACTTATAGATTTGGGAACTCTTATTGCAAATGAATAATATTTAATCATCTGGATATTTAGAGTCTTATAGATTGAGCTGGAAGATTGAGTTTCTGTGTTCCGGTTTCGTATCCTAATAGTATATACATGGCATTTTGAGATGAAGGAATGCTTCGACTAGTAGTTGATTGTTTATGGTCTTTGTTATTGTTTTAATGTATTAATATACTGTGGTTATGATGCGTTACTTACCGCAGTTGTAGAAGAAAGATTGATCTTCTTGTAATGGATTGCTTCTACTTGTCATGTATTGTGTATGGTCTTGGTTATTGGTTTAATATCTGTGAATCTAATACGGTTGTGTCTGGTGATGATACGTAACAACAGTAAGACAAGGGGAATGGGAGCTGGGCGCAAGCTCAAGAAGCTTCGGATCAACCAGAGATGGGCAGACAAGCAGTACAAGAAGTCTCACCAAGGAAATGAATGGAAGAAGCCTTTTGCTGGATCTTCTCACGCTAAGGGAATCGTCCTTGAGAAAATGTAAGTCCACAAAAAAACACTAACAAACTTGCGTCTTTATCAGCTCTTATTATTGCGTGTTTGTGCTTAGGCATTGGTGTTAATGACTCTCATTTTGTTTGGTTCTGCAGCGGTATTGAGGCTAAACAGCCTAACTCTGCTATCCGTAAGTGTGCTCGTGTGCAGCTCATCAAGAATGGAAAGAAGATTGCTGCTTTTGTCCCCAATGATGGTTGCTTGAACTACATTGAGGAAAATGTAAGTCGGAATCAAAACCTTTTAAGCCATAATCTTACATTGATTTTAGTTTCTGTCAAATGCTGTAACATGTTTTGTTGAATGTTGTTGTTGCAGGACGAGGTTTTGATTGCTGGGTTTGGACGTAAGGGTCATGCTGTGGGAGATATTCCCGGAGTCAGGTTCAAGGTCGTCAAGGTTTCTGGAGTTTCACTCTTGGCCCTCTTCAAAGAAAAGAAGGAGAAGCCAAGATCTTGAACAAATCGTCAAGCTTTTGAAACTGTTTTTGATGTTATAAGCACCTGTTTGGTAGTTCAGTTGAAAAGTACTCTTGTTGTTTGTTCTGTTTTAAGATTCAAGAACTTGATTTTGTCAAAACTACTTTCGTTTTAATGAGTTTAGTCCCGACCTTATATGTTATATCTGTGTTATGATGAAGATACTGCATCACCCTTTTAAAGTCATCAGCTTCCCAACAAATAAAAAATTTACTACGAATATGGTGGAACCTGAAATTGTGGAACAAGTTGATGGCGTCTATCGGATTTAAGCTCAGTGGTTTATGATACCTGAAGAGACTGCTTCAAGACGTCAAGCTCATAATCTGAAACATGAAACGAGAGGTATTTTGCTGTCACTAAACAAGAAGGAAACCAGAGAGAGGATATCACTAAAAATGCTATGAAATGGGAGTTGATGAGCATCATTGACACGGCGGTGATTGGTCAAGGAAGCTCACTCGAACTCACTGCTTTAGGTATCTCTAATTGTCTACTCTACACACACCAAACAATCTTAGTTTGTTTGACTAGATTTCATGAATTGCTATTTCTGGACTTTTTGACTTAGACCAGAATAAAGTGGTGAATTTTAAAATGGGTCTATTTGTTATATAGCAGGGATGATAACTTTGGACATTAAAGGGTTAGAAAGCATGGGAAGAAAATGTGAATTGCCTCACCTTAAGACTCTGGCGTAAATATGTGTAGCTCAGCATTATTTGAAATGAATAGGTTCACAAACACGGTTCATGAATTGGTTAACATGCTATGTTTTTCAGTTTGTGATTAACAAAATTTTGGGGTTCTTGCAGCATACCAAACAATTAAACCAAAAGCCAGAGAACTAAACCAAGACATTTATTGATTTATCCGGTTACACAGTAGAAGCCCAAGACGTGAAGGCCTGATGGGCCTATGCATAATTATAAATAGGAAACGGTCACTCTACTAGGGTTTAGGGTTTTCAGCCGTATAGCACAAGTCATATTTTTCAGCCGTAAAATTTCTTTGCTGTTCATCTTCTTCTCCTCCATAGACAAACATGGGGTACGTTTATCCTCTCTTTGATCTCATATTGCTTCTTGTTGTTCCTTCTTCTTGCGTTAAATCGATTTGAATTACGAGGGATCTAAGGGAGCTATCTTTTGTGTTTTCGCTGTTGGAAATGGTTTCATGATTTGATATTTTGTTATTGTGGTATCTGATAATCATTGATAATCTATGGCGATTCTGTGACAATGTGTGTTTGTTTATGGAGATGTATGTTACTCGTTTTTTTATTCAACAATAGGTTATAGTAAATTCGTGCTGCTTGTTCTCTAGATTTGAGAAGTCTTAATGCAAATAGATAATCTTGAGATTTAGAGTGTTATACTGCATCTATCTTAACCTGAGTTTCTTATAGTTAAGATATCCCTTACTAGTGATGAAGGATATATCTTCTTGTAATGGATTTTTTTTTATGGTCTTGGTTTATGTTTTAATATTTTCGAATCTAATGCTGTTGTGTGTGTGTGGTTATGATACGTAACAGTAAGACAAGGGGAATGGGAGCTGGGCGCAAGCTCAACAAGCTTCGGATCAGCCAGAGGTGGGCAGACAAGCAGTACAGGAAGTCTCACCAAGGAAACGAGTGGAAGAAACCTTTTCAATTGGCTTCTCACGCCAAGGGAATCGTCCTTGAGAAAATGTAAGTCTACAAAGAACATAAATTTGCTTCTTTTGTGTGTTTAGACACTAGTGTTGATGAGTCTCTTTGTTTCGTTTTCCAGCGGTATTGAGGCTAAGCAGCCTAACTCTGCTATCCGTAAGTGTGCTAGAGTTCAGCTTATCAAGAATGGAAAGAAGATTGCTGCTTTTGTCCCCAACGATGGTTGCTTGAACTACATTGAGGAAAATGTAAGTTTGGCCAATTATTAATTAACCATGGTTTTGTTTTGTCAAAATGTTGATTCATCTTTTGTTTATGCTGTTGCAGGACGAGGTCTTGATTGCCGGGTTTGGTCGTAAAGGTCATGCTGTGGGAGATATTCCCGGAGTTAGGTTCAAGGTCGTGAAGGTTTCTGGAGTTTCACTCTTGGCCCTCTTCAAAGAAAAGAAGGAGAAGCCAAGATCTTGAACAAATCGGTTCAAGCTTTTGAAAATGATTTTGATGTTATGAGTACCTTTTGGTTTTTAAGTTAAAAAGAACTCGTGTTCTCTTCTACTTTTAAGATTCTATAACTTTTATATGTTAAAAACTGTTTCTTCTTTTTATGAGTTTTTGATTTTAGTCCCGACCTTATAATTTATGTTATTTGTTTCTCTCAAATCACTACGACATTCTGTTTACTTAGCCTTTTGGATCCTTGATGTCCTATGATGCTTCGCTAGTTTTCAGCACAAGTCATAGTTTTCAAGTATTTATATATATATGTATATATTGTTTACAACAACAAAAATACAACATAATTCTTTTTATTATCTTTATCAGCTTTTCTAATTATCCTTACAACTTCAAAGATACATTGGGCTTGTTTTCAAATTAAAGAACAAAGATGAATTTCTCTAGGCGGTGCTCGGAAGTCGAAGACGCGTTGACATTGGGACCAGCCAGTTTGATACAAATGTCCAAATCTTTTTTCGGTCTGTAAACAATACATAAATAATGAAATTATGAAACTAAATATTTTATTTGGATTCACTTTGTAACAGCCAACAACGGATCAAATAATTAATGTAATCCACATTATTTAATATTATAAAGCTGTGCTCCAACGAGACAAGAGCACATGCACCATTATTAATGATCAAGCCCCCATGAAACTTCCATCTCTCTATCTCTTTCACGTTTCATTCCCAGCAGCAGCTATATAAACCAATGCCACTTACCTCAAATTTCCATCAACAATATACATCTGAGATCTACCAAAAATGAAGTCTTCTTGCGGTACAAAGTTCGCGTTCTTGGTTCTCTTTCTCTTTGCAGCACAATCTGTGTGCGTCTACGCCGGTAGCTTCCACAAAGACGTTCAGATACATTGGGGTGATGGTCGTGGAAAGGTTCTCGACAATGAAGGAAGACTTCTTTCTCTCTCCCTCGACAAATCCTCCGGTTCCGGTTTTCAATCCAACCAGGAGTTTCTCTATGGCAGAGCCGAGGTTCAGATGAAGCTTGTCCCTGGTAACTCTGCTGGAACAGTCACAACATTCTACGTAAGTAACATCCAATTTTTGTCATCATATCCTATTCGGTAGATAACATGTAACTGATGAGTATGTTTATGACTTTGTGTAGCTTAAATCGCCGGGAACTACGTGGGATGAGATCGATTTCGAGTTCTTGGGAAACCTTACTGGTCATCCGTATATTCTCCATACCAATGTCTACACGAAAGGCTCAGGAGACAAAGAACAACAGTTTCATCTATGGTTTGACCCAACCGCTGGCTTTCACAGTTACTGCATCACATGGAATCCCCAAAGGATTATGTAAGCGGGTCCTTTGATATTCTTGGACATATACATAATTTGATCTCATGTGTTCATGAATTCTTTTTTTTTCTTCCCTTTCAGTTTTACAGTTGATGACATTCCTATTAGAGAGTTCAAGAACTCCGAGTCGATTGGGATTCCGTTCCCAAAAAACCAACCAATGAGGCTCTACGCAAGTCTTTGGGAAGCTGAGCATTGGGCTACAAGGGGAGGGTTAGAGAAAACAGATTGGACAAAAGCTCCTTTCACCGCTTTCTACAGAAACTACAATGTGGAGGGATGTGTATGGGCTAATGGAAGATCATCTTGTCCTGCGAACTCAGCATGGTTCACCAAAACACTCGACAAGGCAGGCATGGATGAAGTGAAGAGGGTGCAGGGTAAATACATGGTCTATAACTATTGCACCGATAAGAAAAGGTTTCCTCAAGGTGTTCCTAGCGTGTGCACTTAATATTAATTGATTCTTTGATTCGTGAGCAAGTTGTTTGGCATTAATGTCTTTGTAACTCAATTCAGCTTTATCAATTTGTTTCAAAATCATTTGTTGCTCATACCATGTGTGGGGAGTGTGGTGGTGTATGTGTCAGATTTTTTAAATTAATAATTGCAAATACTCGTTATAAAAACAAGAGCCTTCGTTACTAAATACTCGTTATATTTGTGGTATTTTCCGATATTTAAATTTTTGTCGTATTTTTGGAAAAACTAGTTTTGTGGTATTTTTTTTTTTTTTGGTTTTAATTTTGTGGTATTTTTTGAGTTCCTCTTTCCTTCTTCCATGGATTCTTCAGCATCAACGTCGCTTCTTCCACTGTCAGCAGTCTTGAATCCAGATCATTTCCTAATAACAATAATCATGTATGCTCGTTCTAACCTGGCTCTAAACAACACGATCGACAGCTCATGATCCGATTTTTAACGTTGAGTCAACAAAATCATCACCTTGCCCATACGTTAAGAAAGACGCGTGATTTTCTTGCCATTTTTTTTTTTAGTCCATTTTGTGAAAACCAAACTCAATACTTTTTTTCTAAGATTATTTGGAAATGGATATTAATGATATTTGGTACATGAGAAGATTTTTTTTTTGTTAAAGGATTTGCGTGAGAAGATTTTCGATCAGTACCTTTATGAACATAGATCGATAAACCTTTGATTATTATACAAATAAAATCTAAATGCTGATTAATCGTTCGAGTATTTCAAATGCAAGTATCTTTACATGTATGTATTTTTACTTCAGCAAAATTACAACATATTTCTTTTTATTTTATTTATCTGTTTTTTCTTTTTCTTTTTTTTGTTTAGAATTTACAAGTTCTAAAATGCATTTTGGTTAAATCTTGTAAATAATAAACACAGCAGAAAATATATAAACTCAAATGTGTCTATGTCTTACTGCTATCGTGTTACGTATGTAGTTGGGCTCGGTTTAAAACTAAAGAACAGAGACGAATTTCTCTAGGCGGTGCTCGAAAGTCGAAGACGCGTTGACATATCAAGACATTGGGACCAGCCAGTTTTACACAAATGTCCAAAACTTTTTTCGGTTTGTAAACAATACATAAATAATGAAATTATGAAACTAAATATTTTATTTGAATTCACTTTGTAATCCATATTAATTAATATTATAAAGCTGTGCTCCAACGAGACAAGAGCACATGCACCATTATTATTGAACAAGCCCCCATGAAACTTCCATCTCTCTCTCTTACACGTTTCATTTCCAGCAGCAGCTATATAAACTAGCGTCACTTACCTCCATTTCCATCAACAAAATACATCTGAGATCTACCAGACTACCAAAAATGAAGTCTTCTTGCGGTACAAGATTCGCGTTCTTGGTTCTCTTTCTCTTTGCAGCACAATTTATGTGCGTCTATGCCGGTAGCTTCCACAAAGACGTTCAGATACATTGGGGTGATGGCCGCGGAAAGGTTCGCGACAGAGATGGAAGACTTCTTTCTCTTTCCCTCGACAAATCCTCCGGATCCGGTTTTCAATCCAACCAGGAGTTTCTCTATGGCAGAGCCGAGGTTCAAATGAAGCTTGTCCCTGGTAACTCTGCTGGAACAGTCACAACATTCTATGTAAGTAAAGTATTCAAAGCATCAATTCTTGCCATCTTTTTCCATTCATATATACTGAGAGTAAGTTGGTGATTATGTGTAGCTTAAATCGCCGGGAACTACGTGGGATGAGATAGATTTCGAGTTCTTGGGAAACATAAGTGGTCATCCGTATACTCTCCACACTAATGTTTACACAAAAGGCTCAGGAGACAAAGAACAACAGTTTCATCTATGGTTCGACCCAACCGCTGGCTTTCACAGTTACTGCATCACATGGAATCCCCAAAGGATTATGTAAGCGGGTCCTTTGATATTCTTGTACATATATTTAGTTTAATACTCTCTTCGTTTCAAATTAGTTGTCGTTCTGGTAAAATATATCTGCAAATATTTGAACGTATCAGCAATGCAAAACATGTCCAGATACGTCCAAATATTTGCAGATACATTTTGTCAAAACGACAACTAATTTGAAACGGAAGGAGTATAATATGTGTGAGACTAATTATTCATGTTTTTTTTTTTTTTTTCTTCCACTTTTAGTTTTACGACATTCCTATTCGAGAGTTCAAGAACTCCGAGTCGATTGGGATTCCGTTCCCAAAGAACCAACCAATGAGGCTCTACGCAAGTCTTTGGGAAGCCGAGCATTGGGCTACAAGGGGAGGGTTAGAGAAAACGGATTGGACAAAAGCTCCTTTCACCGCTTTCTACAGAAACTACAATGTGGAAGGATGTGTATGGGCTAATGGAAGATCATCTTGTCCCGCGAATTCACCATGGTTCACTAAAACACTCGACAAGGCAGGCATGGATGAAGTGAAGAGGGTGCAGGGTAAATACATGGTCTATAACTATTGCACCGATAAGAAAAGGTTTCCTAGAGGTGTTCCTAGAGTGTGCACTTAAGACTAATTGATTCTTTGATTCGTGAGCAAGTTATTTGGCACTGTCTTTTGTAACTCATTTGAGGTTTATCTATTTGTTTTAAAATCATTTGTTGTTCATACCATGTGTTTGTGGAGTGTTGGTGGTGTATGTGTCAGATTTTTTAAATTAATAATAGCAAATACTCGTTATGAAAACAAGAGCTTTTGTTACTAAAGCTTAATTGTCTCCACTTGATTTGTGAAAATTTCGTAAAATATTGAGAGCAGTGATAAATTCATTACTAAATTACACAACAGTTCTTGGGAAGCACTCAAGCAAATATATTAATAATGGAGTACTGTATTTCTTTGTAGATGGATAAGCGGGCGGGCGTGACGGGACCAGTTTTCAACACAAATTTTTGTTTCCATTCGTCAATTTTTTTTTTTTCGTTTTTGATAAAATGGTTTTTTTCCCCCAATGGAAACAAACATTTATGTTTTTTAGGTGTGAGGTTTGTTTTCACTTTTAAAAGCTGAGTCGTTGAATAGGCTCTGTTGCTGAAGGGTAAACTGATATTAAAAATATCTCAAGAACAAGAGGTTTTGATTTGAAACAGGATTTAGCTGGAGAAAATATTTTGTTGAACAGGTCCGATGTAATTTGAATTCCTGTATGGACAGTTCATCATGAGAAAATTGGTATATAGTATGAGTTTGGCTTTGCACAAAAAAAAAGTATTGAGTTTGGTTTTCACAAAATGGACTAAAAACAAAACAATTTGGCAAGAAAATCACGTGTCTCTTTCTTAACGTATGGGCAAGGTGATGATTTTGTTGACTCGACGTTAAAATTCGGATCATGAGCTGTCGTGTTGTTAAAAGCCAGGCTACAACGAGTGTACATGATTATTGTTATTAAGAAATGATCATGATCTTGAAAATGGATTACCTTTGGTTTCTTAATCCCATAATTAAGTTAATTATATTGTTTGATAGCCCAAGTTTCCTAGAGAGACTAGTTTGTCAAACTATATGTCAAATACTAGCTTACTCGAGCTGGCAAATTCCGTTAAATAGTACACGTAACGATGCATGTTATTATTTTGACCCGAACAAGGTTTCATTGAAATGGCTTTCTTTTTCTTTCTTTTTTTTTTCTTATGAAATTATATTTCATCGAGATCCAAATATGTTTTTCCACAGCATTTCAAACGTGGAATATAGTCAATATACCATTTTTTTCATAAATAATGGTGAAATTTCAATGTTAGGACAAAAATTATCATAAGAAAGTGGGGGAAAAGTAGACGAAATACCAATTTAGCAGAAAAATGAAAAGAAAGGTAATTAAATAATTTAAGTTAGACGAAATGGAAATCGAAGAAAGAAAATAAAAGTAGTCATATAGAAGTGCAAATATTTAAATCAGAAGCCTCTATGCGGCGGGGAGGGTTTGCGCTCAGGTCAAAAAGTCGAAGCCGTGTTGACAAAAATGATCTCAATACTTATAACGCGGGACCAGCATGTGATGCACAAATGTCCATATACACTACTTTCTCTGTTTCGTAACAATAAAACGAGTAATGATATCATCATATTATTGGATTCATTTTGTAACAACCAGCAAGAGGTCGAATGAGCCAACTAGAATACAGCACATTTTCATTTTTCAATAACCAAACATTCAAACCCATACATGCACGAACCTTCCATCTCTTTTTCCTTTGCCATTTTCCAGCAGCTATATAAACCAATCTCACTTACCTTAATTTTCCATCAACAAATACATCTGAGATATCACTACTCGAGATATTTATAAAAAAATGAAGGTTTCTTGCAGTACAAGCTTTGCGTTCTTGATTCTCTTTCTCTTTGCAGTGCAATCTATGGTCGTCTACGCCGGTAGCTTCCACAAAGATGTTCAGATACATTGGGGTGATGGCCGTGGAAAAGTTCGTGATAGAGATGGAAAGCTTCTTTCTCTCTCGCTCGACAAATCCTCTGGCTCGGGTTTTCAGTCACATCAGGAGTTTCTCTATGGCAAAGCCGAGGTTCAGATGAAACTTGTCCCTGGTAACTCTGCTGGAACAGTTACGACATTCTATGTAAGTAACATACAACTTCAAAGCATCTCTTGTCATCTTATCCTATTCAGTAGATAACATTAACATGTAACTGATGAGTATGTTGATGACTTTGTGTAGCTTAAATCACCGGGAACTACGTGGGATGAGATTGATTTCGAGTTCTTGGGAAACATTAGTGGCCATCCGTATACTCTCCATACCAATGTCTACACAAGAGGCTCAGGAGATAAAGAACAACAGTTTCATCTATGGTTCGACCCAACCGTCAACTTTCACACTTACTGCATCACATGGAACCCCCAAAGGATTATGTAAGTGCATCCTTAATTCTATCCCTTGCGCATTGGTTAATATTAATACGCTTTTAGGTTATGGTCTCAATACAATTTTTCGATGTAAGATTCCTAATAATTTTGTTTTGTCTCCTTTCTTTCAGTTTTACAGTTGATGGCATTCCAATTAGAGAGTTTAAGAACTCCGAGTCGACTGGAGTTCCGTTCCCAAAGAACCAACCAATGAGGCTCTACGCAAGTCTTTGGGAAGCCGAGCATTGGGCTACAAGGGGAGGATTAGAGAAAACAGATTGGACAAAAGCTCCTTTCACCGCATTCTACAGAAACTACAATGTGGAAGGATGTGTATGGGCTAATGGAAGATCATCTTGCCCCGCGAATTCTCCATGGTTCGCTCAAAAACTCGACAAGGCAGGTGAGGATAAAGTGAAATGGGCGCAGAGTAAGTACATGGTCTACAACTATTGCACCGATAAAAGAAGGTTTCCTCAAGGTGTTCCTAGAGTGTGCACTTAAATTATTGATTCTTTGATTGGTGAATAAGTTACTTGGCGTTGTCTTTGTAACTCATATGAGTTTTATCTATTTATTTTTCATTCATTTGTTGCTCATATTATGTGCGTGTGTCTTGTGTTTGTGTAAGATTTTTTAAAGTAATAACAAATAAGAAATTATGGATAAACAAGAGTTTTCGTTACCGAAAGTTAATGAATAACTTTATTGGTTTTTACTATTTTTAAAAACATTGGGAAGAACATAAACAACAACGCTTACTAAACGGATGCACCCTCTCTCAATGTTTCTACAATTTAAGCGAACATCTAAAATACTATTGAGTCAAGTTTTATGATCTAGCTTTTGTTGTTTCGGATCTTTACTATTCCTTTTTTTTCCCTGCTGGATGATTGGATCCGATGTACCAGTATTTTATCCAGAAAATGTCAAATCGATCAAGTCATCAAACAAAGAAAAAAGAATGATATGTGGCGAAATGGAAAAGAGCTACAAATGAAACTAGCTAAGGTAATATTACATGGGCTCATGTTTTTCGTTAAAATGCATTCGTTTTGAATATTGTAGGGCTTCAGGAGGAGTTCATCAAGGTTTCTAAAACTAAATATGTGTTATTTATGCTGTCTTAGCAAACTGGGCCTATATATGGACTGGTGTAATTTCATTTCTCGTGCAACTTTAAATAAAATCTCACCAATTATCACAACAACAGCAACAAAAAGTTCATCAAGGTTTTGATTTCACTCCCAATACCGTCCGTATTGGCGAGATGATGAATGGTTCAGTTGTTGCTTACGTACGCACACAGAATAAATTATTTATGTTTCGAGAACTTGATAGAAAAAAAAATATATAAGGAAGAAGAACTTGATCAATACAAGTAGAATTTTGCATCACTAACGCTTGGCTTAAATGTAGATAAAAATGTTTGTATAAGCATGTGGGGAGAAATTAGATTAATTATTGATTTGGTTTCCTTCGATTTTTTTTTCTTCTAAAAATACAGCATTGCCTTGGTTTAATTTACAACATGTATCGTTTTATCTTGACATATTTACTTAGGTCAATGTCGTCTTAGAGGGATTATTATTTCTCAGCTATAAGTATTAAAAGTGTTAAGAACACTGGCTATGTGGTGATAGATTACAACTTTGATATATTTTTTAATAGACGAAATTCAAGGAATGATTAGGAAGAGATGCTGAGGAACTTAAAGTTTTTAGCCGACACAATTTTGTAAATCAAAATTTATATAATAAATAATGCTTTCTGAATAAATTTGATTTGTGGTCAAGATAGTCGGTTAGTATATAGCATATGAGCAATCTATAGGATACTCATCTGTGAGCACTAGCTGTTTGTGATCATTTTCCATCTATTTATAATACTTTTATTTTATGATTTTATCAAGAGTGGCAACAACTTAAAGTATGTCTTCATATGTATGTTTCTGTGTACTAATGTAATACTTATTTCTGAATTTGGAATAGATAATCAAACGCTAATTTCTTTTATTGCTTTGGTTAGTTCTTACATATAATGTGCTAGTTTTAGACGTTGTTTTAAGAACATTGACTATGTCGGTGAAAGATTACAAGTTTTAACGTACTTTTAAACCGGATATATGGAATAGATCGGACTACATGTTGTTTTAAGAACACTGACTGTGTCGGTTAAAGATTGCATGTTTTAACAAGAAGAAATATGAAATGAGTAGGAGTAGAGATTATGAGTACTTTAATCTGACTTAAAGTTTTTAACCGACAAAAATGTGCAAGACAGAATATCTAAATGAATCGTGCTTTCTGAATAAAAATACTTTATGGTCCAATTAGTCGGAAAGTATGTATATAGCAATCCATAGGACATATTTTATAATGTTTGTGAGCAGTGAGACAACAGCACTCAACAATTCTCAACCCCATTAGACCAATATATCTCTTGCCTTATTATTTCCAACAGCTATATATACTAATGCACCTTACCTCCATATTCCCATCACCAATCTTATTTAAGTTACTAAAACTACTCTTTCAAAATCTAGAAAATGAAGGTTTCTTGCAGTACAAGCTTCCCGTTCTTGATTCTCTTTCTCTTTGCGGCACAATCTGTTGTCGTCTACGCCGGTAGCTTCCACAAAGACGTTCAGATACATTGGGGTGATGGTCGTGGAAAGGTTCTAGACAATCCTGGGAATCTTCTTTCTCTCTCGCTCGACAAATCCTCTGGTTCTGGTTTTCAGTCACATCAGGAGTTTCTCTATGGCAAAGCCGAGGTTCAAATGAAACTTGTTCCTGGTAACTCTGCTGGAACAGTCACAACATTCTACGTAAGTATAACATACAGTATCAAAACATACTTGTGATCTTTTGCTATTCACTAGATTATGTATATTCACACTAGTTTGCTTTTATAATGATTTGTGTAGTTGAAATCGCCGGGAGCTATGTGGGATGAGATAGATTTCGAGTTCTTGGGAAACATAAGTGGTCATCCGTATACTCTCCACACTAATGTTTACACAAAAGGAACAGGAGACAAAGAACAACAATTTCATCTATGGTTTGACCCAACCGCTGACTTTCACACTTACTCCATCACATGGAATCCTAAAAGGATTATGTAAGTGCAGCCTTTGATCTCATGCATGTGCATCGTATATACCCCAATCTTTTTTTAAGGCTATGATCTCATGAACCAACATTCGCTTCTTTTTGTTCCTTTTTGTCAGTTTTACAGTCGATGCAACTCCGATTAGAGAGTTCAAGAACTCGGAAGCACTTGGAGTTCTGTTCCCAAATGACCTACCAATGAGGCTCTACGCAAGCCTTTGGGAAGCTGAGCATTGGGCTACAAGGGGAGGATTAGAGAAAACAGATTGGTCAAAAGCTCCTTTCACTGCTTTCTACAGAAACTACAATGTGGAAGGATGTGTATGGGCTAATGGAAGATCATCTTGTCCAGCGAATGCCCCATGGTTCACTCAAGAACTCGATGTTAAAGGAAAGAATAGAGTGACATGGGCACAGAGAAAGTACATGGTCTACAACTATTGCACTGATAAGAAAAGGTTTCCTCAAGGTGCTCCTCCAGAGTGCAGTTAAATGACTGTTTTGTTTGATTCATGAATAAGTGACGTGACATTGTCTCTTTGTAACTCCAATGGTTTTTTATCTTTTACGTACTTTTCAAATGATGAATATCCGCGCTGCGCGTGTGTTACTTCTCATTTCTCAATTAATAAGATTTTTCCCTGTTTGTTTGTTTAATATATTTTTTGTATTTGATTTGCATTTAAATTAACTAAGTACTTGCAGGGTCTAGAGTTTTCATTATTATTAAAGTGTGTTTTACAGTAATTTGAAAGCTGTCATTAGTAAACTTGAGAAAATCTTCACTAGAGTTGTAAAAAAAACAAAAACAAAATTAGAGGGATTCAAATAAATCTTCAACAATCCGATTTGAATAAGGAGTAATGGAAAATCGATATCTCAAACTTGAAGTGAAGAGACTTCCCAAATAAGGTTAACGGTTTGTAGTACTAAACAGAGCTGATAAGATTTTTCATCCAATCTGGTATAATGTTCTGGTACAATTTGCTGGTTCCCTTTTTTTTTTTTTTTTTTTGACAAAGAAAAAAAATTGCTGGTTCCCTTTTTCCTTAATATCTATATGGGCTGATCAGAACCGGGCCTCAAAGATTTTGAATTTTGAAGTTTCCATTGAATTGAATTAGTAATTGAGGTCTGATCTGTGGCTGGATCGGATTCCTCAGTTGTCTGTAACAAAGCAAAATGTGTTTTGGAGCAAAGCTAGGAAAATTCATTTATTTCTTCCTCCTGTTTGAAAGTATTCTATTAGGTTTCAGTTTGGTATGGTATAGGCCTATGGACTAAGGTTACAGAAATTAGTACGAAGTTAATACAGGATGAGATTTTAGAAGTTTGAGTTTGAGGCATCTCATAATGAATATGTAGAATCGATAACCTTTTTGCACCTAAATTCTGTAGCTTCGCTGATGCGTGTACGACAAGAAATTGCGAAGACGCAACATTGTGTTAGGAACCACAATAATAAAGTTTGGCTACCATCATACCAAACAAAAATATATACTCAGAATACCAAAAATATGCTTACAAAATTACATATTTATAAAAAGCCACACAGTAAGAGAAATATTGTGGAAAACCATTTAGCAAAAATGAAAAATCTTGTATTCTCGGATTCCAAAAACGAGATTAGTAATAATTACAACCCATCCTTAGTTGTCGCTGAAATTGCTTCAGCTGCTGATGTCCTTATTATTGTGTTTAAAAGTGTTGATCATGGTAATGTAAATCCATACATTCACCTGAAAGTCGCTCATCTCTACTTCGAAAGTCTTCTAGGTTAGGTTCTTCTCGGATTGGCCATGAACAAAATAAAATAAAACTAATTAGTAAATAATGAATAAAATGGCCGACAGTGGTTCATATGAACAAGTTGGTTTCAAAAAGTTATAACTTTTGAAAAAGTATTTGCGAGTTTGTGGTTAATTGTAAACTATAATAATATATACATGTTATAGAGTGTGATTGAGTCAGGTCTTATAATAGTTTGTATGATTAGTGCTACGAGATTATGTGAGATTTGTTCATTCAAGTATCGTAGATATTAAGGGACGATATGTGAGATTTGTTCATTCGAGTATCGTAGTTATTAAGGGACTATAGACTATAGTTGATTTTTAGTATATACGCAAGAAAAAAAATATATGGATGAATGAAATTTTCTTGACCATTATCCAGTGAAAGTCTTATCGAAACAAGAGGATAGCAACAATATTGTTATTTAATTAACGAGGATTAGAGTTCAAAAAAAGTTATCATAGTAACATTATTAAAATAACATCATTGGCCATAACCAAGTATGAAAAGGACTTGGAGACATGCAGGACAAACCAAAATAAATGATGTCGATTACTAATTACGCTTATCCATTGAGATCAGCTGGTTTGTGAAAATGACATTCAGCCAATTATTTTAGGAGAAAACATACCAAGTAATTTTGTTCGGCACAATTTCTTCTGTAACAAATGTCTATAAATAATTTATTTGGCTCTAAATAATTGTGTGGCTGTGTGGTGAGACTACCCCTCTCTATTTTATGCATGCATTGACGAATCCATCGTCATCAGTCTCATCTTCTGTGACACTTTACCTATTATGTTACAATATTTGAAGATTTAAAAAACTCTAGGCATTAGTAAAACTCTGAAACATCAAATTGCTAGTGTATATAACGTTCAACAATATTTTGGAAACATACATACTCTTTTTAAACATATGTTTCTATAGTTTACCGTCTATAATCCAAAAGCAGACTTCCATATTGTTTCAAAACTCGAACATATCCAGTAACACAAAAGTCTGCTTTTGGATTACAAAACAAAGATAAAGTTGTATATCCTCCGAATAAATCGATTGATTACATAGTACAACTTAGGCCTTTTTCAATATTTTCAATTGGAGATAACATACCTACACACACACACACACACACAAAAAAAAAAAAAAAAAAAAAAAAATAGCCCGAAAGATATGCTTACCCAGAAATTTGAACCATATAATTTCAATAAAGACTATAACTTTTCAGAAGATTAATACAACCTGCAACATTTATTGAGCCCGAATTGACAAGACCATACGTAGTTGTCCTCGATATGGGTTCGTTAAAATGAATACATTATACAGTTTTGAATGAATTAATAGTGAGATTAGCCCCATGATTAAGAATTGTTGATGAGCCATTACGCTTATAAAATTTAAGTTAATAGTACAGCTGTAAAGCTAGTAGGACCAAGTTGACGTTTGGTTAGGCGGTCCAAATCAAAATTTCCATGTCAAGAAATTTCATCCAATGAATCATATTCATATCATATGTATATAACTTCTAGTAATTGTATCGCTTTAGTTACGTAGCTATCCCATCTTATGTTCCATACTATTACTTGCTCAAAAATTAAAGTACATATACTCTTTGCACCCAAAATGTCTCAAAAATTAAAGTTCATCAATTGATTCATGCTCTCCACTGCAGAAAATTAAGTGGTGTCTCTGTTATGTGATTAGTTTGAGATTCAATCTAATGGTTTGTGTTACCCCCATGCCTGAAAAAAAAAAAAAAAATCCATATTAAAATATGCCTCCTGGAACTACATCTAACTAGTTATTCAAACGCAAGAGTATAGATAGAACAACAACAAAATTTGTTGATAATTTACAGCAATGATGTGAAAACTCAATATGATTTTTTTGGGAAAAAATTAGACCAATTATTAGTACTTTTAAGCTTGAAAACAGAAGACACAAATAGCAAAAATTTGGAAATAACAAACGTAGCTTGTTCCTTTATGTATGAACAAATGAATGGAAATAGCTTTGGTGCTATCTTGAAAAAGTTAGCCTTTGAGTTTGGACCACTTATATTTATTATTCATTTCCAATAAATATCACAGTAGTTGTCCTCATAGACAACAATCAATTTCATTTATTTGGGGTTCCTCTGATTTAATTCTAGCTGATCTATGGACTAATAGCTGTCATAATTTGTCAAATGTGTATACCAATCAAATTACATTTCTGAATTTGATCAACAAATTAAAACCACTTTAACCAAAACTACTCAGTAATCTATTGTCGCCATATACTACTAACGGGTGCGTGCATGCATACCGTTTATCAATATGATTATTGAAAATGAATTCTGTCACCATATTAGTTTTCGAGGGTTAACAGTATATCTACATGTAGGTCTTCATAGGTTCCATTTTTACGTTAAAATAATGCTTTACTAAATGGTTCAATTCCCCCTTTTTTACACGAACTATACATCAATAATTGTGTTTTTATAGAAATTTTAAAAATACTAGACCTTTTAGGTATAGTTGCACATATTGATTAGAGGTCTTTTTGTGTGCAATGAAACATCTTTATTGACTCCCATCATTAATTAGTGACCAACCAAAAGAAATTGACCTTTTGATTTACAAGAGAGAGAGAGAGAGAGAAAGAAAGCGTGTGTACGCTGCTACTTGCACCATTGCTAACGCAACCAAATCTTTTAACCCATACACTAAGCTCATACTTTTCTTCGTTGCTTCCATCCTCGATTCACATAATAACAATATTGTTTAAATCACATCATAGATATATAATGTACGAATTAAAAAGCTTAATGTTAGATGTCTATAGAAAAGTCCAACACGAGTCAAAGCAAGTTGTTTTATTCCAGAAACATGGTCCAGTTACCACCCAATAATTGGATACATACAAACCCTGATAAAACCAAAAATCAAAGCAAAAAAAAAAAAGAAGATATTCAAAATACATATTCTCCCCAAATTTCAACTAAATTCGAGAATTTGAAGTCGAGCGATTCCACACGTAATATCCCTGTAAACCTCTTATTTTGTTTGGTTCTCTCCTCCCTCTACCTATAGGCATCTACGTAGTAATTTAAGATGTACGATCACATTTGAAACTAATTGGAATCCGTGTTAGTACATAAATTATACAAAAGCATGCATCCAATTATAGAGCAAACGGATTATTTAAATTTCTTGATAGCACACAAAAATCTATGAAGAAATTATCACTAAAAAGGTTATTTTTTGTGGTATTCTCAAAGACTCAAACATGCTATATAATTTTAGACATTGGTCAAATCTCTTTGGTTTACGTCGACTGTAAATTTAAGAAATTAAGGAATTCCTCCACAAATGAATTACATACATAGGGTTATACATAACGTTTTTTAATTAGGGATGGTAACATAATGTGTTTACCAAATGATGGAGATACTCGAGAGTCCAGCTGTAATACATCATGCATGCAATGTCTTGATATTAGCCTCCTTTTGTTCACCCACTCTCTCTTCTCTTTTAATTTAATTTAACGCTTACTTCCTCATTCTCTTCCTCCCAGGCTCCCACTATATATATCTCTCTTTCTTCTTCTCTCTTCCTCACATTCCTCACCAAACCCCCAAAACACACACCCACACGTACGCACACCCACACGGACACACACAGCAATGTCTCCTTTCAAAATATTCCTCTTCACGGCTCTTCTCGCGGCGGGGTTTACATTTTCCGCCGCTGACTTCAACCAAGACGTCGACGTAGCTTGGGGAAATGGCCGTGGGAAGATACTCAACAACGGACAGCTTCTTACTCTCTCCTTAGACAAGTCCTCTGGTTCTGGTTTTCAATCCAAAACAGAGTATTTGTTCGGAAAGATCGATATGCAGATCAAACTCGTCCCTGGTAACTCAGCTGGCACTGTCACAACGTTTTATGTAAGTTGTTATTACTATTGTTGTGTTTTCGATTGTATTTTTTTTTATAAAGGAATTTGTATTGATTTTGTGTTTTCATATAACTTTCAGCTAAAATCGCCAGGATCGACTTGGGATGAGATTGATTTTGAGTTCTTGGGTAACATGACTGGAGATCCTTATACTTTACACACCAATGTTTACACTCAAGGCAAAGGTGACAAAGAGCAACAATTCAAACTCTGGTTCGACCCATCCGCAAATTTCCACACTTACTCAATCCTCTGGAACCCTCAAAGAATCATGTAAAGTCATAAACCTAAACTTTTCTTGCTTCACACGTAAACCATATTAAAAGCCCTAATTAGGGTTTATCTATTTCCTCATCTCTAATATGTTCGTTTTTTTTTTCTCCTCTCAGATTCACCGTCGATGATACACCGATTAGAGAGTTTAAGAACTCAGAGTCGATCGGTGTTTTGTTCCCAAAGAGCAAGCCGATGAGGATGTACGCGAGCTTATGGAACGCAGACGATTGGGCAACAAGAGGCGGTCTGGTTAAGACGGATTGGTCCAAAGCTCCATTCATGGCTTCTTACAGGAACATTAAGATCGACGCGTGTGTTAATGCCAACGGAAGGTCGTCTTGTAGCTCGAAACCAACCTCGAATTGGTACACTCAAGAGATGGATTTGACGAGCCAAGCTAGACTCAGATGGGTTCAGAAGAATTACATGATTTACAATTACTGTACCGACAGTAAAAGGTTTCCTCAGGGAATCCCTCGGGAATGCGCAGCAAGCTCATAGAAAGTTTCATTATAATTCTATTTATCTATCTTCCTCTGTTAATTTTTCTTTCTTTCTTCTATGTGAAATTGTGAATGCTCTGTTTTTCTTGGTTTGATTGTTTCGATTGTATATCTTAAAGCAAAAAGGTGTGTCTATACTCTAAAGATATATGTAAAAGAGATGTCTCTGTTTGTTTGTAAAGAAAAAAATATGTTTATTGAAAATGATAGTTCTTTTACTTATTTTCTTTCAGATGATAAAGGATAGTGTAATTTACATCCTATGAAGTAAGAGAAACGTGTTAAATGCCTCTTATTTTAAAGCAATTATTGAAAATGACAGATTGTATCAAATTTTGTTTACTAGAGTTTATCAAAAATATACATTCGATGAAAATCATTTCGAACTAGGACTTCATCAGATTTATCAAACTAATCACATGATTGATTGATTTCATATAAATCAGATTTACAATGGATTTAACCAAAAATACACAAAAATTAGCGAAACGACGTCGGTACATCTATGCGGTGTCGTTTAGGCGGGAGCACTCCGTCACACGTTTGTTTATTTTATTATCTACTGATAGCCTTTTGGTAATTTTGTTAATTTGTTATGGTCCTTTTAGTAATATCCACTCCGCTTCTTCTTCGTCAGATCTGGATCAAAATTTCTTCACCACAATCCTCAAAAGCTTCAGCCCTAAATTGTTTCCCGGGAAAATCAACAAACCATCACCCGAATCCTGCGATTACTGTTCTCCGGTGAAACTAAACGTCTGGATCGAAAGGGAGAAGAATGTCGCACAACGATACGATCCCGCTTTATCAGTCGTCTCAGTCGGACATCGACGAGATTGAGAATATGATGAGCGACAGTTTCCAATCAGGTCCCGGAACCGTCCTCCCTGCTCGTCCTCCAAGCCCGATCCGTCCCTCGATACCGGTTTCTTCATCGCCGTTCGTCCAATCGAACCTTCCACCGATTCCGCCGTCTTCCTCCTCAGCTCCGAAGGTGATGCCTGTCCCAGTCCCTCCGTCGCTTCCGCCGGCAGGAAATTTCGGCAGCTCGGAAGGTCCCAAGACCATCGGAGGGAGCGGATTCGGACCTCCGCCAAACACATTGACGGAGCCTGTGTGGGATACTGTGAAGCGAGATCTGTCTCGGATCGTGAGTAATCTGAAGCTTGTGGTGTTTCCGAATCCGTATAGGGAGGATCCTGGGAAGGCTCTTAGGGATTGGGATCTATGGGGACCGTTTTTCTTCATTGTGTTCTTGGGGCTTACTCTTTCGTGGTCTGCTTCTGTCAAGAAGGTAAGCTCCCAGATTCTGATCTCAGCTTTTATCGATGCAACAATCAAAATCGTAGCTTTAGCGTGCCCTATACATTGAGAAATGATGACATTTTGGCTGGATTGATAGTTCATTAGACTGGTGCTTTTTGTGGCGTTGTTCTTAATGTTGATTTCTTTTCTTTGATACATTGTAGTTAGATTTTGATTAGACTCATAGAATCGATTCAACAACCAACAGATATGGTGCTTTCTTACTTGTAATCTTAAGTTTCATTTCTTTCCCCTATCTTGTCTCGCATCTATGTCTTGGATCCGATGTACGATTAACCATATTGGACATTTGATCCTTGAACTGATGTATTCACATAAGGTTATGTGATCAAAACGGATTCGTCATGTATTCCTGCTTAAAAATGGTTTCTTTACTAGGATTTATGGACATACTGTATAAGAAAATGTGAAATCAACAGGGTAAAATGCTTGAATGCACTTGATGTATGCATAATATATCTGAAAAGACACAAATTTCTTTCGTCTCTGCTCGCTTTTGACATTGTGTGAATGTTATTAGCTCTCGTTTTTATGGATATAAGCCACATTTGTGTTCTCATTTCCATCTATAATTATCCTTTCCTTGAGTTCTCATCCTGAGTCCCAAAGCTCTACATTCTGATATATCTGTTTGGATATAGAATTTTTCTCTGCATTTGGTCTTATTTATTTTTCTCTGTACATTTTCCAGTCCGAAGTATTTGCTGTGGCATTTGCACTACTTGCAGCTGGGGCAGTGATCCTCACACTAAATGTGCTGCTCCTGGTAAGCACACATTTGATTCATTGTATTTGTACAAGCGCCACATACTTTTCGCTTTCTCGTTACAACTTCCTGATGTCATGAAACAATGCAAATTTTTACAGGGAGGACATATAATATTTTTCCAAAGCCTAAGCCTTTTGGGTTACTGTCTATTCCCACTGGACGTTGGAGCAGTGATCTGCATGTTGAAGGACAATGTGATACTCAAAATGATCGTTGTGTGTGTGACTCTTGCCTGGAGCTCTTGGGCCGCTTATCCGTTCATGAGCGCCGCCGTGAACCCGAGAAGAAAAGCTCTCGCACTTTACCCGGTCTTCCTCATGTATGTCTCTGTCGGCTTCTTGATCATTGCCATTGATTAATTCGATCTGGAAAATGGAAAGTGGAAAATCAGAGATTGGTTCTTTGATTCGGTTCCGAAATCGTTTGGTACAGAGTAGATAGAGAATTCTCCACCCGTGAACTAATCTGAGTTCTATTGAGATCATATGTATAATGTGTTCTTTGACCCTTTTTTGTTAAACTTTGGTCGACTTTACTTTATATTGTCTTTGCTTTATGCGTATGAATTATGATTTTCAGTTCGTTTTTGGAACATATTATATATATAAGAACTTGATGATCATAGCTTTAATTTAAGCTTACCAGCTATATTTTATCATTTTTAGGGATTACTTACCAACTAACTTGCTTGAATAATATGCTCAATCATCATTTCAATTAGGATGCAACTCAACCCTAATCAGAAATTATTGGTTTTATGTCTTAGATTTCAATTTGGTCATACAATATATCATTAGTCGCACGTTCGTCTCACAACTGAAAATACTAGAGACCCATTACAACATCGATATTAAGCTCTTGTTAAAATCGAAGCTTTAACAAAAGGACGATCACTTCAAATGTCACTAAAGATATTCGAATTTGTGTGTTTACAAGTTAAAGAGTTTATACTCTTGAGACCGTGAAATTAAGGTGAACCCACATTAGAGTTGAAAGAGAACAACAACAACAAACAGGTTATGTGATTGCTAAAATTTCTCGGATGAAATCTTCTTCTTTTTTGTTGCATTGAACTTGAGAGAATATAGCTTGTGTTACACAACTCTCAATTATTATATATTTAAGTTTTTGTCTTTCGAATCTGTTAAATTTTGTTTGGTAGTAGTGAGTAAGTTAATTTTGGGGGACGAGTGTGGCAGAGGCTGAGGTGGGGCTCTCGAAGTGATAATGTAAGAAGACAGAGTTTGCTTGTATTATACGCCATCTCTTTCTTACTATTTTTATTATTTGTTTACCTCTCCAGGTGAATTGAGACTATTATCTCAAACACACCAATTGCAATAGTGAAACATTTTCTTGTATTCGCCCGAAGGATAAGATGATCGTTTTCATCAATTTTGAGTTAAGAAAAAAAAAAAAAAAAAAGAGAATTGATGGTCTTAATAGTGAAGTGAATGATTTTTTCTTTTTCTGAAAGAAAACGAAATAGAAAATGCCAGAGAGAGTCAGTTTCAGAAGGTACCATCATAACAAATCATAATTTAAAATGCCAATTGTACTTGAGAGGCTTTTGTAACATAACATAATAATGTAGCCTTACAACTTTTGACATTAATATTGTTTATTTATTGTTGGCCCTTTTGGGATTAGCTCGGAACCAGAGGATACTAAACTCCAAAACCAGAATCACCAACGGATCTCTGTACTGAATCTTTGGTCCAAAATTTCCCCCCCACAAAATCAACCAATGCTTTCTTTTTCTTAGATACCTAATTGTTTTCTATTCGTACATAATTTTCAAATTTTCATTTTGAAGTGTTTTGATATTGGCGAAAATGAACGTTTGGTCACTCGTGTAACTACGTCCTGTAAAGGCTGTAATGTATTATTCATTTCATTCTATTTGGCATAATGGCATGGATATGAATTTTTGAGTCTTTGACGCATTACATCTGAGTTAATTCAACATTACTTAAGCTTAGCTCTATCTTGACTACACGCATGTTTCAAAGAAATTTCTCAAATGTTTTTTAATTAGACAAATATTTAGGGTTTTGGTGTTGGGAGATTACACAGCTCTGCAAAAGTGACTCTAGTAACTTGGGCCTAATCTACTGTCATTGTCATTATGTGTCATCTCCTTGTATCTCACCAACTTTGCCCTTATTTAAAACATTTGAAAAAAGTCAATATTCTTTCTTCCTTTGTTTTAATGTCGGCCAAATGAAACACCGACTGGTTGTTTCATAATACTGTTCACAACATATAATCTTGTTCAGCCTTCGTATAACGGAGACTAACTAGAAGACCATGTTTCAGCTTGGCAAATTTGCTACTATCATACTTCGATTTGTCTTATAGACTAGTGAGACTACCATCTATCGATCTATTGTTTCTTTAGATGTTATTTTTAAACAATTGAAGCTTTATAGCCATTAATCTCGGAGTTCGACAGATATATTGATTATCTTAAAAGGTGATTTAACTAATTTGGCATTGTGATGAGGTTTGCTAATGTTGGAATTAGATGTAGATGTGAAGGAAAGTTGAGAGAGTTATTATGGTGATAGATGTTGATATGCAAATGTAGACAAACAATGATGTCCCACGTAAATTCGAGTGTCCTAAAGAATATAATCACAAAATACAAACAAAACAACACAAACCCAACTGTAAGTCGCACTCACAAACCCTAATCTAGACCCTCATGTTCCCCTTTGCTTTTACTAGTTACTTTCCAGTTTTCTAAAGGAGACGGATCAACATTTCAATGATCATATTATTTATTATCCTTTGTGTTACTCTTAAAATTATGATTAGTTTCTTGTTTATGATATTGGTGTGAGCTCTCACTTTTAATATATGGCTTGTCGCCTTGGAAACCCGTTGCCTTCAAAGAAACCGTGGATGACCTAAACCATTATCCGAATTTTGCATCACTAGCTAGAGTCCTAGAGACATTATGTTAAATTTGTATTTGTATTAATTTTACGAATTCAAGCGTAATACTTAAAAAAACAAAAGTGGATAACTCGTTCTTTAGTACAGTCTCGATCACTAACTAAGTTTCTCTAGTGTGTGTTACCAAGAGAAATCACATATATAGAGACAAACTATTTCTTAGAACCATTTTGAACACTAGAAGTCTAGAACCACTCAATCAAACAAAATCTCTTTTACTAGATTAGACTAATCCAGCTAAGTTATCAGCTCTTGGCTGTCTCGTAGAAACTTACCCTCTTTTAGTATTTTGAATTTTTAGCTGTTTCTTGTCCTTTGTGGTGTTTTCACTCATTGTACTTGTTTGTCCGATTCATTCTAGTGTAAGAGTAAAGTAAATAAAAACTTATCCATTACTCCAGGACTTGTCCTCTATATTCCCTATTTATCATTCTCCACCTTTCAAGTTTCAACCTTTTGCTCTAAAGTTTTTAAGAATTTATTTCATTATGTATAACTTTATCATATCCTTGGACAAAAAAACAAAGTCGAATAGCATCCGATGTGAGATCTACATGTCACATTACCATTACCTTTAGGTCACTCACAAGTCTATAAACCATGGACCTGTGAAATAATTGAGAGCCAAAGGGTAATAATATCCGTAAATATCAAAACAGTATTTTTTCTAATAAATAAAAAGAATAGTAATATGTCTCCTCCCATTCGTCTATAAATTGAAATGAGTCACCTTCATAATTTCATACAAATCCACCCAACGTCTCTCTCTTTCCCTTCTCTCTCAAAAGAACCAAACATTTTCCCTCCCAAATCTCAAGATTACAAAAACTTCAAAAAAGTCACACTCTATCATCTTCAGAATTAAGTCAAACCCACTTCTCAATTTCTCTAATTTCCCTCTAAAGATCAAAACTTTTGTCTACTCTGCTTTTATAAAAATCCAATATTTTTTTTCTTATTTCCAAAAAAAAACAGAGCAAAAAAAGAAATGAAAATGAGTGATTATTGGACAACAATGGCTTCTCTACTTGGCATGTTAGCCTTTTGCCAAACAATCCTCCAGCTCGTGTTCCCGCCGGAGCTCCGTCTCGCAGCCATCCACCTCCTGACACGCATCCGCCACGTGTTCTCATCCCACATCTACTTCGACATAACGGAGATCGACGGCGTCAACACCAACGAGCTCTACAACGCGGTCCAGCTCTACCTCAGCTCCTCCGTCACCGTAAACGGCGCCGTCTCGAGCAGCAGCAACAACACCCGCCTCAGCCTGACACGTGTCCCAAACTCAAGCTCCGTCACTTTCGGCCTCTCCAACAACGACAGGATCACCGACGTCTTCAACGGCGTCACCGTCCTCTGGGAACACGTCGTCGTCCAGCGCCAAGCCCAGAGCTTCTCCTGGAGACCAATGCCGGAGGAGAAACGAGGCTTCACGCTGCAGATCAACAAGAGAGACAAGTCAATCGTCCTCGACTCTTACCTCGACTACATCGTCGGAAAATCGGAGGAGATCCGCCGGAGGAACGAGGAGAGACTCCTCTACACGAATTCGAGAGGCGTCTCGCTCGATTCGAGGAGCCATCCGTGGGACTCGGTGAGATTCAAGCACCCGAGCACGTTCGACACTCTCGCGATGGATCCGGAGAAGAAGAAACGGATCATGGAGGATCTCAGAGAGTTCGCCAACGGTCAAGCGTTTTACCAGAAGACCGGAAGAGCGTGGAAGAGAGGCTATTTGCTCTACGGACCTCCCGGAACCGGGAAATCGAGCTTGATCGCTGCGATGGCGAATCACCTAGGTTACGATATCTACGATCTGGAGCTCACGGAGGTTCAGAACAATTCCGAATTGAGGAAATTGCTGATGAAGACGAGCTCGAAGTCGTTGATCGTCATCGAGGACATTGATTGTTCGATCAATTTGACGAATCGAGGGAAGGTGAAGAAGAGGAACGGGTTTTACGACCCGGATTTGATAAACGGGTCGGGTTCGATGGAGGATCCGCCGGGTAGCTCGGTGACGCTCTCGGGCTTGTTGAATTTTACTGATGGGCTTTGGTCTTGTTGTGGGAGCGAGAGGATATTTGTGTTCACGACGAATCATGTAGAGAAGTTGGATTCGGCTCTGTTGAGGAGTGGGAGGATGGATGTGCATGTTCACATGGGGTTTTGTGGGTTTGAGGCGTTGAAGATTCTGTTGAGGAATTATCTGAGGGTGGAGGAAGGTGAGATGGACGGCGTCGTTTTGAGGGAGATGGAGGGGTGTGTGGAGGAGGCGGAGATCACGCCGGCGGATGTTAGTGAGGTGTTGATTAGGAATAGGAGCGATGCGGGGAAGGCGGTGAGGGAGCTTGTGGGAGTGTTGAAGGAGAGAGTTGTGAAGAGGAGGAAGTGTGTTGGAGAGAGTAAGAAGAAGAGAGAGGAAGGAGAAGCAGAGGAGGAACAAGAACAAGAGAAGAGAGCTTTGGATAGTCCTAATAGAAACAGAGAGGTTTTTGGGTTTGAAAAAGATCATTCCAAGAAAGAAGATGAAGACAAGGAGAAATGAATGAGAAGATGAAAGTGTAGGATCATGTTTCTTGTGTTATTTAATTAAGGTTTGATTTTAATCCGTTTTGTTTAGTCAAAAAGTATTATAATTTATGTTGAAAGGCACACTCCAAAAGGTCTACCACTAGTTCTTTGCAAATTTTCATGTCGAATAAGTTTGGTCTATATGCAGCTGAAACCAAATTGGTTATTGGAGGAAGAGATCGATATCGAGCGTTGTAAGCTGCAACTCTTGTTAGTGACTATGATTTGGTAGGTGTTGCAATACTACAGCAAATCTATCGAGTTGATATATTTCAAAACTACTAAACAAGATGTTTTTACTGATACAATGCAGATGTGTATGATGGGCAAGTGCGTTACCCATTATTCCATTGGCATATGGAGTCATCTCCTTGTTGACAATAGTCTCATCCTTGTATGTTACGGAACTATGTAGCTAGCAAATAGGCAAAAATAGCTTTCGCATTAAGACAAAACAAAAACAATGATAGTCCACAAAAAAGTAGGGACATACTTGATAAACAATCTTGTTAAATCTTTACTTGCTTTACTATAATCTTGAGTAACAACTAGTATTTGACTGTAATCAGAAAGGAATGGGGAAAAATGATATAGATATATGTTACCATTGAGCCATTAAGGGTAAGTTTGAACTAGTAAAACAGTGAATCCAACTTGAGGAATAACAAAAAGAAAACAAACAATCGACGAATAAGTCATTCATATCAAAATTTAAACAAGGACACAAAAGTACAAAACTCTCTATAAACTACATAGACACGTATAATCTTAAACCAGAAAATGGAAGAACAAACCATAAACGCAAAATCGGGTCCAATATAATCAGAATGGAATTTGAGAATCTCAGCTGCCATAATGAACCACCGGTTAATGCCATAATGAATTTGGTCAATATAGTCGGGGCTGGTGATAGAGACTGAAAACCACCGACATGAAGGTTTTAGTTAATGGAGATGGTGTTATTAAGACTCCAATTCGTATCACAGGAGAACAGTGATTCATTCAACTGCTTACTGGATATATTAATGTCAACTAAATTAATTAGTTGAAAACTTGCTAATCTCATGCGTTACACATGCCGTCCTAATGTCTCCTGTTCACCAATATTTTAAACCAAATGAAATCACCATTAATGAGTAATTAATTCGTGAAATCTCACAACCATTTGACTCTTGTACATAAAATTAAATTCAAAATTGTACATATCGAGTTGGCGAACAATGTCGATGTTGCGGCAAATGGGTGGGCCCAACACCAGGGACATTCCTGATGTTTTTCTTAAGCAATAATCCACTACGGCAAGTACCATATTAACATACGTTTTCTTCCAATGAAAAACCAGAAGCATGGTCAATTAGTGCTAAGACCTCTTTATTAAACTTCCATTAACGTTTTAATTAATTGGAAGTGAAGAAGCGAAAAAGATCAAAACAAATTAAAAACCAAAACGGAAAGCTGAGAAGGAAAAGAAAAATTCCTTCTTTCCTGCGGAAGAAAAAGGAAGAAGAGCAGAGAAGAGACCGGAGCAGAATCTATCCGACTAAAAATCCCGGGTGGATTTTGTTCGATTCCCTTGCTCAGAGTCCCTCGTGCTGAATCGTAATCGAAGGTTTTTTTGTTGTGGTGAAGAAGATGATGGTAGCTAACAGCTTTGATCTATGGCAAAAGGATGTTTTTTTCTCCGCAGCCGAAGAGGTTCAAGAATCTGCCGATATGTAATGTTTCGATTCTCTCTCTTCTGTTTGATTCGTTAATCAATTGTGTATGGGTTTTGAGCTAGCTTTGTGATATTGATTGAAAATCCGAATTCGATTGAGAAATAGGGTTTTTGAGATTGGTTGATTCTAGCATGATCTAAGTGAGGACTTATCACTTATGTGTATTTGATTCATTTCAGGTTTCTAGGCAATAAATGAAGGAATTTAGATTCTCAAAGTTTTCATTTTTTTTGTTTTGTTTCTGATAAAGTTTTGCTCTTTCGTTGTATATCCAGAATGGAATCTGCATACAGATTGTGGATTAAAGAGAAGAGAGAAGGTCGAGTCTCTGTAGAATCAGACGAGCTCTGCAAAGAGCTTCAAGCAGCTCTGAGCACAGCTAAATGGCAGGTACAAGAACACAAAAAAAGGTTATTCCTTTTGATCATTCCTTGGCTCCACAAGTTAGTGACTTTTTGTGTGTATATTGTTGTGAATTTGAATCAGCTGGAGGAGTTTGAGAGGGCAGTGAGGTTGAGCCATAGACAATGCCGAGACGACACTACGTTAAGCAGGCATAAACAGTTTCTGACGGCTATCGAGAACCAGATCTACCGAGTGCAGTCTTCTCTGCAAGAGGCGTTAAGCGAGAACGGGAAGCAGCAACCTCTGCGTTGGGTTGATCTCAACAAAGAGGAGCGTGACGACCTAGCCATGTTTCTCTCCGGATCTTCTCATCAAACCTCTGAGAGTTTCAGCAGTGAGAGAGACTCCTCAACAAGCTCTGTGATGATGATGAACAACAGCAGAAGAGAGTGTGTTGTGATAGACATTGAAGAAGAGAGAGGAAGCCCTGAAAGCGCTGATGGGATAATCCGCTTGCAGGCTGATAAGAAAGGCGGTGCAAGAAGAACATGGAGCTCGCCGAATGTGCCTAATGTCAGTGCGTTGAGGATCAATGTTCCTGTTGATTCCAAAGATGAAGAAGAGAGGGAGAAGTTTGTGTCACAGGTCGAAGCAACGCCTAAAGAGAAAGGATCTAAACCAATATTTTGGTTGCAGAGATGTCGTGGTGATTATAATCAGGTAAGTGTTTAAAACCATTCTCTACGCGATGGTGAGATTGGATTTGTAGGTCTTTAGTTGCTTACCATTGTTGTGATGCAGGTCCTTGACAGAGTAAGATATTATCAAAGGCGGTTTCGTGTTCAATTTAGCCGCCCGATTCAGCTCATTCTTTCCTTAACACTAGTCTTGTTTCTTCTATGTGAGTCTTCTTCTCTTGGTGCCCATGAGTTATTGTGCCACACACCATTGTTCCATCTCAAGTTTCTTTAACATTGTTTGTTTATTGCTTGTGCAGTACTCTTTGGAGTTTATTAATCTTGTGAACTTAAACCTTGGTTTCAAGAAACTCTCGAGATCAATTGACAGGTAAAGAAATTATATTACGAAACTGTATATTATTATTCCTAAGTTTTCTTTGTAGCTCATTGGATCTTGCAGGGTTTTTTTTTTTGTTTCTTACAGATTCTTGTGTAATGCGCACACTCGTTAGATGCTACATGATTGATGATTCAACAACATTCCTCAAAGAAGGAAGAGAGATTAAAGAAAGCTGTTGTCAAGAGCCAAAGAAGTGAAGGCTGTTTTTTTCTACACTTTATATCCTCAGGGAAACATTTAGTAAACCTGTAAATTTGACAATTTGTAGATGTGTTTGTAAAACAAAATCCCTAACGAGTTTCTCTTTATCCAGAAGTTTCTGTCTCTGTATAAACCTTTGTCTTTGTGTTTTGATTATGAAAAAAAACTTCAATTGAAAGAAATATAACCTTTTCATACGAGGCATTTCAAAGTATTTCTGACTTCAAAATGAGCTTGTGTATATACATGATTTGGTTTATGGATTTATATTAAGTGGTATAATACACTTTTCCATTTTTTTTGTTTTTTGATAATGAAGTTGTTATAGACACATGAATACTGTATAGTGAACTTGATATGTAAAGAACAGCAGAAAAGTCTTGTAAAAAATATTTAGTTCTAGAAATCTCCGGACAAAAGGAAAGGTTGAATGTCACGGTCTCTAAGATGGAATGTGTATGATCAATTCATCATACCATTTATCAACCATGGATTTTGAAGCACAAATAAATGCTAAAAAAAGACATAATTTCCTGTCGAAATCACAAAAATCGACTTGTCCCAGAAGGGAAAGTAAGGTAATAAATTTGGTTCATGTCCTTCTCGTGCCACTTCTGATCATCATTCATTCCTCCCACCACCTACCAAATTAAATTACCAACAGAAAATATAAAAATAATAATAAACGATTATTATCTAAACTTATATTTTGAAATGTTCAAACAGATGAGCTGAAATACCAAAATAAAAAAGATAATTATATACTAGCTCTTCTAAATACTTTGCCAATCAAGGCCATATGTCATGTCCAAACTCCAAACTATTATCGATATTGTTTCACCAAATATTACAATATCGAGGGAACGTTCTTTGAAAAAAAAAAAATACAACATCGACATTTCTCTCTATTCTTATTCTTATACTAAAATGACGATCTTGTCCTTCTCAAACAACAGGCAAAGTAAGTAAATATAGGGGTAATATAGTAGATTACGCATGGGGCACCCAAAATGGTGCCGTGGCAGCTACGCTTGTAGGTTCCTTGCAACTTAAAGCGTTGAGCAACCTCCAAGAAGGAGACGGTGACGGGGATCGAGATCTACGAGACATCCGGTTAGCAGGAGACGGAAACATAACCGGTGGAACATTCCGACGAATCTGACGGCTCTTTATATCCTTTAGCTCGATCGCCGGCGGAAACTTGACCATTCCAAACATGATCACGTACCATCTCGGTCTAACACTTTTGCCACTTCCAGACGTCGCCATTTCAGGCTTCACCGTGCTTTTGGCCGGAGAAACATTTCCCGATGGAGAATGCACGGTGGTTGGACTGGTTGGACCACGTGTGAGCTTGCGATAATCTAAAGAACGGCTTGTCCTCATGGGTCCGGCATTGTCACGTGAAACGGGACGGTTAAGTTTATTGCCTTGTAAAGCGGATAAAGACTCGGATCTTGCGCGAATCGTGGGACTAATGTGTTCGGGAGGCGAAAAGAGAGCATTTTGGTAGTTTAAAGGGATTATTTTTCCGCAGAAGATTATGTTTTCTGCCGGAGAAACGTCGTAGGAGGTTGAGGTGAGAAACTCAAAAAGATCCGGTTGACAATGGTCGTCGGTGGTGCTTGTGGTGGCGGTGAAATTGGGTTTCTCGGCGTTGAGAGGAAGATCTCGGAGAGAGAGTGCTTCTTCTTCTTCTTCATTTTCTTCTTCTAGGTGATGATGGAATAGCTTTGTGGGTTTAGGAGTTTGAAGATTGGTGTTTTGTGAATTTTCCATTTTATCTTGGGGACGAAGAGAGAGATAGAATGAAGATGCTGAAAGTATTAAAGTTTTTGTCACCACATATTTATATACATGGCCTCCTCCTAGATAGGTCAACTATTTTTAGTTTTTACAGTAGAACTTTTAAGTGGATACGGAAACTAATTTAAATTACGGGTTAGAATTCTTTATGTGTTTTTCTATTCATATATTTGTAGAATTTTGACTCCCCAAATTTCTTGGCCAAGTTTTCATACTTGTCAAATTTCAGATATCTATTTGATTGTACACAAACCTTTGTAGTTTATTGACCAACCATGCCATTACAACTTCGTGCCAAATAAACTTGTTTCTGTTACCTATATCAAATAAACTTTACAACTACTGTTCTAACTGTTTGAATTTATATGACTAGTCCCACTCTAAAATGAATTGGAAGTTACCAACATCATCATTGATCCAAAGCATCCTATTCTGTACTCACACACACTAAAAATCAGCTTCCGGAAGACATTGTATGTATGTGTATTTATATGCCGAGCGCATATTCACTTTAATTATTGTGAGTAATGAATAATTTTTTTTTAAAACATTGAGTACGAAATAACTCCAAACATTTATTCTTTCTATTCCGCACTAACATGCAATCTCTAATTTGTTTACAGATTATAATACGCAATCTCGACCAAATTTTGTTTTCTTTCTAATGTCCAATAAATTAGTTTGTTTAGCTTTTCAAAGTTGAAGATTCTTTAGCTATTTTTCCAAAAACCGAAGAAGACCAAAGTCTTGCTTGTACCGGAACTGAACGAGAGAACCAATCGTTGAAATTGTTTTTTTTATTGTCCTAGTTCACTTGTAAATAACCGCAACTCAAAACGTAGTTTGTTTACCATTTCTCCTAAATCTGAAAATGCAATAAGCCAATTGGGTTCAACAAAAATATACATACGTTTAATAGATTCCGAAACTAGTTTAGATTTTATCTCATATAAATTCAATAACCAAAATACTATTTCCTCATGTTTTCAATTTTTCAAAAGCTAGTTTTGGATTTAAAAAGAAAAAGAAAAAAGTTGGAGGGATTGAAGAAGTGGAAGAGTAATAAAAGGCAATTAATTGTTGGACAACAAAAACTAAAGGAAAGCAATTGGAGCCACAAAATCCACTTTTTTCTTTCGTTTTCAACTTACATCAACTTACGCTGCAAGGCATAAGTCATAATTAGGTTACTCATATCGACATTGCTTGACCACAAAGTTTGATTTGTTTTCCTTTTTTATAACAATTTTACATGGTGCGATGTTACTATTATCTTCAAACGCAAAAAGTATTATGATTCGTTTAGGTCCTTTAGGAGGTTTTTTTTTTTTTTTTTTTTTTTTTTTGTCCTTTAGGAGTTCACTTAAAAGTTCGTTTTTTTGTTCAAACAAATAAAACTCATGACGTGGATAACTTTATTTTATCAGCATGCTGAATTCTATAAGTGTTTTTCTTTTATCATAGTAAAATGTTTTATTCGTCTGATAATGTAGCTCATTTGGTTTGTGGACAAAGCTCCACCACTTGAGTTCGATCAAAGGCAAGAGGAGAAGAGTAAAATATTTCATTTATTTACCTAATAAATAGTAAATACTTTTGAAACTAGATGGTGCCATGGTGGATCCATATCAAGAAAGTAAAATACGATGGGGTGCTTCACCCAACTGTTTTGCCGTATACACGTTAATAACTTAATTGTTTCAATCTGGATTAACAATTATCTTAGAATTCTAATGGAATGTAAATACTTCTTCTTTTTTGGTCTAAATCATTCAAACTACTAATGTCAAAGAGAAAGCCGGCTCTGGCAAGCCAACAAAATTTCGTGTTAGTGTAAAGATCAAAGTCAATGCAAGGACTCTTATTTTTATTCATTGTCAATCAAAATGAATCAACAGTTTCAACACCAATCCCAAAAACAGGATAGGTTAAAGTAAAGTACTTTCAAAAATAAAGTTCAATAAGACAATAACATTGTTGGTAAATTGTTGAGATAATCTAGGAACGACAACGTGGTTGTCTTATTGATTATTGTTTTCTGATTGTCAAGTTAGAATTATAAACCATGTCGCATAATAAAAAAAAAAACGGATATCTCCTGGAATAACAGAAAAAACCGTTTTTTCGTATAACATGACTAAATTATTACTTTCTCAACCAAAACATCCGAGTTGTTTGGGGTGGACACATAAATTTAAAAATGGGCCGTAGAAGTGTACTAGTGGGCCTTTTTCGAGAACTATAACGAGGCATACCTTTTACATAGACTGAATCCGTCGTAGTACACTCGTAGTAGCACCACAAATCTTGAAACCTTTACCGTACACCCGAAGCCAGATCCAAACTCGGAAGCAGAAAGCACAGAAGAAGCGATTTCTTTCCTCTTTCCGTTCGTGAACCCATGGCTGTAAGTTTTCGATCTCTCTCTCCATCTTCCGTCGGCTTCGATTCCTTATTTCTTTCTCTGCTGAGCTCAATGTGAACTGTACTTGTTAAGTACAGTAGTAGTATTAGGGCCCGTAAGATCTGCGAAATTTGGTTTCCTTTTCTTTATCGAGCTCCGGTTTTATCCGCACTTTCTTCCCTGTTTATGTAATTAGAAGTAAACTGTAAACTATTGGAGTATCTGCTGCGCATCAAGTTTGCTAAGTGTGATTTTAGCTGAAACGTTTAGTGTTTAACTTTAATTGAAGCCTTGTTTGTAATTGTTTCCATACTAAATGTTTTGAGCTTTTAAACATTGTATTAGTTGCAATTTAGAGTATATTGCTAAAACAGTTATCGTTCCATGAGAACAAGTGTCGTCTTCTCTGTTAGGTAAATTCTTCGACTTGTTTTCTTTTGAGTGAAAGGTTAACGATTCGTGCTATTGTTTATGCTGTTGCAGGACAAGAACTACCAAATCGCTGACGTTGGAGAGATCTCTGAAGCTCTTTGCATTTCAGACCGCTTGTTCCTTGTTAATTTGGAACTAACCACAACAGAGAGTGACGTCCGTGGTTTCCTGACAGACAACGGGATCCAAGCCACAAAACTCGAATTCGACACTGAAATCGATATGCACAACGAGCAAAAGAAGATTTGCAACGTCACTTTGGCATCTCCCGACCAAATGGGAAAGGTAAACAACATTTTTACTGAGTTTGGTTCTTTGCATTTTACCAATCTTTTTTAACATTCTCCTTTTTTTTTTGTTTTTCATTTTACAGGCCATGATGTACTTGAACGGTTCATCCATGAAGAACCATTCCGTTGTCTACACTCATAGGCACCTCAAACGGTTTCTCACCGCCGAAGTGACCGGCTTCGAAGAAACCACGACCGAGGCGATGAAGAAGGTGATTGAGACTACACTAGGAAAGTACGGTGTTCTCTCCGTCTACATTTCTCCACAGAAGAGCACTGCCCATGTGGTCCTCTGTGGTAACGAGGATGAGGACACGCCGAGTGGTGTTGATGAGGATAAAGACGGTGATGAGGTTGTGCCGAGTGGTGTTGATGAGGATGGTGTGGACAGCTGTGACGAGTCCACGCTCGGTGCTGGTGAGAACCTACGAAGATTCGCTCTCTTCAAGTGCAAGATACGAAAGGAAGGAAAAGTACAGGTTGGCTCTCTCTGTATCGAAGAGGTGAGGAATATGTTGAAAAAATTCGTCGAAGAAGGAGGATTTGACCTCGCCGCAGCTGTTAAGAGAGACGGACGTGACTTCAACGAGTAAGGTACAATCTGAGACTAAACTCATTGTCTTACTTGCTTTCTCAAAGTTACCACTTCATTTGCTGTCTCATGTTTCACATGGAAGTGTCATTAGTTGATGGAGTTTAAAAAACTGGACTTTAGACATTTACCAAAGACAAACATTCGATCATCTTTATCTCTGTCTAGTTATGTGGATTCATTGGCTTGAAACATTTTTGATATATTGGTTTAATTAAATGACTTTGTTTCAGGTGTGCCAGAAGATGAGGTGCTTGAAGACGCTGATCAAGACTAAACTATGTATCATAGGACTTAGGAATCGCCAGTGTTTGAATCTTTGTTGTATTGTAAGAGCATTTTAACCCAACTTGTGAGATGATTTCCAGCTTTTGCTGCTGCTGTTGTCGTTGTTGAATCTTTTGAGTTTGTTGATGATATTGATACTGTACCTTTTAAGTTTGCAAGCCGTTTCTTTTTATGAGAAAGCGAACTTCTTGCCGGTTTTGGTCAACTAGGACAAAACTGCTTGTCGTTTTGTTTTGTAAAATCTTTATTGGGTTTCAATGTACGGCACATGATTTGTCGTTACGTCTCATGTGAGTGGGCCTGAGAGTAACAAAACGGCCCATTTGGAGCATTGAAGTAAATCACGAGCTATTATAATAAAGGTACACTCTTTGCAGAATTCACGAATCTGGAAACCTTGAGCATAAACCCTAAGCGAGATCGAAGCACAAAGCAGAGAAGAAGCGATTTGTTTCCTCCTATTCATCGATTCGTCTTTCCGTTCGTTAACTCATGGCTGTAAGTTTCCGATCTCTCTCTTCATCTTACGAGCTTCGATTCCTTACTTCTCTCTCTCTCTCTCTGCTGAGCTCAATCGTTGAATTGTACTTGATAAGCACTAGTATTAGGGGTTGCAAAATCTGCGAAATTTGGTTTTATTAGCTCTTCCAGCTGCGATTTCTCTAAATTGGAGTATCTGCGAATCAGAATTGTTGAGATTGAGTTTTGCTGAAACGATTTCAAATTTTCATTGAAGCCTGCTTTTGCAATTGCTCCACTGCGAAACGTTTCGAGCTGTTCTACTGTATTTTAGATGAAATTAAGTGTATATTGCTAAACAATTATCATTCCATTAGAACAATGTGTCCTCTGCTGAGAATTTTTGTGTTAGATAACTAGAGCAAGTTGTTCAAGTTTTTTCTTTTGAGTGGTTTTGATGATCCATTCTTTGAATATTTGTCTTTGCAGACCATACCAGTAAACCCGAAACCATTCTTGAACAATCTGACCGGTAAGACTGTGATTGTGAAGCTTAAATGGGGAATGGAATACAAAGGTATTAATCTATTTTCAATATGATTTGATATTATACAGCTTCATAAACCAAAAGCTTATGTATCTTATATAGTCTTCCTTGAATGTTTTCACTTTCACAGGTTTCCTCGCCTCTGTTGACTCCTACATGAACTTGCAGGTACAGTCTTAGCTTCTATGTTCAATTCGTTTTGAGAACGCTAAAGTTATATGATAGTTTGGCATTGGAACTTTAGATCGTTATTCGTTGTAGCCATTGAGAATTTCCTTACTGTTTGCAGTTGGGAAACACTGAGGAATACATCGATGGCCAATTGACAGGAAACCTTGGAGAGATCTTGATCAGGTAATATACAATATAACCTCATTGTCTTACTGCATTCTCAAAGTTACCACTTCATTTACCACTTCATTTACCGTCTCATATTTCAATAGAATGTTTCACATGGAAGTGTCATTAGTTGATGTAACTTAAGAACTGGACTTTAGCCATTTACTAGACACACATTTATCATATTTATCTCTGTTAGTTATGTGGATTTCATTGCCTTGAAACTTTTTTTGTTCTGTTGGTTTAATTTAATGACTTTGTTCACACAGATGCAACAACGTTTTGTATGTCCGAGGTGTGCCAGAAGATGAAGTGCTTGAAGACGCTGATCAAGACTAAACTCTGTATCTGAGGACTAGAAATCGCCAGTCTTTGTTGGAATCTTTATTGTATTCTGTGAGCATTTTAACCCAACTCGTGAGATTTCCAGCTTTTGCTGTACTTTGAATCTTTTGAGTTTGTTGATGATGATATTGATACCTTAAAATAGTTGCAAGCCGTTTAGTGTTATGAGAAAACGAACTTCTTGCCGGTTTTTGGTCACTGGAAAAACTGCTTGTCGTTTTTCTGGAAAAATCTATATTGGGCCTCAATATGACTGGGCCACGGGGCCACATTGAGAGTAACAAAACAACTTATACAGTCAAATTCATTTTTCCAATTTAGTGACTTTTTGAAAAAAATTAGTAATAGTTTGACCTTAGACTGTTTGTTTTATTTTCACTAGACAAAATTACGGTCCGTTGAATAGAATACAGTTCAGATTTAATTTATTCCAAGTCAACATCCCTTAATTTATTTTGTCCACCGTGACGTTGTCAAACATGTGAAAATCAATCATACAATCATGTGACATCAACAACACATGCAACAGCTACCATGTCCACTAGATTCTCATTCATGTGACATCATCTTTATGGAGTAAATACATCATACATATTTTTTGATTTTTTTCCTTTTGTCAACGACTAATGAATTATACTATTCCTAGAAATTTTTCACGTAAATAAATAAAGCGTTTTTTTCCTTTCGTTCTAAAGACACATTTTAGAAAATAGATGGATAGTTCATATTTTTCTCAGAACTACACCAAAAATTTATGAATTTTGGATGGATCGTACACTTGACTAATAACAGAAAGAAACATCAAAAGAATGTATTATTTTACATCCTACATCCTTCCACTTGCAACTTTTTGTCATTCTGACAAAAAACAAGATTTGTCAGTCTATCCATACTACAATGAATAATTAGCTTGTAACAATTTGTAAACAGCTTATGTATGCATCTTTACAGATTTAAAGTTCTATTGGATATAAATAAGTATTTCTAAAAAAGAGAAAAGTTTATGCATAACAGTTTAACTAGGTCCTCGGAGCTAAAAGTTTCGAAAAAGAAGTGAAAGAATTATCAGGTACAAAATATTAAACGATTCAGATAGTATCATTTAGTTTTGGGGAATAAAATCAACAAAGAAGATGGTCCGTAGCAATTAACGCGTACGATTGATTCTTACCAACTATTAGGTGGGCATATTTTTCGTTTATGCAATCGTAATCCCATATTTATTTCATTTTAGTTTACTAAAATAATTTATGAGGTGGAGAGAAACACACAACAACAACAAAAAGAAACTAAGAAAGTAGTTGAAAGTGGAAAGAAACATGTTGTTGTTCTTGTTGGAAAGTTTCTCTTTCCACCAACTTAATAGCGCACGTATCAATGTAAGTTACGTCACGTGCTATTAATTCGTGAAACTTATATGCTCCCATCTCACCTACGTGACTGCCTACCCACCATACCATTCGGTCCATTCCTCTCGTTTTTCGTTTTTACAATAAACATATCTTAGTAATATTCTCAACCACCAAAAAGCACTTCCGAACCAACGAGAAGGTTTCTCAAAATGCTCTCTTCATTATTAACTATTTGACTCTACTCACATAATCACCTCCAAAGAAGTAAAACACCGCGACATATTACCTGTTGGCCAAGTTTATAAAATGGTAATAATACCAAACAGAAACAGCTTAAACTGTGAAAAAACGTAAAAGAATCTAGTCCAAAATTTATAACCGGTTATGCCATACCAAGACGGCAGACGCTATGGTTTGTTGTTTACCACATCCACATTTGTTTAAATGTACACCATGTCCATGTGTGTTATATGGAAAATTGATTTCAAACTGCTTTTATCTGAGCAATTTTGAGCTTAGTAAGTAACCTGAAAGTTCTGAAGAAATTTGCAGCAGTTAAAAACTTATAAACATCGAAATAGTATTAGTCCCAAAATGTTGCTGCTACATAAATATTCATACCGCCAAAGGTACAGACTTTGTATATAACATAATTGTTTCACAGATACCCCATCACATCTTATGCATTTCTTTTGAGTAGGGGGACTATATAACAAGAGTTGAAAAAATGGAACTAATTTTAAAAAGGAAAAAAAAAACGGAGGTCCATTTCCTTGCGATCACAAACTTAATGACCATTTCATGATGTGGCATTTCTATGCCGTATATCATATAATATAAAGTACACAGTGAGTGTGTGGGGGCTTCAACATTTTCGTTACCATACATCTCTGAGATATCTTCCACTCATTTGTAGATTCTTCACAAAGCCCTCTGCTTTGGTCGAATCCATCGATCCCTGAAAACAAGACAAGACATAAGTAAACCCATCAGACTCCAATTGTGATGCGGACAGTGATATTGGGTCTAAACCTGGGTTCTCAGACGTACCTGTTCTTGAGCTATTGTGTGGAGAGATCTGTGAACGTCTCTAGCCATGCCTTTGGCGTCACCACAAACATATACATAAGCTCCTTGAGAGATCATGCACCAGAGATCAGCAGCCTGCAGTAGCGGAAAACATGTCAGCACAAGAAGAAGATATGTAGTGAAGCGTGACATAGAAGCAGAGAAAATTAGACATACCTTGTCCATCATCTTGTGTTGTACATATTCTTTGGTTGGTCCTTCACGAGAGAAGGCGACACTTAGTTCTGAGAGTGCACCAACCTCGAGAAATTTCTTGAGCTCTTCCTCGTAGATGAAATCCTGCAAAACATGACAAGATTTTTGAGAAACTGAACAAACCGGTGATGATAGGTTTTGAGTTTAGAGAAATGGTTTTACTTACCAATCTACGGTTTCTGCATCCGAAGAACAAAATTGATGGTCCAAGTTCAACACCAGATTCTAACACCGCGAGTCTTTCCTGAAGGAAACCTCTGAATGGAGCCAATCCAGTCCCTGGACCAATCATAATGATCGGTACCTTCGGTTCTGAAGGAAGCCTGAAGTTGGATTGCCGTACAAATATCGGCGCTGAGCAACAGTTTTCACTCTTCTCATATGGCA